ATGAGAACTACATCTTATATACTGCATTTGACACCATTTTTTATTTAATTCTTTATTTCCTAGGGTTTTAATACAATAAAAAGAGAATTTGATTCAAATGTCTCCCAAAAATTAAAAAAAAAACTCCAAAAAAGAACACTCCCAATCATCAGAAAGGGATACACCAATCACTTCTCCAGATTCCCATGCACAAGGCAGACTCTAGTCAAGATTATGATCAGCCTGGACACCACAATAATATCCAACAAGGTGATGCCAGCCAACTAGTTTATAAATAAAACTTGGTATAAAGATACCACTTTGGGAATACTTGTACTTCCAAGCGCTGTCACAGGTTCAAGCCCCATTGAAGTCATTTTTGGATTTTTGAATTTATATTCATATTCAAGATATATTTTCATTTTCATGAAAAGTTATTGTTACCATCATTTTGAACATGTCTCAAAGTGTGGGAAACAAATTTAGAATGTCAAAAAATAATGAAAATTACGCTCTTAAAAATCAATTGAACTTTAAGACCAATTACAGTATTCTGAATGAACGGTTGAGTTTTATGGAAATTGAATGCTACCATTAAATTTTAAATACTTTTAAATGTAGGAAACAACTTCAAAATTTCAAAAAATCATAAAAAAATAAGGTGACAAAATTAATGCAAACAATTGAGTGAAGAATTAAATAAAAAAACGGTTGTCCAACGCAGTATTCAATAACAATCTTTGGTTTTTATGCAAAATTATTGTTACCATCATTTTGAACATGTCCGAAAGTGTAGGAAACAAATTTGAAATTACAAAAAATAATGAAAATTAAGCTCTTAAAAATCAATTGAAAAATATGACTAATTACAGTATTCAGAATGAACCTTTGAGTTTTAAGAAAATTTTATGTTACCATTAAATTCTACACACTTTTAAATGTAGCAAGCAACTTTAAAACTTCAAAAAAGCATAAAAAATAAGGTACACACATGTATGCAAACAATTAGGTGAAAAAGTGATGAATTAATTAAACAAACGTGTCAAATGCAGCTTTCAAGGTATAGTTTTCAATTTGGGGAAAAATGGTTGTTACCATAATTTTATACATGTCTTAAAGTGTAGGAAATAAATTTAAAATGTCAAAAAATGATGAAAATTAAGCTGTAAAAAATTAAGTCAAAAAATGGGTCTAATTTCAGTATTAAAAATGAACCGTTGAGTTTTTAAAAATTGGATTGCACCATTAAATTCTACGCACATTGAAACCTAGGAAATAATTTTAAAATTTCAAAAAAGCATAAAAAATATGGTACAAACATGTTTGCAAACAATTAATTGAGAAATGAGTGAAAAAAAATAATTAATAATTAAAATTCATTTTGATGCAAAATGGTTTTTACCATTAAACTCTACACCTTTTATAGTGTAGGAAACAACTTTAAAAATTAAAAAAAAACTTGAAAAATAAGCGGTAAAAAATTAAATACAAAACCGTGTGCAAACGCGGAAACCGCGTGCACTGTGCCACAGCAAAACCGTGTGTAAACGCGGAAAAACGGTGTTTTTTTATTAATGCCCTTTTTTCTTTTTTTCAACTTTTATTGTTTATATATTTTTTCATTTTTTTCATTTTTATATCCATAGCAATTGACCAATTGTTGCCGCGACCTACAAGTTCCCAAAGATGGTCTTGATATGCGATTATGGCCCATGGAAGCGTGAAGGTTTCGTAAGCTGCAAAGTGAATGATGAGAAATCTCACATTCAAATTATCTCGGAGTACTCCTTAGGACCTAGTAAGATGCAAGAATTGGTCAATTGCGATGTTGAAGGTGTTCGTCTCTCATCTTCACTCAAAAAATTGAAAATTTGCTGTTTATGTTTGTACTGGCCCTTAAATTTTTATAATCATACCAATTTTGTTTTCCATTTCCCTTTCTCCTACTCTCTAGGTTTTTGCTTTGTTGAGGGGAGTTGGAATCATTGAGAGAATAATATAATCTAAAAAAGAACTGGGTTGATTCTTTTGAGCCATAACCTTTACTAAGGAATCACTTTGCAAGGAACTAAATGGGCCAAAAATCAACTCACCTTGTTTACAATCCTTGCACAAAGGTTGATCTGGCAAGAGAAACCTGCAATCGCCAACAAAATCAAGTGCCCATCCACCTACAGTCAACCTAGTATAATTAAACGTGCAGTCTGGAGTGAGGAGTAACATGGGATCTTGTTGAAAGCACTCAAAGAGCCCAGTTTCAGTTGGAAGATAAGCCAGACCACAAGAAGGCCATCTGGGAGGAAGTTGTTCTACATTGTAAGAAACTGGGTCACTTTAAAAAAAACCCTGTTATTTTTTACAACATTGTTTATAATCCTTGTCAAAGTGAACCATTTTCTTACAATGTAGAACAACTTCCTCTCAGATGGCCTTCTTGTGGTCTTGCTTATCTTGCAACTGAAACTGGGCTCTTTTGTATGGTTCAACAATACTTGTATCAAATCTTAGTATTTTGCCTTTGATCTAATCCCTTTTTAAATCTGCAACCAAAACCACAAGTCAATGTTTCAGGAGTTATCACTAAATCTCACTTTTGATAGGGCTGTCTAAAGCCCAGTTGGATGGAAGAATCTCAAAATGTAGATTGTTTACAGATGGTAATTACTTTACATACCCGGAGGATATTTATTCCATTGTGTAGACTGTGTTGTGTGATGTACACACTGATTGGGTGTTTTGCACTCCCATGTAGTATGGCAGGAGTGAAATATTCATGTGTCACTGTCCAAATGTGGTCCACTGTGCTGAATTAAAATTCATCACATGTCACCAACTTTCACTCTACAACTTTACACCTCACCAACTTCAGCTCTACACACACCTCACCTGACCAACTCACACCTCTCACCAACTTGAACACTACACAACCACCATTTCAGCAACTTTTTACACCACTATATTACTACACATTTCACCAACTTTGAATCTACACCCCATCAACTTGAACATTACACAACTACACATTGATGCAACTCACCAACTTTTAACACCACACTATACAACTTGAAACATTTCATCAACTTTGACTACCCACCTCACCAATGCACTCAAGTCTACACTATACATTCCACCAACTTTGACTACCCACCTCACCATTACACACACACACACACACACACACACACACACACACACACACACACACACACACACACACACACACACACACACACACACACACACACACACACACACACACACACACACACACACACACACACAATAAATAATTGAAAGAGGAAATAATGAAGGAGAAAAGAAAATTTAGAAGAAGAAGAATAGTGATAAGAAAAGAAAATAAGTAAACTAAAAGAGAGAAAAAAAGACAAAGACAGGATATGAAAGATTCCGCCACAGTTTAAACTAGAGATTGTTTGTTTATACTTGGGGACCTGTTGGTACCTAATTTACAAAAAAATAGGTACAAAGTACCGCACCTGGGCAAGTACTTTTGGTGGGTACCAGAAGTACTTGCCCTATCTTTCTTACTTATTGATGAACACAGGAATAATTACTGAAAGTAGAACCAGAACTAGCAAAATTAAATGACAAGAGTTAATCTTAAGAAACAAGAGAAGATAATAGAGAAAAGAAATAGAAGACAAAGAGATTGAAATTTACCACAGGCAGAGGTTTCTTTTGACTTAGACAGAACAACAGAAAGACTGAAAGAAATGATGTCAAACAATGACAGATAGTAAACACTGTTTTTAAACAAGAGAATTAGTATCAATGGTCTGAATTGATGAGAGAGAAAAAGAATGTGAGTTGTTTTCTTACCAAATTGGCAAAAGCCAAGAGATCAAGTCAAGAGAGAGAGTTGGCGGTATGAGAAGGAGAAGTGGTTGAAGAGACATTGATAGGATGAGCAAACGTCGACATTGAGACTGAGCAAGGAGTGAGAAGAGGGATAAGAAGAAAAGAAAGAGCAATGAGAAAATGTGGAGTCAAACAAGGAAGAGGAAGGGAATTGTGGATGAAGTTGATGGTTGATGGTGGAATGGATGAGAGATAGTTGAGCAGGAATGATTGGTGGTTTTTTTGATTGGCTTCAGTTGGTTGGTATTCTGTTAGAATAGTATGCTTATATTCATTACTGCAGTATGCTTCTAATTACCAGAAAACAACAATCTTGTATATAGCCTATACCAGATTGTCTACGGTTCTTTCCTCTGCAGTGAATCAAAACCTTACCTTTCTCACTCACAAAGTGTCACTGGCTTGTCAGCCGTGAACTTTGGTTTTCTCATCTTGCGTCCCCGCAACATATTCTCGAAGAAGTCACTCAAATGTCTATTTAAAAGCTTCTCAATCCAGCTGGCAAGTCTGGATACACTTTGTGGACTTCTGAAGAGATATTTTGATTGGTCAAGGGTGTAAGGACCAAAGATTAAGAAGACAAAAATTACAACAGTAGATTGGATGAGCCACCTTGCTATAAACCAACTTCAAAAGAAGTCTTCAAGACAATATAAATTATCAATGACTACATTGAGAGCAACATAAGTGAAACTGCCAATAAACTTGACCAATTTATGGAAAGCTACTCAAAGCAACTTGTTGATCAATTGATTGCTACCTCTGAACAAACAAAAATCACATCATTTTTCCAACCTGTCAATTCCAAATGATTTTGGCTATTTTCCTCTCAGTTCCTATGTTTTCCTTTTTTTCCTCAATGCATGTAATTTACACGTCTTGCAAGTGTATTGAATATTTAAAAAAATAATCTCTAGCAATACAAGTTCACATCTCAGCAAGCAGTTGCACTATGATACCTCTCTCTTATCCCATATTGTATACCATGAGATAGGAGAGCCATAGACACCACTAACCCATATGACAGTGTTGTTCCCTGGTGAAGTGAGCAGATTGTGCATGAGTTTTTAGGGAGAATTTGCGGTTCTTACATAATTGTTCCATGGGGTTGTTGGAGTACTAGTACTGATTGATGATGGTGGGCTGTGATGTGTGGTGTGGGCAGTCTGATGGTGTCTGGTTCTCGCAGGGCCTCGCTCACCGCGGGCTCGGCACTCGGCCCTTCTCCTCCCCTTGAACGCGTCCGCCTTCACTCTCAACAGCATCCCTCTCAAGGAGAACCCACTGTTTCTTGGCTCCAAGACTTTCATCCACCACAACCACCACACCTCCTATCCTATCCCAGTGCAATCATGTTTGAAGCAAAGCTCAATCAGGCAGGTCTACTCAAGAGTGTCCTCGATGGTGAGCTTCCCCCTCAGCACTCGTTCTTCGTTTCATACTGATCATTTGAATCTCTCTAGCGATCCGAGAACTTGTTACCGACGTCAACTTCAATTGTGACGAGGATGGCATGGTTCGTCGCGTTGAGAAAGCTACCCGCATCTATCGTAAACTCCATCTCAGGCTTACTCCTCCTCATCATTCTAGAAACTCCAAGCCATGGATAACTCTCACGTAGCTTTGGTGGCCCTTCAGCTACGCGCCAGCGGTTTCGGACAATATCGGTTCGTTCCTCTGCTTTACCTCCACTCCATACTGATCGATCCAGATCGCATTAATTATGAGCGCTTCGTCAATCCTATATAGGTGTGATCGACAGATGACTCTGGGGATCAACGTGCCTTCTTTCCAGAAGATAACCAAATGTGCTGCCCCTCAAGATATCATCACCTTGCGAGCATTTGACGATGGTGACGTACTCAACATAGTTGCTGAAACGTTGAGTAAGTCCAACCTCTTTCCGTCCTGCCAGCCATGCTGTCCTATTTCCATAGAAACCTAATCTCTATATCCATTTTCAGATACCGATCGGGTTGCCGAATATGAAATGAAGATGATGGACATCGATATCGGTAAGAACGAATCAGATCAAATCATGATTCTCAGTATCATTTCCATTCTAATCTTCTATTGCGACTTCCTCTAGAACATCTCGGAATCCCTGAGACTAGATACGACGCTGAGGTTACATTGCCTTCTAGCGAATTCAACCGGATAATTCGCGACCTCAAGGAAATGGGAGAATCCATTCGTATAGAAGCGACCAAGGAAGGTGTCACCTTTGTGACCAACGGTGATATCGGCAAGGGATCCGTAACTCTTAAACATAATGCGGATGAAAAGAAAACTCTTAAGGTCGATAAGGATAAGGATGTGATTGATATTGACAGTGACGAGGAGAAAGACGAAGAGCAAAATGACGACGAGGGTAGTGATGGAGATGCAGAGGAGCGTAAGCTTAAGAAGGCTCTCTTCAAGAAAGATCCCGATGAAGACCCAAGCCAGAATGCTACTCAGGAGACAGACGATGAAATGGATGAAAGTCAAGACGTCAAACCGAAAACTAATGGTGCCGCCAAAGAAGAAAAACCCAAGTTGAAGAAGAAGAAAATAGTCGACGATGATGACGAGGAAGAGGAGGCAGACGAACAACAAAAGGATGCTGAGAACGACGAGGAAGCCGACGAAGATGAGGAAGATGAGGAAGATCAACTTCCTAAATCCAAAAAACGTAAATTGTCGAAAAAGGCAGCTGAAAAATCTAAAAAGAATGGAAAATCGAAGGCCAAGGAGCGCAAGTCTGCTAAAGAGAAAAAACAGGAAGAGGAGGAAGAAGACTTATCTGTCTCGATTTCTCTCCAGCAGAGTGTCTCTTTAACCTTCAGCATCAAATATCTGAGTAACTTCACTAAAGCCACTCCACTTGCCAAGCGGTTAACGGTAAGTGTCTTTGAATGATATAATCTGATGGAAGACTCCACTACCGAGCCGAAAGCTGATCTTGTATCTTATTCTTGACCCACCAGCTTCACATGTCGAACGAAGTTCCGCTCCTGGTTGCGTATGAGTTTGACACCGGCTGTAAGTTGACACAGTTATCATTTGACAGTACTAGATAGAGTCTCATCTCTGATAGTCACAACTTGTCCATTTTCAGACGTTCGATATTACCTGGCACCTAAGATCGAGGATGATTAAGATTCCTCCGGAATCGTGGCAATACGTCAAAAGTCCAATTTGTCGATTCACTACCTTGGGAAATACGACTCATCCGAGCCTTGGACTTATCCTACTCAGAAAACTTCCACACCACTAAAACTGTCGCTGTTTTTGTTTATTTTTTCTTTTCTTTTTTGAGTAGCTTGCATCCATGTAGTTGTGTTTGGTGCTTCTTGCGGTTGTTAAATTGTCCTATTCCCGCTAGCATGTACACCCTGGTCTTTTCAATTGGACTTTTCGCACTCTATTAGCCTCACATCATCAAGTTGATAGATACCAGTGCCAATGTACCTCTTGTGGGCTAGGCCGTGCCAGAAAGAGAAAAACACCTTGAATGATCAACTGATTACAACACAAATTGTTTTGGTCGACCGCAGTCGATCATTGACATCGGGAACCTTAAATGTTGCCCAAATGCAATAAGGTTGCCTGTGGAGATCCAAAAACATGGATGAGGGTTGCCTTCGCTCTTGATTTGTAGAGTTGCAAGAACGGGTCGGGAAACGTGGGTAAGCCGGAAGAACAACAAAGCATGCCAACAACACCTGCGTTCTGCAATGAACATTTACAGGAAAAGGTCATGCAAAACAATCCTTTGATCACGTTGGGAAATGATACGATCGCTGCGATTGACTTACCAGATCCATCATATTCCTGCATCATAAGTTGTATATCCAACTAATCAAGTTGCCATTTTTGTGTCCCTAACACAACGGTCGCTCTATGTGGTTGCGCAGTTGTTCAAAGAAAAAGGTTTGCGGCCCAAATTCCACAGCATTTGTTTTTTGTTCGGATGCTAACTTCAAGACTCTTTCATCCGTTCCCTCCACAACATTGATGTAACGAAAAAGGATGGCTGTTATCGAGTTATCACACTCAAAGAATGAAACAGCACATGCATATACTACTGTGTTAGTTGCCATTTGTGAATAGTGTGACTTTCATGATCTTTTCTCCAACAGGCTGTGCCAAATACCGAGACAAAGAACCTTTATCTTTTTCCTTGAAAACAGACTACAGAAAAATGGACGAAACAAATTGGAAAAAGCAGAAGATTCTTGGAATGAAGTTACAAAGCTGTTGTATTCAGGTCTAAATCGGGCATCAACCCTTGATTTTGTAAGCACCATAGTCCTTTCCAGGGACGTATGGCTCCCATCTCGAAGCCTACCAGAGATGAAGAGCAAATAAATTAAAGAAGGGTTTGAATACACATCAACAGCGCTAAGGGCGTCGCGTTCTTGGAAGCAAACACTCACTGGGAATATATGCTTCGATCGGTTGTACCAAGCACGAGTCACAACTTTTCCAGCGTGACTTTCATCCTTCTCCACCGTTGCATCGGCAACAAGACGTACGTCGTCGTGGGCGTCAAAGTTGAACAATGGCCCTGATTTCCCTCTTGCTTTCTGGTATTCCCAAGTTGCGGTTGATAATCAAAATGTGGAGAGAAGAATGTTTGTTCCATTCACTGGAATCCGATTAGCCTCACGAAGATCCGCCGCTTAGCAAAATATTGGACTCACATTGACTATGAAATCATAAAACGTATGGTGCTAAGAGGAACAAGAATGAAGCGATGTTATTGCCATGCTTCCTTTCAAGAAAACGAAACGACGAAAGAAGATTAGAGTGCTCACGTGGGGAATGATAAGATCTTCTTTCACATACAGAATGTCTGCAACAGAGACACCCCGAAGTTCAGGCCATTGTCCTCTGGCTTTTTCAAGAAACGCCGCAATACTGTCGCCTTTCTTGCACTAGCGTTTTAGATTCATCCAAAGAAAAGGAAACCAAAGTAATTAGATAAATCAGATCATACGTCAATATACTGGGGAGGTGTGCCTACAGTGACCTCTTTGCGATGTCCCGTTCCGTCCCAATATGAGTATGTAATCTCAATATCCTCTTGTTTGATGGATTCTTGCATCTTGAGCCATTTCTGTCTGAGTTCCTCCCGCTCTTTTCGATCAAGTTCCTCACGGTCCCGGTCAGGTAAGAAGGATGTATCGACAGCCGGATTCTTGCCAAACTGGCCTTTTTTGGATGAGCTCGTCGCTGAAGTTGACTTGCACAGTAGGACCATGAGATCAGAATTCGAGAGCCTCGGTGGGGGGCTTGTATATTAACACCACTCACATTGTTTGTCTGCGGAAGCCTTATCAATCCCTCCAGCTCCTTCATCTTCATCATCCATAGCAAATGAAAGATTGTACTTGGACTTCTTCTTCTTCTTTTTCTTGGGTTCATCCTCCCTAGAAAAAAAAAATCGACAGATGACTGCGGTAAGATAGAATACCTATAGGTGCAAAGTTTCACTGCAGTTGGCTTCAAGAGACTAACTTTAGTTCGTTGGATCTGGCTGCCTCGCGTAATTTTTCCTCCTCTAGAGCCTGTCGCTTCTGCTGAAAGTCTTCAAGCTTTACTAGACCGACGGTTTGCATTTTCAAACTTTCTTCCATAGAATCAGATTTGCCGACGAAACGGTCAGCCCCCGTTCGATTTCGGTCGGTCTCACGAGTCATCTCGACCTTCTGTCGTTCGAACTCATCCTGTGAAGTTGTTTGAAGATGTGATCTATGAGGTGGGATAGGCTTGGTTGGGTAAGTGAGCAAAGGAAAGGAAAAACAAGGCTAACCATCATTTCCTTTCGCTTTTTCTCGTGCACCGCTATATTGAATCAAGCGAGCCAGATCAGCGGACACGAGGGGGAGGAAGAAATCGACTGTAAGCTGACTTACCTATCCGGTGCTTCTCTGAAGTCGATGAGGCCATCTTTCAGTCTGAATCGATTTATCTATTCGCTGCAATCTATCTTGTTGAGGGATCTGTTTAGTCGAAGTGGTCCGATCTGCCACTTGGAGTGATCTTCCCTGCTCTCGGTTGTCGACCGACAGAAGCCCCTTCTGAGCCTGCAAACCCCTCTCGACCACAGCTCTAGCCCTCTCTGGCCCCGCTGGAAAACAAACAGATCAGTACATACAGGCAGAATTGGCAAGTACAAATGACCATGATGGTGCATGTCTACTTTTCCAATGAATAAATCTATCAAACCTGGTTTGATCGGTGATAAAAATCAATCAGAGTTATTCCCTGCTCTGGCTACTCAAGAAACTTGAGTTTGGGGCAAAAGTAGGTTTTCAATTTTGTTTTTCAGAGGTTTTTCATAGAAACCCAAACTACCAGGATTGGACCACTGATCCATATAAGGCAGTGCACAAATTGTGATGTTGAGATGGCCCTGTTCAAATTGGTGACTTGATCACTAGTTTGATTGCACTCATCATGAATTGTTCAAGTAAATATGTGAACATGACAATGAATCCTCATTGAATCACTTGCTTGATGAATGTATGTGCCTTGGTGAATTTATCTCTTTGTTGTACATACACCCAAATCAATTGGTGAGAACACATGGACAGTGTCAGAAATCACTTGAATTACACGCCTTATATATACATCTGTAGCAATCAGAACTTAAAATACAAACATCTGCAGAGTGGTTATAAACTGTAATCAACATGACTATGCTAAAACTTGAGCGGATGTGATAATTTGATCAAACTATCAAGAGCCAACAAGGAGAACTTGTGAGAAATCTGCTGGATGATCTCTTTGATATTACAAGCCTTACTTTACCATGTCATTATAGATGAGACCGGGATTGCGTGAAGGGATGGAGTAATATAATAAAATGATGATTTTGATGCTTACAGAAAAGGATAAATGTTTTAATATAGGATAGGAATACAAGAATGCGCATGAAGCATAGATGGCAATGCATTCTTAACTGGAGGTATTGATGAGATCGTACTCGTGTTGAATATATTTTACAAAGTCTACAATCTCATGGCCACTTTTGCAATCTTTCCAGCCGCCATCATGGACACAGACTAATTGATTATCTGGAAAAAGTGATTGACAGACATCTGGTCGTCAGTAAGGAAAGATATATATGTGTGTAGATGTAATGCATGAAGAACTAACTAATGAAAATAGAGCAACTCTTCTGAATCCTAAGATGTTTGCTTAGTTGGACGCTCGAGTAAAGGAGTTGTCGTCCTTGAGAACCGTTAGCGCAATCTTTCACGTCTTGATCCCAGTCGTGCAGGTTGACTTTTGCGCATGATTTTGCGAGCGCTTCTTCTCCAACACGAGACAACCCAGCATAGTTTTCACATTGAATGAATCCCCACCTAGTATTTGCCGAATAATGATGTGGATTTTTTGTTTTGTCTTTCAGATGAATCATATTTCGCTTGAGAGGTCGGAGTGAAACGTAGGCTTGAGGAGTGGAACTGACCAATCATGAAGTTGGGGAAATCGATTCCGATAGCATAATTGATGTATATTTCCCCTGCACTCTGAATCACCGTGCCGACAGCGCACTCCATATTGTGCTGCAGGATCGATGCTTTAGGGAAAAAATGACATCATATTTAACCAAAGGAAATGTTCTGGTTAGAGCGAGGAAATCATCGCAAAGCAAATGGATCACTTCAATGCTTACTCCCCCATGTAGGCGACGAGGACGTCCACCTTGTCCGCAACCTCAGCAAGAACCTTGTCGAACACGTCTTCACATACTTGAAGGAGATAATAATTAAAGAGATTTGAAAGCATGACTTGAGCTTCTTAGGTGACTGATCTATTCGCAAGTTGCTTGAAGGATGACGAGATTCGAGTGACTAACTTTGCGCATCAGGACACTTGCTCATGACACCGAGGACAATCGGAACGAGCTTATGTCGATCAGGGTAACTGGTGACATAATCGGCCTGCTTGAGAGACACCCGCTCGGAATCGGCCAATGTTGAAAGGGTTGAAGGTCTGGATGATTGTATCACCAGACCGGATGGGTAGGCTTGAGAGAATCGGTTGCTGGGGCTGGTAGACGTTATGCATTGCCGGATGCACAGCAAGCTGAGTACGATGAGCGGGATGATGAAGCTGGATGTTAGAGTGGATGAAGATGGCATCTTTTTCGATGAGTGATTCTGAAGATCATGGGGGATCCTGTTGGCCCCTCTGAGAGCTAGTCCTGGGCCCCGAAGCTAGGGGAAGCCTCTCGGGGGATTCGGGTCCTCAGAGTCAAATGTAGGCTCTGTGTATGTACTGTGTAGTGCATTTCAACAGAACTGGCATCTCAGGCAGAAAACGGCAACGGACAACGGCATAGGAGAACAGGAGATTGCTTGGAAACCCCAAACTACTGACCAACCCCCCATTTCTGCTAAGAAAGACTGAGATTAATTCTATTCATCTTGCCCAAGTGGCATGTCTACGATGTGGTGTAGCAAAAATAAACTGCAATGCTGAGCGCAATCAAAATATTATCAACTCTGCAAGACATGATACGGCAGATGCAATTGATAAACATCCAACGTTTCTTTTGAGTATCTCCAGTAATATGATATCATAGCAACAATAACTAATTGCTAGCTGATAGCTGATTTGTATCGGCCATCGAACCATCCAAAAAACATCAACATCAGTTCGATGAATCATTTTCAGACTCCAAACCTTTGAGAGTCGAAGGTTTAGCAGCTTGTTTGTTGCCCCATTTCCGGTCCCTCTTGATCGCATCCTTGTGTTTCCGACGCATCTGTTCTGTCAGAGTGGACTTCTTCTTATCATGGGCAGTTTCGATTTCCGAACTGTTTCAACAAGCCCAGGAGTAAGTTAAGCTCAACAACGAACTTTCATCATCATGTGCTTCAGCAGGCCAACCAATCAAAAACTTACACAGACTCCGTTCTAACAAATGTCCTCCAACTGTCAGATGATGATGAGGGTATGCTACCAGATAGCCAATGCCGTCGTGCAGCCTCTCGATGCTCAGTCGATAGTAAAGAATTGATCACCTTGGAATCCGGATCTTCGTCGGTGGGATAAAAAAAGAATGGCCCGTTTCTTTGGCCTTGCTTAACGTGAATGGCAGTCTGGGTTTTAACGAACCCGCTACCTTTCAGACGAGATGGATGGATAAAGGTATTGGACTTCAAGGGCTGTCCATCCACCAGTTGTTCAGATTGGAAATCTTGTGCTGATGGCGAGCCGTCCATTTCTGTTTCATCGCTTGGCCCGAGCACATCGTCGTCCAATTCCATTCCCCCCAAATCATCAGTCAAGCGAAACCCTGTCGTCTCAGCTTCTTTTGCTTTGAACATGTCCGTCAAAATTGATAGTCGAACGGGAGATACGTTGTCCGGTTCTGTATGATCGGTGATCTTCTCGTTATTCATCGCCACTATGTCTGATTCGGGTTGACCCTGAGACCGCCGAGGGCGTTTAGATGAAGCACCACCTCTCAAGCGCAATGCGGGGGTACTACTTGAGAGAGGGTGTTCGGTGAATTGCTCAGGAAGAGGTTCGGATGAAGGATGTTCATCCGCATCTCTCAGCTTTTGAAGGGTCGAGCTAGAAAGCGCCACCCGTTCTTCTTGAATCACATCACCGCAGTTTGTTAGTCTCCAAACAGCGTGACCGTCTTCTCCGAGCTGGCATTCCCACAGCAGTCGATTTGCTTGGCTTTTCTTAACATCTTTGGCTCCGCCGCTAAATCCTAGTTTGTACTGCTCGATTGAGATAGCTCTCGGGCCTAGAAGATGAGTCTTGCGGTTTTTGATTGCAGCTCGATAGATGGTAGGGTCGATGCGAATCCTCCTAGCACGGGTTGGAACTCGAACGCAGTCAGATGCGTCTTCTTTGAGATTAGCAGTCTGAGATTGAGCGGTTTCCAAAGGAGGCAAGGGACGGAGAGGGCGGGTGAGGATTGGAAATATCGGAAGTGAGGTCTCTGGATCTTTCTTCCATCCCTAAAGTTGGTTGAGTGGAAATGATGGTCGGTCAAACGCAAACCTGATGGAATTGGAATAATGATAATAAAGGGTCAAGAGGTTAAAAATGTACTGTACATTGACGCCCTGCCGACTTTTGAATTTTTTAACAGTCATTAATTCCATGTTCGAACTTTCGTAACCTTCGATTCCCCTCTTACGTGCGCGAAGTTTAGCCAGTTTGCGTTCCAGTTTTTGAGCAGCTTTTTCTTCGCGAACTCGGATAGCTTCTTCGTCAGGATCGACAAAGGTGTTGATAGGCAAGTTGGCTTTTTCCCTTTCAACTCGGGCAACGTAATCCGGTCTTGCAGGTGCGATCCGCAAGGTGCCACCTTTGTAGGTCGTACCAGATAGTAAGTTCATGCCTTTAAACCAAGGAAAGGGACTGAGTCAATCGATTTGACTTGATTTGTTGGGATGAACCAAATAGTTGAAACCTACATCTCTTGATTTGAGGATCCGTCGAAAGTATGTCGACAAAAGCATATTTGAGAGGGGAGCCTAGCACATTGTTTATGTAAGGCAAAGGGACATCAGTTGAACAGCGAATCAGTCAGATGCTGATCTGGTTCAAGTGAAAGCTAAACCTACCATTGGCGTCCAGCTTGCCAACTCCATCCACTTTGACGACGGTTCCGAAGGCAGCAAATCTCTTCTCGAGGTCTGATGAGGTGACAGATGGTCCAAGGCCACCGATATGCAGGCGAAAGTTCTGTTGATCAGTCATCGATTTGAAGCTGGTTGCTCTTCGGCGGGTTGGTTTGTCTACGTGCAGTTGGGTTTTCTCAAAAAAAAATTAAATTTAAAATAAAACTCATATTGCATACACCGACCCAGGCCAGCTCATGCATACACAGCCAACCTTGGAGCCGCTTGAAGAGGAGGAAATTGCAAACTTTGGATTTCCTGCTTTTTGCTTTCAGGATGGACTATAGATGAAATCATCACACCTCAACAGAGACTCAGAGAGCATGACGAAGGAGTAATTTCCACATCTTGTCATGACAACTGAACTGAGGCACTTCAAACAAAAGAGGAAGTTGTATGCACAACATGAACTTCATGAACATGTTGGGGAATTTTATATGTGCACATCTGATTAGAAAGGGCTCATGATCCAATTAAACAACTATTTATGTATTGTAGGTTGCAGATAACATAATTCATTCAGTACAAAACCCATCGGTGCCCACCCAGCTGTTTGAAAATTGTGTGGAAGTGGCCCTCAAATCCCTGCTCCTTGCCAGTGATAACGGTGTCGAGCAATGGTTGATGGTAGCTTTGAAGGAATTTGATGATGTAATAGGCCATTTGCAGTTGGAGTTTCTCATGTTTCTCAGCTGGCTTGCTCCTAGTGTTTTGGAAAAGCTCGACAGCCGATTTGACCAGATCGACAACTGGGATGTTTTGACCTGCGAACAGATTGTAGCGCTCTTCGATCCCACGCGTCTTGGCGATTCCTGAGTACATTCCAGCCTGAGCAAGGAAATCACTCTGGGTGAATCCTTTGCTGATCTCGGCGAATTCTCCACTTGAATATTTCGTCAGACCCCATGGCGCATTTCGTATGAATGTGCTGAGGACGAGGTAGACAAGATGCTGGCGATCGACTTCAGCATCAAGAGCTACATAATGCATCAATCAAAGTCATCCATCAGTAAGCAGAACCCAACCTCCAAGGAAAAGCGGAAGACAAGCAGGGTGTGTGTGGGTGCTGATCAATTCAGAGTCGTGGAACTCAGGGAAGTGTTTTGAGCTGTTATGAGCGCGATGAAAACATGACTAGATAAACCTCACCTTTTATGGATCTTTGGAAGTGTTTCATAGTTGGGTTTCCTTGTATGGAATCTAGGTGAGGTAATAGTGTCGAACCGCTGTGTTCGAAGAAACTTATCCCCCACTTGCTGAACTGCAGATCGATTTGGTACTCCACCATTTGGAAGAGGGTGTCTGGCTTGAAGATTTCGATGGCTTGGATGAAGTTGGATGGCACCTGCTGACGTTGGTGAATCAAGTCCCCGAGAAGATACATGTATTGCAAAAACTTCAGTTTGAAAGCCGGTTCAGTCTTCCTGAGCTGATCGTCTTTCTCAGCTTGCAATCTAATCAGCTCATGCTCTAGAAACTTCCAGATGTCCATCACTTCTTGCAGCATGTCCTCCTCGGGAAGTTCAGGGGAAACCCCACCGCGCGAACGAAGCTGTTGCCAAGCCGGCCTTGACTGAACTCGATTCGGACTTTGATGATTCTCCAGCTGATGATCAGAGCTTTGTGTGCTCAGCGTTCGAAAGGAAATCAGGCGGGGACTTGGATGATGAGAACGATCTACTGACCTGCCGGAAGAAGTTTTAAGTAATGACGAAGCAGCACCAATTTTTGCTTGATAGTCACAAATTCTGAGATTGATTTGGCATCGAAGCCTTCGACTTGGCCCCCGGTCGTGGCTGCTGGTCGAAGCAAGCCGTAAGCTTTCAGTGAGATCAGCAGCTGCCAGAAGGCAAGACGAGCAGAAACTTACCTGGCCTTTCTACTCTAAGTTCCTCCAAGCTGATTCGGATAACTTGATTGTCTTGAGGGGATCTGATACCCCGGAAGGTTTCTAGGCAGAATAGACGATAGGGGTCCAGGGGAAGTCATAATTTCAGGCTCGACAATTCTTATAAAGAGCTAATGATTGGAGGAAGAAGACACACCCACCCATAGACCTCCCTACCCATCTTTCACTCGGACTGGATCGCACAGCCACAAGTCGACCGAACGCGTGCAGGGCGAGGCAGAAGAACAACCTCTTCAACACGATCAAATACATCCTGCTTGAACCTAAATCCGCTGCAGCTATCAGGAGGGCTACGTCTACGTTGGAAAATATACAGCAGTTAGGGTGGTTGGTGAGGGCGTTGGTAATAGAGGGCGCTGAGACTGAGTAGGATGCCTCGCTCTTTAAGTACTCCTTCCTACCATTGCACGAATTGAACAATCGCCCAGCCAGTGCAAAACAAAAAAGAAGTCCACGTGACCCTGTGACTCGGCGCGCGTTTCACGGTTCAGAGAGTCCCGCTCAATTGCATGTTTCGAACAAACGGGGGGAGCCTATGAAACAAAGGTTGTACATCTAACACGTTGGTGGACTCCCGGCATCCAATGTATGTATTCCGGAGACGCACCCAACGTTTAGAACGGTTAACCTCCACCTTGGTGTCATTCTGGGTGGGCAGTTAGACTTGCCGCTTTGAACCTGTTGTTTGTTCATCAGGTCCGTATGCATTTCAAACAACACCAGTGTCCACCCTCCATCCAACCTCACACCAAAGGATTAACAGGTGAATTTGTCTCACGCAACTTGTCTGGCGCTATGAAAGGTGCGAAAGAACATGCTCATGATTGACATCACTCAAACTAATCAAGTCATAGAGCAAAATAGGATGAATTAAGAAAACAGAAAAAAAGCGAGACTCCTGCAACCAAGGAAGGGCTGCCAAACGTTCATTAAATGAGACTAGGAGAATATAATGGGGGGGGGTAGATAGTTCCACGGCTGATTCGGAACAATTTGAGACTTCATCACAGCAAACCACCACAGCCAGTAATCATGGAGAATAAGGAAAAGAGTTCGTGCAGCAGATTATGCAAACACAGCAAGGGCTCCGGCCATCGCGAGGACGAAGAATCCGGGGCTGCTTAGACAGAAGATAAGGACCAGTTAGCCAAGGTGACACAGGGCAGAGCTAGAAATTCATCCAAGACTTACATTGCGCGGGAAGCGTCGCTCTTACCGGCCTGGCCAGCTGGGCTACCAGGAGTAGTAGCAGCGGTGTTGGGGCTTCCAGCAGTGGCTGACGAGGTGGAAGGAGGCGAGGAGGAGGAAGGAGTAGGGCTGCTGCCGGGCTTGGTGTTGTTGCTGCCGGGGGTGGTAGGGGTGGAGCCTCCGGAGGGGGCGGAGCTGCCTGGGGCTTCTGTCTTGCAGGTCTGGGTGCTTGATTGGACGGTGAACTTGTCGGAGTAGTTCAGTTTACCTTTGCTGTCTCGGATTTGAACACTCAATGAAGAGCCAGCGGGTTGGTCGACTTGCCTGAAACAGTAAGAATCAGCCAGTCAGGTTGGGTTAAATTACACCTGGCTAGTGACCAGAAAAAAACGAGGATGGCAAACCAGGTGAGGCTGTTGTCCTTCTGGGGGCCAAAGTCTTTGAGAATAGGGCTCGAAACCTGTCCACCAGTAATCAAGCTGACGTAGACGGGAGGGGTACCACCGGTCCACTGCAGTTTGAGAAATTGTAGATAGGAGTCAGTGAGGAGCTGTCATGGGGGGATGTACTGAAGTCGCCAAAGCTAACCGAGATTGCAACGGGGAGACAAGCTTGCACAGAAGCTAGTCAGCCAGCAAAAAAGTGGCACAAAGAAGGATGTCAGCAAGACTGAATTCTCAAAGGGCGCGGAAAAAGATTGAGAACGCGGCTTACTGGGGGTGTTGACGGTAAGTGGAGGCCCGTCTCCAGCTTGCGGGGGCTCTGGGGAGGCTTGGCCAGAGGCAAGGTTAACGATGGTGGCCAAAGTGACTAAAAATCGGAGAGACATGATTTGCCTTGGGTGGGGTTCTGTTAAGTGTGTGAAGCGAGAAGAAGGAGATTGAAAGCTCAGTTGTCAGCAAAGCGAGCGATTGATTGATGATTCTGATGATGGGGGGAGGTTGAAAGATTTGGGGCAGTTTGCAGCTCGGGAGGAAACGATGGGCAGGGGGAGGGGGGGGTGAAGTCAGGTGGCCGGAGTGGATGGATGGGGAAGAGAAACAGACAACAAGGATATTCGGAATGTGTGCGTTTAGGTTGGGACAGTGTTCTACAGCGGCAGATTTTTATAAACGCAGGGCGAGCTGCGGGCACTGTGAAGAGCCAGTTGAGGAGCCGAGTAGGGCATAGCCGATAATTATGTTGAGTATGTAGCAGCAGAGTGAGCAGCCGACTTACTACTAGGGTCGATCTTGTCTTGGTTGGCAGGGAGGCGAAGGAGAGGTGATGGGAATAAAGTATTGATTGGAAAATATAAAGTAGGTAAGGAAGAACGAAGGACAGTGGGTGCTGGTTTTGAAGATGTGGAGTGGGGTGCTGGGTATTTCAAGGAGCGTGTGGAGTTGATGATGGCTTGGTTTTTGTTGGTGAGCAGAGATGTCTGTGTGGGCTGGACTTGTTTTTTTCTGGGACTGAAGCTCTCTTTTTCTCGCTCGCCCGGACTGCCAGCCTGCCACCGACCACCCACACCCTAGAAAATCTGATCCATACATCTTACATACAGAAATAGGGACCACTCTCAATGGCCATGGGTACTTCGCCCTCGATGCTGCTTAAGTCCATACAATGTAGAACTGTCGACCGTTCAAGACTCAAGTCGAGGCGCAAGAAGCTGCAGATGTGCAGCCAAGACAGAGACTTCATCACTGCATCCAAACAACAGACTCTCATCAGTCCTACATAAATCCATACGCGCACACACACACGCACACAAGTGGAAGAAGTTGATTGAAAATATTGTACAGTCGAGCTTGATCTGATGACGTTGCAGCCACTTTCCAACTGCGACAACACCGCTCGAGTATGCACTTACGACCGTTGCTGTCCGAGTTGATCTGAGAAAAACACAGACAACTTGGAAATCGCTCTGATCACGGGAAAGGGTGGACGACGAGGAGCTTGCAGCGGCGAAGGGAGCGAGCTGGGCTTTATGGATGGTTTCGATCGTACTCTATGTAGTGGGCTCCTGATTGGGTGCCTACAAACATAATCATTCCGACCCAAGCACTCAGTTTTTACCAATGACTTCAGCCGCCGAGCCTTCACAAGTCGACCAAGTTTTGGCTGCTGACTGCTTCATTCATAGGCTCTCCTGAAACCTTCCCCTGCTTCGGCAGGATCCGGCGACTGCAACTCCCTAAAAAAAATAACTGCACCCTCGGACCACTCTTTCGATGACGCACGCAGGTCAATCAAGCCTTCTTTTTCTTTTTTCTTCTTTTCTTTTGTTTTTTTTTTCTGTTGATTGGCAGCTTGCACCCCGCTTGGACGCTTCGTTGGCAGGAGCTCGATACTCACCAATCGACAATGACATCCATCAAGACAGCTGTGATCACAATCCATCACTCCCAGAGCTCATCTCGACTTTCAACCCACCCCTGTCGACTGCCAACTGGCTATTCAATAGCCCTCGTACACCGAGTACGAAGGCTATACAAGGTCATCTGAGATGACCCTCGCCGTCCCTCGCCCCGCTGGCTGAGGATTACATAATCAGCTCGTCCGAACTCGCAAGCAAAGGTCCATTGGCTTCAAGCGCTGCGCAACCGCTGGGGATCGCAGCATTGCACAGCTGCTGTCATCGGCATCATCGGTCCCAAATCCCACCCGTGCAGCCTCGTACCTCAAAAGATGCTCGCAGACAACCGATCCAAATCGAGGTTCTGATTCCAATTGGACACTCGCATACCGGAGAAGGAGACATTGAACAGGAAGGTCTTTTAGATGGCGGTGTTGGTGAAGAAGACAAAGAGCTTCTGGTGCAGGCTGTTTTCTAATGATCAGGTAAGCGTAAAATGGTGTCAATCGTTGGCTATACCCCCTGCTATCCAGGTTACAAAAGGAACTTTGTAGGCAGTTTTTTGTGAATTTCAAGATAAAAAAAGCAAAGTGATGAAGATGGAAAGAGGTGAAAAATAAGAGGAAACAGATGCAAGAATAAGACAGTATAGCTTCATGAGAGTGTTTAAGGTTTGAAATTTCAAGGAAACCAAAAGAGGTCTGAGGGAGAATGGGTTAGTAAGTAATGTGTAAAAGAATTTGAGTCCTCCCCCAACTTGAAAATTGAAGGAGAGTTGTTTTGGAATTTGGGTCAAGCATCTCCCACAATTTGAATTTGTATCCTAATGATGTTTCATTCTCTGAACATATGTTATGATTTGTACAGTTCTTACTTGCCTTTCCCATTGAGCATGGAATTTCATTTATTCTACATATTTACAATGCCTTGAGTGTCAAATTGATAAAGTGTAAGATAAATGCCAATAAATGATAGAGACTGAGTTCAGAGTTCCTATGTAATCATGTTACAAAGCCACATTTTCAAAGGAAATTGAATTCATGCAAACATCTAGTTATTTGTTCAAAAATAATATCACTTAGTCTGGGCTGTCCAAATAGGGCCTTGGTTTTGATATGGGTAAGCTGATTGTTGAATGTGGGGCAACCCAGTTTTTGTTTTATATGATTTATAATACTTAAACAAACCCAGAGTTTTTGTTCTATATTGTTCTATAATAATCCAACTGCTTGATGTATTACAAATATTTCACTTAGTAAGTAATAGACATTATTGGTCAATTTGAAGCAATTTGAAACACATCACATAACTACATACATGATTTCCAAAATGATTAATGTGTTCTTCATTAGCATTAAATGTCTTTTTAACAATGTTCTTCAAATTCCCTTGTAGAAATTTTCACTTTCAATCTTGGTCAAGATTGAATGTTGCTGGTCAAGATTAAGTGTTGATTGAATGTTACCAAATTTAAAATGTCTTTTTATCAGTATTCTACTTGCAATCTCAATTACAATCTAATTTTTTGAACTTTCAATTTTTCTTATAACTATCCAACTTCACCTATGGACAAAGAGTCAATGTTATCAACTTTCAAAATTTGATTTAGCAATGTTAAACTTGAAATATTGATCAAGATCAAATTATAACAACTTGAAGCAAGTTGACTTGCAAAAGAAATAAAATCTCACAATATCCAAACTGATCACCCAAAGACATCTGAAACTTGTTCTCTCTTTGTTGGTCTTTGGGTTAGTGTTCAACATGCATCTTCATCAGTGTGAATTTCTTTCACCCGTTTCCAATTTGAATCTTCACTAACATTAAATCTCTTTTAGCAATTTTCAACTTGATGATTAAGATCAAATTTTCACACTTGTTTGCCCTCTTCCTCATTCAGTAATTTTAGAAGGGGGAAAACAATAAACCTCATTTTATTTAAAAACTCCTCTTGGAATTCAAATATAGCAAGACATTATTGTTTAAATTCAAATTCTCCTCTCAAATCAGCATGTTTCTGTCAGGAATCAGGATTCTTAACTTCTCAAAAATATATCAATGGCTGGGTGTGGACACCTTGGACTAGAGTAAATACCTTCTATGAGTTGTAGCCACTGGTCCATACCAGTAAACTTCCATTGAGCTGATTCTAGCTTCTGCAGAGTAGCCCACAGCTGAAATAAGTGGATCTCCACATCATCAACCTGAATCTCCTTTTGAATCTCATTCAATCATTGCTTTTACTTCCATCACAAAAAACAACCAGGCACTTCCAAGAGAAGAAGACATTAACTGTACAGTTCAGAGATACTTTTGAGTTTTGACCTGAGTCTCTTGAAGCCACTGATCAACTCACCTTCATCAATTTGATTTGTCAGCCCAGTAATTCCATCAGGTATCAACACCAGGAAGAGAATCACGTCTCAGGAGGGGCCTCAGCGATGCCATTCAGAACAGCCGTTGAGGAGCGTAGCCTCGGCCTCACTGATGTTGTTCAGAGCAGTTGTTGAGGAGTGCCCCCTCGGCCTCAGCGATGCCGATCTGAACGGTCATCGAGGAGACTGCACTCTCAACGATGGCCGTTCAGAACGGCCATCAAGCACAAGAGGGCTTGGGGCAGGTACCCTGTATGCCGGAGCGGTACCCGGTTACAGGCGAATCTCTGCCCACAAGCAGCACCGGGCATCTGGGATTCTGATGTGCGAGTTCGGACGAGCTGATTATGTAATCCTCAGCCAGCGGGGCGAGGGACGGCGAGGGTCATCTCAGATGACCTTGTATAGCCTTCGTACTCGGTGTACGAGGGCTATTGAATAGCCAGTTGGCAGTCGACAGGGGTGTTTCAACCTTCCATTCGTCTGCTCATCAACTGAAACCCGCTCCAAGTTGAGCTTCATGAGCTCTTCCAGCCCTCAATCCCTGGCGCAACAGCAACTGGCGTTGTCTCTCTGTCCAATCGAACAGCAAGATCTCCAAATCATTTTTCATCCTTCCTCTGCCTTGGTGATCGGCTATCTATCTACAATCACACCAGAGTTCAGTTCTTGATTGCCACATCCTTGGCTTTTGACTGACCATCCAGGCAGTTTCACAAACTCAACAATCTTTCATCTTCAAATTATGATTAAGCTTGCTGAAACATCTATCTCCAGTGCTATTCCAGAGGGTAATAATTATGGCTTTACATAAAAAAGAACATGAGCACATCACTGTTAGTTGCTGCCATAGCTTCCTCACTAAGGCATTTAGCAAGAACATTCCACACACTGACTGAATCAAGCTAAGTCTGAGATAAACTCATCTCAGTGCTCCATTTTGAGCTTGAGGTCCCCAGTGGAGTTGGCTAGTTGGCTGGGCTCCTGACAGGCTACCTGGCCTGTCCTGGGTTTGGGTTGGGCACAGGAAGTCCTCCCTTGCCTGAGGCTTCTGCGGGAGGGACTTACAACTTATCAGGAATTCTCACATGAGACTGCTGGTTATTTGTGCCCTCTTTTTGGTAAGATTGTTGTTTATACCTGTGCAATTTTCAAGCCCTATCCCCAAGACTTATTTTTCCTACTATGTATATCACATGCCTTTTCTCTCCATTTTAAATATTTTTCAACATGTTGTAACTCCACTGTACATTTTTTAGGCTCCGTTTGGCAGTCCATTATATCATAAGTAAAAATATGTCAATCCAGATAATCAGAATATGGTTGATAAACCTTAAACCAATTATCACAAAGCTAGACAATCCCCCGCGATAACGTTGCCCTGAGGCAACCGATATAACATCGGTCTCCTTGACCAATTTTATATTGGCCAGGCCCACCGATACATTTTTCCTTTGTTCTAATGTATCGGTGATAAAATTGGTCGATCAGACCAATCTTATATCGGTCGCCTCCGGGCAACCTTATCGCGGGGGGTTGTAACTGATACAACCCCTTTCGAAGTGCCGCTGCTCATTACAGTGGATTTTTGGTGTTATAGTGTGACCAGCCAAACACTATTTTCACTTATGATAATAAATGTGGTCCCCCAAAACAATTTGCAGGATTTTCCTATGATAATTTATGATATCATGGACTGCCAAATGGAGCCTTAAAATTTTTTTAGAGAATAAACAATAGGGGGGTTCACAATTGAACTTTAAAGTGATTTTCAAGGCGTTTATGAGCAACATTTTATATTTTTTTTGAGTTTTTACAATTTATTGGTTTCTGAACCTTCTGTACATCACAAAAAATTTATAAATTTATGATCAGAAACACCTTAAAAATGGCCTTAAAGTTCAATCGTGAACCCCCCTAATAATTGAATTCCAATCATTTTGGTGAGTGTGCACAGACAATAATTATCTTGTTATCGGGTCACATTGTCAAGAACTTTGAGAAAATCAAACTTAGAAAAATATAAAGGAGAGGAAGATGTGAGGGTTGTGGCTTCAAATTCTATCAAAAGAAAACAAACAAGGAGGCCAATAACATATACTGAAAACTTAGAATGGTAGCTATTATCTACAGTGCATTGTGGAGGTTCAAAGTTGAACACCACCAAATCTGAAAAATCTCCCATGCAAGAATTCCTGATAACTCATAAGTCCCTCCAGCAGAAGCCTTGGGAAAGGGGGGACTTATTTAAGTTTGATCCTCTTGTGAGGCTGCTGAGGTGGAAGGCCTGACAGGCAGCTTGTGGGTGGCCATCTTGGATCCCTTTCAACTTGGGATGCTGGGCTGTGCCATTGTGGGGACCCGAATCCCCACAATTTGCCTCTGCTTGCTAAGTTAGTCTCACTCTGCTGCTGTATCATATGATACACAGTACATTAACTCACAAACCAGGATGACTTTAAAATCAAGAGATGGCTGGGTCTAGCACCAACAACAGCATTTGAGTAGCACCATCACAAGCTACCACCACTAACATGAACTCCCCACAGATCAAAGAATCAGCAACATCCTTGCCTTCCAAAGGTGTTGGAAAATCACAGGAAGATAGTCAATCAAAGAAGAGAAAAATTGTGAGCAAGGTATGGATACACTTCTTGAAAATCATAGAGGGTTTTTTTTTCTCAATTTCTCATTGGCTTGCCTGATGCCAATGATTTGACAGAGACTGCTTTTGTGTTTGAATTTTCATATGGTAAAGAAATGGCCAAGCACAACACCTCAAAAAAGAAGCTGTCTGGCACCTCATCTTCAGGAACAAACCATCTCCAACATCATACAACCCAATGCTTGGCCAAAAAAGGAGGTGCCGGGAAAACCCAGGCTGCTCAACTTTAACACATTGTCTCATGCCACTGGCAATCAAATCTGGATCTACTCCCAAGAAAAATGCTGAGAGAAGCTAGATGAGATGATCATTTTACACAGACACCTATTTGCTATTGTCAAGCACAAGGGGCTAATCAAATTTATGCAAACTGCTCATCCAAAGTTTAACATGCCTGGTTGCAAGACATTACAAAATAACTTCATCAACCTTTTTAGCAGGGTCAAGGCCATCCAGATTGAGAATATTTCCAAGGCCATTCATATTGCACTAACCACAGACTTGTGGAGTGATTCTTGTTGGAATGCTGTCTCTCTCTTCTCATCCCTAAAAAACCTATATATCTACTACTCTTACTAATTAGTTATGTTTAAATGATTTAATATATTTAAATGGCTATGTCTTGTAAGTGTCTGAGTGCTATATTTTCTATTTGTCTAGTGTTGAAATCCCTGCAGTCTTCAAACCTGGGTCTAGTCTTTATCATTGATTATTTTCTCCTTTCATCTTTTTCATGCATACATTAAAATTGTTATTCATTTTTATATTCAATTTTTCTCAACCACATGTTTGAACTCTTGTACGTAGAATACTTAACACCTAGTCTCTTCTAAGTTTAACACAATCACAAGAAATCATTCTTTGTTGAAAAAAATTCTCAAATATGTTTTTTCCTTCTCCGGTCCTAATTTCTTCAATTCTAATCTCCCGGGGTGTGACAGCACACTACATAAAACCAAAGTGGGATCTACAGTTGACTCTGAGATAACCCATAGCTGAGAAAACCCATACTTCTATTAATCCATAGGAAAATCTGTCTGCCAAGTTCGTGGGCAGGGAAAAATGGGTGTTAACCCATAACTCTGCATTCTGCAGTAACCCATACCCTTTTTGAGAAAAAAAAAAACGAAACATTATGGGTTTTTTCACCTTCAATTTCAAATTTTTCTGAATGTGTACATAAAATTAAATGCATGCTTCTCACTCTCAGCTTTCTTCTCAGCTTAAGCCAAACAGATTCAGAGTCTCAGAATAAATCTCTTGTGCTTTGTATCATCCAAATGTGATTTTTTTCTTTTCTACCTCAGAGTCTGTTCCTGTCTCAGATTAATCACATAAATACATAAATTGTAGATAGATCAAGCAAAGAAGCTGATGCATACGGGCTACACGAGTACAGCCATACCAAAATCAAAGAAATCATAAGAACAATATCTGTGTCAACCCATGATAATCATGGGTTGATATTATGCCTTAACCCATGAATCATGGGCTAATACAGATCTCACCCCTAAGCCACAATTCTATTACCCCATACCAAAACCTTTCTCCCAAGGGGTATAGGTTATCTCAGAGTCAACTGTAGTCAAGTTGATCCTCAGTTCCCAACCTCTCATTCCAACACATACTAGCCAAGCAATCTCCAATCACATCATACAAATCCTTCCTGAGTGGAAGGTCTTATACTATCTTGTATTTATTACACTTGACAGTGCAAGCTCAAACAACCTAGCTATCACCTGTCTCAAGAAATTTTCAGCAATCACACTCTCAATACTGGTTCTGCAACCTCTTCCCACTTCCACTTTGGGTGCTCAGGTCACATTGTCAATCTTCTTGTGAAGGACAGGCTCAAGGTCATTGGTATTTCTGCCAAGCAACTCTGCTCAATCATTCACTACGTACATGGTTGAGAGTCTTGCATGGATGCTTTTGACAAGGCACTTGGGACAGTTCACATTGAAATCAAGAAAAAAAAACCATGTAAGGACATCCCTGTAGTGAATCAGAGGGGGTAAACGGTATGGATTCCGGGTAGGTGTGGACCAGAGGAGACAGATGTAGTCTCCTCCAGCTGGCTGAGCCGCGGCTGAGTCACACCATGTGACCTAGGTCACAACACCCACCCCCTTGGCAAGGCTCCAAGACACCTGCCTGGGAGGTCCTAACTACATACAAGCTGAGAAAAAATAGAAAGAAAATGAAGAAAGTTAGAAGAAATAAGTGATCAAAATAAGATAAATCTTGAAGAAAAATTGGTGTGGAAAGGTTGGGGGAAGGCTGAAAGGTAAAAAATAATCAAAAGAAAATAAGATGTAAGAAAAGATGAGTAGCTGAAAATAAAAAAATCAAATGTTTAGAAGTGGGAAAGGGGGTTGTAATGTGAAACAGGCTATTAATAAGTGGAACCATCATCATTTTCAAAGCAACCATCATCAAATCCGTCAAATCCACCCTTGTCAAAACTAGAGATAGTCATTCTGGACCCTGGTACCAAGCAGTACCCAGGTACCCCCCCAAATATGGGGCAAAATCAGGTACCTAGTACCGCACCTGGCACCTCCTGGGTGGTGCCACAGGTAACTCTGGCAGGTACCACAGGTACCACCTTGACTCTTGGTTTGCTTGCGGGGGTGACTCTTGGGAGCCATGGTTGTCAACTATTGTCATCAGTTGAGTGCTGTGGGCAGCTCAAGGGGACCAGGACAATATTCTTCAGGGATATTGATATTTACATATCATTCACATGTCACATTCTACCTTCCTGCAGGCCCTGAATCTCCCTGGGGGGTGAGCAGTACCAGGGTACTACACCGCTTTCTGGCCAAATTCAAGTACCTAGTACCGCACCCAGCACCTCTGCACGGGTGCAAGACAGGTGTGAGGGGTACCTGCCATGGGTACCGAATGACTATCTCTAGTCAAAAACGCCATTGTCAAAACCGCCATCTTCAGATCCTTCATCGAAACCACTGTTGTCCCATCCACCATCATCAAAACCACTGTTGACATCAACAGTCTCCAAACCATCTAAATTTTCCTCCATTTGAGACAGGTATTCATCAAAGTGATTGTAGTGATTAGATCCAAAGTTGTTGTCTTGAGGATGGAGTTGCTGTTGGTCAAATTCATTGTTGTTAATGTTATCAGGCTGGTAGTGGAATTTATTACTGGTGTACTGGAGGCCAATAGGTGTAGTCAATGGTTGTTCAAGGTGATCATGAGTTGATGAGGTTTGTTGAGTAAGCATCAGAGTCAGTTGGTCAAGGTTGGTGGTAGCATACTGTTGGAAAGATTCAGTTCTAGAGTTGGGTCCCATAACACAAAGGTGCTCAAATTCATCTGCTGACAGGGTGCTGGCCCAGTTGTCAACATCTTCAGCGCTATATTTTTTCAAGTCAAAATCTGGTTCAAATGGTGGGGTTGAATTGGTTTCTGGGAAAAAATGGGAAAACACTATCTTCTAGAAAAGCCTTGGAGTTAGAAGTTTGTTCTGGTTGAAACTGATAGGGAGCCACATTGATATCCAGATCAGACCGGTTGTCCCATTCAATATCTTCTAGATCATCTACCTCATCTTGCGATTTGACTGAACCGCAGTTGAAATCCTCATCTTGTGCCAGATCTGAGCAGCCTTCAAATTTGTAGCCTTCAATAGGTGATTCCAAAGACAAGTTTCCATAGGCACGGTATTCCTCAGTTGATTGTAAGAATATTGAAAATCAAAACGTTGATTGTTTGGTTATATATGACTAGGTCCCAGGGAGCTCTCTTGGGGCCTGTAACACTTGTGATGGTTGAAGATGTGGGCTAGGTTATGGCTTTGATGAAATAAAGCTTTGAATTCCTTTGGAGTGCCGCCAATGGTTTGTTTGACCGGCGGTATTAGTAGAGCTTGATGAACTTGATCCAATTGTTGGCGATCAATCATTGCACGACTCCTCTTCCAAGCTCTCGAGCAATGAGTCGGGCGTTTCCATGAGATCTGTTGATTTAAATTGTGTGGCCAATTGAGATTATGTTGGAAACCAATTGAGTTGAAAGTTGTTGGTATGGGTCCATGGGAAGTTTGAGGCAGTAGGCTTCCCAAAACACAGTGTAGATCTGCCAGAAAGAGTTGAATCTGACCATGAGCACCATACAAGTAGTTGTCCATCACAATCAAGGGGGAAATCCGGGATTCTGTGTCAGTAATTTTAAGGAAGAAGGTCCGGAATGATTTATTAGCAAGAGTTTGAAAGATAGATCCGGTATTATTTGTCGGTTTATTTCAAGATTTAAAATGTGAAGGTTTTTTTTATTGGCGAGTTAAGAAAACTCTAACCCTAACCCTAGTGGTAGTGTAGTGTTCATTGCAACATATTTCCAAATGTGTGAGTTGTTGCTATATGACTGTGATTTAATACTCCAAGATTAAGAGGTAAATAGGCCTAAAAGCCACTCAAAGAAGTGCTGCAACACAGCATAGTGGGTAATTTGTTGTTGCCTGTGCATATAGTGTTAGCTTAGAGCTGTCAGAATTCCACTATTCTACACTAAGTTTCAGTATATGTAATTCAGGTGCGCTACCTACACCAAGAGCCTGTACCTGTTGATGTCTAAGCCCCCTGTCTGAACTCCCTTGGTCTCTAGCCTTTCATTTTACCTCAATATCCAAATAGTGATGTCATCTGGCTCAAGAACTTGCAATGACATCACCACGCTCAAACCCTAAAAAATATTGTGTGGTTATTTTCTTGCACAATCCTATCCTTCTTCCTCTTGTGTGGTTGTTGTCTCACATGATCCCTTTCCTTTTTCCTTATCATCCTTCTTTCTCTCCTTGGTTATTTATCCTCCTCAGGATTGCTTCTACATCAACTAGTTCCTCCATCAAAAAGCTTCTCCCTTCATAATTATGGATTCTTCCTGAACTTGACATTAAATATTCATCATCATCTTATCTCAAGATCCTAGTCTATCACTCTCTTCATAAGACAGCTATCATTTCTTGACCTACATCATCATAATTTCTTGCCTCACATCAACAATCATCTTCTTCTGAAGACAACTGAACTTTCAGCTTCCCCAATCCTAACATCATCAAATCCCTTCTATTCAACAGCTCGCCAATCCCTTGTTCTTTGAAATATCTCATTGTTCATTGTAGGTTCTTGTCAATCTTTCCTTGTCACCATTCTCACATTGACCTTTCTTCCTTGGTCAGATTGACCTTATTCATACTCTCATTGTTATAGTACCATAGTGTACTGTTGTTCTTTTAATTTGTCATCTACTGCTTTTAGGTGATTATTATCTATTTTTTCTTTCTTTTTTGATCTTGTATTTCTTTGACTGGCACTCATGAAATACAATCTTTTAGTCTATTCCTTAACAGTACCATGTGGCATGAAATTTCCATTTATCAGAATTTATCTTCCTCAAGTTTTCATATCATCAAAAGTGACCATTTCCAACAACCAGTTTTTAGCCTAAGAGTGCAGAGTTTCAAAAAAAGCTCTATCCACTTGTTTTATATTTTTGTTTGGAAGACAGAAAAAAAATCTAATTTTCCAAAATTGAATCTCACAGTGCAGGCCCTCACGCTACTGTTAGCATAAACTAGCTGACTCAGTGTTTTTAAAACTTGAACAGGATGTTGGAATCTTAATCAGTATGTTCTCATTGAGAAACAGGATGGCCATGTTGTGAGATGTATTCTGAGTTTCTCAATTTTGTAAATTTGTGGTGACACCCTCGATGATATCTCTAGCCCCAAACCAAATGAAACCTAATCTGATGATACAGCTACCCAAAATCATTGCCTCCATTCTTAATTTTTCTTCTCTAATTTTCCTTCCTCTCACTCTCTAATTGATATAATCTATTTCATTGTTCCCACACACATCTCCTCCATCAATTCCGCACCATCCCCTTCTGAACCACTATGATCTTATAATATTTGTCTGCTCTCTATTTTACTTAAGTAGATATCACCTCTATTAATCAGTCCTCAAGCTCATCACTTGATAACTTCCTTTGAATTTTTTGACTACACTGCTTGACTCATTAAACAGGGACTGTAGATGCTAATTCAACAAACAGATGAACTGTCAATTTGGTAATAAATCATAATTTACCATTCTCAATCAATTCATCTTACTTGAATGATCTCTTCATTCTGGATCCAGTTATGATGTGTAATTCTCTAATTCTCTGCTTCAAATTTGTCTTTCTCTGCATTTTTATTTTTATTTTTTTTGTGATAGTAAATCCATTGTTTTCAAACATTGATCTTTATCTTATGATATCATACTTTCTACCTTTTCTTTATTTTTCTGACTTTTATTTATTTTTCTCTAGTAAGTTTCTATAGTAATCACCTCAAATGATCCCTGGCCAAATATCACACTGATTGTCAGATAAAAAAACCTGCTTGCATTTTTTTCCTTTTAGTTCAGCTTACCAACAGACCTATTTGAACTTCTGCTCCATGAGCCCCTGGTTGGCTTTAACTGAGGAATACACAACAGACCTATTTGAACTTCTTCTCCATGAGCCCCTGGTTGGTTTTACCTGAGGAATACACTTGATTAATGAGCCAGCATCATGTGGTGTTTGATATGATAAATTATAATTGGTAGGCAATGGTGATAAGCATCAAATTACTAATTTCTAGGGTGAGACTAGGTATCAAAGATGAATTTACAAAATGGTGTCAGAATTTGAATCAGTCACTGTGTGTGTTGAGTGTATTCCTATGTGGGGAGTTGGACTCACCCCATAATTAAAACAGTGCTGTAAATCTATTTGTGGCTGCATCCCTGGTATGTGGTCACCATAATGACAACAAGGATACTCAAAGCAATCTTAATTGGTTTGATTTCTTGGCTACTTTTGCACATGATTTATCCAATACTGGGAGAATATGTGTAACATCTAAGTCTGGTGCTGGCATTGGTGATGTTGGATTCAAAGATTGTGTATTGGATAGCCCAACTGGTATTCATACTGCCATCAAAGGGTTAGGAAAGCAAACTTGACACAGCTCAAAATGCACTGCACAGGACCCAGGAAACCGCCTAAAAATGTCAGTAACGTAAATCCCTGGATTTTCGGAAAATTCATACATCGGGGGGCACCGGGGACTGGCATTTTCAGGGCCATTCATACACATTTCGTGCGTATGCTTGAGTAAAAATCCCCCGGAAAGTGAAAGAATCCCCCCGAAAAAGCGGGGACTAGACATTTTGGCGGGTTTTGCTCAACATTGAGGCAATATTCATACATTTCAACTGTGTTTCGTGCGTAACATTTTTGCCGGCCAAACCAATTCATACCACTTTCGTGCGTATGATTTGGCTTTTTTTTGAAAAAATTCATACATTTACGTTACTGACATACTTCGGGGGTTTCCTGGGTCCTCACTGCACACCACCAGATTTGCTCTACTCTTGAGAGAATCTGTGTCATAAATTCCACATATCACAGCACATCACAGTGAAGGTCTTCCTGTTGGCTCTGAAGCCCCTACAAAAACAGTTTTATCACCCCTTGAATCAGATTTCTCCACAAAATCTGATTCTGGTGGGTCTCAATCTGATTCTGTAGGGTCTACACTTACAGATGTTGACAGGAAGTCCTCCAGTGTTTCCAATTGGGGTCTTGCATGGGTTTCTGTCAGAACAGGCTTGTACCTCAAGCTGATGCTCTTCTCACATGTTTTTGAGAGAATAAAACCGTTGGACTTGAAAACCTGAAGATCCAGACTTGTGCCAGTTGGATATTGGAACATGATATGTATCTATACAGCCCAGCCAGCTGCCTTTTATGATTTGTGTTTAATACTTTTTTTTTATTGATGATGATGTATTTATTATTTGTAGATGTTTTTTTTCTCTATATATCGTTTTGGATTAAAAACAAAACAAGGCAGAACTAAAATCTGGACATCTAGACACATAAAGAACAATAATGGGAAAAAAAATGACAAGGAAAAGGATAGATGTGCTGTTGTATAGAAAGATATATCTGGTTTTCTTGAAGAAACAGAGAGCAAGCAAGTAAAACTTTATACCAGGCACTTTCAATCTTGTTTTTTTTTTGAGGTAAGATCATTTCTTATTTTGCAATTTCTTTTTTGGTTCCCTCGTGCAAATTTTAGGAAAGAACAATGAGTTTTTATATACATTGAATAACACACATGCAACCTTCTGCCTAAATTTACATATATAATTATATATGTGAAATGCTGGATTTCTTTGCTCTTTTGAAAGGTTTTAACCCGGGATATATGGCTTTCTCCAATCAATCTTCATAATCCTGTTGGGGAGTTATATCGATCTCAAGTCAGCACAGACAGCAGAAAGTGACATGAAGACGCGAGTTACTCACCTGCAGCAGTTCAGCATCATCATCCAGGCTAACTTGTCGGTATCCCTGTCGGCCTCCACCAACCCACTTAGTGACCAACGGACTTGTAATCAAGTAGCCCCACAATGCGCTTCCGACGCCGACTAGGAACCATGGTATGCTAGCTATCGTGTCAAGGATTTCACTAACGCCGGTTCCACCACCTGGTCTGCGACCTCCATCTGGTAAATGAATCACTCCTCGTCGCCATCCCCCGCCGTCTCCGCTTGCTCTTCGTCTCATCCACCAAAAACCGCCCAGCCCAAAGAGGATCGCCGGAGCCACGACTACGGTTCCCCACCAAAACACTCCGTGTCTAGAAGCATTAGGGCAAATGTGTTGACGGCCCTTGTCGAGCTGGATCCCTCCTTCACAACTTGAATAAGGTATCTTCCTGAACTCCGTTCGCTCATGCCAAAACGATTCATTCCAGGCGCAATTCGGTTCAGACACCAATGGTAAAGCACCGGGCACCAAAACACATTTGTGAGTGTTCGGGTCTCGCCTGTAGTTGAATTCACACTCGAAATCTTCCTCGGAACACAAACAATTTCTTTGGATCTTGTGTGGTTGTGGTAATTTCTCGCCGACGTAACAAAGGCGTGAGGGTGACCGGACTCTCCGGTAGTACAAAGTTTGGCGCCCAAATAAACATGGTTCAGTTCGAGTTTCTGATGGTGACCACAATTCAAAATCGTCATGGTTCGGATCAGTCGTATCCAAAACACCTGCAACGGGAATATCAGATATTCAATTTGTCAGTCAAATCAGGAAACGTTGCAAAGAAATTTATGATCTGTTATCTGCAGGGGAAAAAAAGGTAGACTGACATTTCACATTTGTGATCTTTGAGAAATCCAAGTGAATGACTACTGTAGTCTCTCCAGAGCGCTTCGTGAAACCGAACAAGATGAACTTCCGACTAGTATCGTCAGGCACAGTCAGGATCGATGTCACTCTGATCGGTGTGTCGCCGAAAACATATTCACTCCAGGTGAGACCTTCATCAAGGGTATATTTGACTCGATCAGTTGGACCTTCATCGTTTACTAAGACCAGAATTGAACCTTGATCTCCGTACTCCCACATGTGTGCATCTTTAGCAACCTCTTCCCATGTAAAGCCACCATCTCGTGTCAAGAACGTGTCGGACTCCTTGTAAGGCGCAAGACTATGACCGACATTCCCAACGGCCATCATCAAACCAACGGCAGACGGGGAGCTATACGTGGCTCGCGGATCGACTCGTTCGGTGTAGCCATGGATATGAAGTGCGCAAGCTGTCGAGGAACAAGTGAATGGCTGCCCAAGAGAGTCCTTGGCGGGTGGGGCGATCGGCTTCCACCGACCACCATCATTATGGGTGATTCGGGTGACGAGCTTCTTTTGTCGAGTGACAACTGCTTCATCTGGATTACTAACAATGTTCATGACAGCTATTCCATCGAGGCCCATCATCTTCTCAAAGTCGACGTATCCCTTACTATTCCGATTCACGTGATCTAGGGACAAGGAATAGTATGTACCGTTCGAATTCGATTTGAATAGAGATCCGAATTCCGAGCCGGCTTGTCCATTCGTAGTCACGTGCAAAAAGACAGCATCCGTTGTCGACTCCAAGACTGTGTATGCTTTGTTTTCAATCTTGAGATTCGGAGGGAATTGGGCCAGTGCAAAATGGGATCCATCCATCGATGCATACAGGTTCAAGTGTTCTCCATTCGGAGCGATTTGGGCGACAACCATGAATTCTTCGAACGTAGCAAATCCAACGATTGAATCGAACAACCTCTTCTTTTCATCATAGAATTTGCGACCTTCGATGAGTTGAAGCGGATTATCGTCCATTGCTTTTTGTGAACCTCGCTTGTGTTGATATGCTTGGCAGAATATGAGCCGCTCGTCAGCCTTGAATTTCTTGTCCCGTCCCCAACTGCAAACTCGAACATAGTCATCGATTTTATTCCAATACCGACCGTTATCCTTGGAATAATATGCTACCGCCTTGCAATGTTCACCCTGACTCTCAATACATCCCTCACTTCCAGTCCAAATCAGCCAATCTGGACGCGTGGGATGGAAATCCAATAGAGGTATTCCCAAAAGATTCGCTTCCAAGGGAGTCCGGAGATTATTCCAACTAGAACCCTTATCGGTGGTGTAATAAATCGTCCGATCCGGCGCAATAAGATATGCCCGATCACGGGAATAAGGATGGATTTGCAGCGAGATAAACTTGACATTTTTCACTGGTTCATCCCAGCTGTACCCTTGATTTTTCGACTGCCAGACCTGATTCTCGGATGTAAAGACTAGCACGGTATGACTATCTTCAAAATAAACTTGCTCTAATACTAATCCGGGGAATTGGAATCGTTGATGGGTTACTTGACCAGGCGCGGCTTTCCCTTCTGTACAGTCCTTGAGCTTGGGTTCGTCTTTCTTCAATCCAGTCGCACGGTTACAGGTGTTTCCGGGTATTAGACGATATCCAGATGACCCAAGGAACTTGTCGTTGGGATTGGCACATTGACCCGCTGGAATCGTCTCTGGTGCTGATAGGATACATAAGCCATTATCGGGTGCATAGTTGTAATCACTGATTTTTTTATTGTCAGCCAGAGGTGTACGTGTAAATATCGAAGATAGACAAAAGAACAAACCATTCAAAATCTTCGTCGGTACATGGGCAATTTTCTTCATGACTCTCCGGTTCCTGGAATTTCTCTCCAACATAGCAATCGGCATCTGGTTTTCTTCGTTTGAAAAATTGCTGATAGCCCAAACACGGAACAATAAGAAACGGGAGTATTGTTAGTAAAACGAAAAAGAAAACTTCAAATCTGGGTTCAAAACCAAAAGCAAGACAGAAATGATATACCTTGTGACCCATTAGACAGTCAGGATGACCATCTAACTTTCTAGCATACCAATTTTCAAAATCCGAATCTTTACATTTCTTTCTATCCATTTGACTGAAATCTAACTGGACCACTGCTTGTCTGTCGGCTTTTGATGACGAAGGTAGTGATTTTTTGGGGATCGTGCCTAGCAAAAGAAACTTTTGAGAAGTTGCATCGGGTACGGAGGTTAACAGCTTGACTCTAAGCTTTTGCTTGAAGTTGTACGTCGACCTACGAATTTTCAGGCAAGTGGAGATGGAGGAAAATTATGAATGAGACGGCCTAAAATGCAAGATTTTTGTTCAGAAAGGAAATGGTACAAACCAAGTTTTTCCAAAATCGAAGCTGTAATCAATCTCTTCCGTATTTTCTTCGTCATCGATCATCACCAGTAAACCACCTTGATCTCCGATCTCGTACTTCCTTGCACCCTCTTTGACCATTTTCCAATTCAAGCCACCGTCAATACTCAAGAATGTGTCACATTCTACGTACGATAGCAAGTGTTCTCCGACATTCCCTATTCCCATCAAGATACCTGGGGATGGGGTCGAAAATACTCGTCCGAAATTGTGAGGTTGAGTGACCGAATGAAGATGCAGCGCGCATGATTGAATATCTGAGACATCGCAGTGAAATTTTTCCCCATGGGCATCCACGGAGGGAGCCCTGACTAGGGACCAATGACCTCCATCATCGAATGTGATTTTGGTTTGGACTTTCTTGTGCTCCTTGGAACCTTCAACTTCGTCGACGTTTAGGACTGTGTTTGCGATGGAGATGCCTTCGATGGAAACGATTTTCTCGAAGTCTACGATACCGGATGTGGAGCGAGAGGTATACTCTAGACTTTTGATGAAATGAGTCCCATTGGAATCCGAAGTGAACATGGTCCCTGCGCCAGCAGCTGGGTTTGTTAGGACGTCTACCATGATTGAATGGGGTGTTGATTCGACGATCGTATACGCGTTTTCCTTGAGACCGTGACCGTGTGGAAAGTTGGCTCGAGCCCAATTCAAGCCGTCACTGGTAACAAAGAGTAACATTTCATCTGAACTCGTTTGGCCGTCAATAGCTTCCGAAAAGATGTTCCCTGGCTTCAAGGCTACCACGATATACCGTTGCACAGCACCCATTCCGACGACACCCCGACCATTTTTGCCCAGACCTAGATCAACATACTGACGATCTTTGACGAAGTAATCCTTGCTGCTATATAGACGAGATTCACGATCATTAACCATTTGACCGGCCAAAGCTTTCAAACGATCGAGTAGCGATGCCGATGTAGACTTCAAGCTTTTCGAATCAGACTGATCGCCAGGGGCCTCCTTAGTTATACAGTAGATCATCTGTTCTGGTACCGAAGATGAGAAGTGTTTGTTCGAATAAGCCCACATGCATTTAGTTGAATGTTGGACCATCATTTTTGGCTGAGTTTCGAATGCATCGGAAGTAACCCAAGTCTGTTTGTTTTGATAGGAGAAACACGATTGGTTAGGATATGCAACAAAAAACAGCTGAATCAAGGATAGCAAGAGAGAGAGAGAGAGAAAGGGACTTACTTCATCATAACATAGTTTCCCCTTCCAGCTTCCCAGGCTTTCACACTTCTGACCACTGAATAAGATCCAATTCCATTTGGTAGAGTGGAAGGCCAAGGGTGAGCCAGAGATACTCGGTTGATCGGAAGTGGTGAAGCTCTGCCAACTGTCGCCTCTGTTGATCGTCCTCCAATGTTTACTACCACGGCTGAGGATGAATGCAACCCTATTATCCCAGCTGTGCTCGACGACTAACCAGGCGTCACCGGTGGGTACGGCTGAGATCAGGTTCCAGGTTTTACCTTCATCTGTTGATCTCCAGACTTCCCTGAGGATTGAATCGTGGGATAGGATGATCGGTGTATCCTCGAAGTAAATTAGCTTTGAGGGCATATGCTTGAATTTGGTGATAGTCGAGCTTGGATCTTTGAGTGCATTGGGAGTGAGGATGAGATTTGAGAAGATGAGAAGGAGGATGATCGAGAGGTTGATAGTTGATTTAAGAAGTGAATAGGGGCGGTAGGCTGGTGTTGTTAGGCTTTGGTGTCTAGAGTAGAAGCAGCTGGTTTTCAAGGGTCTTTCTGATTTCGATGCTTTGGTTTTCGTTGTTTTTGTTGTTGCTGGTGTTAGTCTGATTGAAGTTCCTTGTGAAGCTGGTGGGTGACTCTTGAAGTACTCCATCCTACTAATCGCTTTTCGGTCTCTCTCTGACTCTCTCTTGACCGCCTACGTGGTTGTTCAGTTGGTGTTTTCTTCTGTTGACCGTTTTGACGTAGGCCAACTTGGACTCTTTCTTGAATGTTGTAATGACGATGCACAGATTACCCGGAACAGATGTCACAGACATGAGCTTCTAGTGTCACGGGGGTTGCCATGACCATTAAATTTCAATGCAACCCCGCTGTCGGTTGATGGAGACACCTATCAGTGACTCTGACTCGGCGGCCAGGCATCACACCCAATGGAACGGTTGTACAACAGACGGCTTGAAAGATTTAATTACCAGCCCAAGCTGAAGCTATTTGATTCGCCAGCTTCCTCCTTGGAGATCATTCTCACTCTCAGCGGTAGGTCTCATCTATGTAGCAAACATTGTCTGAGGGACATCCTAAATTTACACCAGGAGGTTGATCCATCTTGGATTGAGCTAACCTGAACAGGACAAGACAGCAAAGGTGGGAGTAAGAAATTGATTTTCGGCTTGCATAGGGTGAGAAGGCCCATGATCATAGCCATTTTTTCGTGATCAGCACAGAACTTGAAGTCATGATCCACTTTCACCAAAAAATAAAAAATTATAAAACATGAATCATTTTCCATCATGTGATAGAAATATGTTTAAGCAGAGTCTGATGTGCAAATCATTTGGTCGGTAAGGCCAAGTTTTGACTTATAGATACTGCAATATAGCTATATATAAAGCCTCAATCATCATAGGTTTCGATGGCTAATTATATGTCGAATAAACGATTGCAAATCACTCGGAACTCAAAGAACGAAGAAACTTGATAATTATCAATTCTTTTTATTTGGCTTATGTTTGAGTTTCCAGTTGCAAAAGCGCAAGGCTTGCAGAGCAAATCTGAAGACATATCTTGAGCGCTATCTGCAAACATGACACGATAGCTGGTTTATACGATAAATCCTTATAATCTGTTTAGTGGCAGAACTACTGTACTGTTTTCAGTGCTTTGGTTGATCTTCTCCTCTGAGTCGAGCCTCACCAGCAGCCACTTCGTGCTCCTTTCCGAAAGCTATATAATATTCAAGTATCAAGGCAATAGTCGAACCGCCGAATTAGAAATCGGGATATCACAACTAGCTGAAGGAGGAGAAGAAAGCAACTGTTGATCTGCTCAGTTCAGTCACTCAACTCTTCCCGGCAAACTTCTTGGCGTATCCTTCCACCTTTGCTTTGAAGGGCACTTGAGTTTCAGTTTTCTCTGCCTTGTTTATGTTACCCTCGGGGTGAACTGACAGACATCGGATCAATGTTGAGCGAGAGATTGATCTATTCAGTCTCATCTCCTGGACCAGATCATCTTATTTGATCGATTTGACCGACATACCGGTTACATTATCATGAGGATGAGTCGGATTGTTCTGTAAGTTTAGGCCAGCTTCGCCAGTGAGACCAGGATCATGATGATGGTCTGTCGCCTGGGTGGTGTGGGTTAAGTTGGAAGTGTGGTCATGAGATGGTTGCATTGTTAGTGGGTGTTTTGTGGTGTTGTGAAGGTTGCTGAATGTCAGATGGGGGTTAAGCTTGTAGGGTGGGATGCGGATGAGGAAGATGACTATGTAGGGAGTTCGAGAGCGTGGATGAGCGATCAGAAACGAGAAGAAAAAACCGTTGTGGGGTGATCACCAATCGAGTGACGTCATTGTAATGGTGCATGGCCTGTTCCATCAATATCTTCTCAGTGATACATAAATACTCGCCGTCGGGCACTTATCTAACCACTCACGGCCCGGCCGCTGCAAACAATGTTGCCTGCCGGACCACAGCCGATCACATCGGATGGCCAGTCCATCAAATTAAATGAATCATGTCCCTCTCAGATTCCCCGGACGCCCAAGCCATTACAAATCGGAAACAGCTTTTGGTTTTACTTCAGACTTCTTGTGCAACCAACCAAAAAAAACAAATAACGAAGACAGCAGATTGCAGTCCGGAGTGCCCGATAAAAAAAGAAAAGCTCTGATCTCATCCTCATGGATTGTTTTTATATGGAGGCTGGGGAAGAATTTAGAAAATTGGAGCAAAAGATATCAAAAATTGGGTCTTCATCTTTCTCGGCAGATTGCTTGATATATAGACCCCTTATAGTCTTTCTTTCTTTCTTTCTTTCTTTCTTTCTTTCTTTCTTTCTTTCTTTCTTTCTTTCTTTCTTTCTTTCTTCAATTCTACTCTCTGATCTGTCTTCCTTCTCCCTCCAGCACCTGATCAATTCTATCCTCACCCTCAACACTCTCAACTCATCTTCAAATCACCAACTCATGAAACCTGCAACTCAACCCAGTTCATTTGTCTGGTGAGACCTGACTGATCACTCACATCACAGCACACCCTTCCATTTCTCATCAACCATGAATTCAAAATCACTTATCTATTCATCAGTCTCTTTCCTTTCTTCCCTTCTAAAAAATAGAATGTTTTTTTCCCTTCCCTTTCCTTTTCTTTCTTTCAACTTCAAGATATCCAAAAATTGGAACTACTTATAAAGTTTTGATCCAAATTAAGGGGTCTTTTGACTGTAAATCTATACAACTTTTTGGTACTCAATTTAATTTACATATTCTTTCATGGATCTTTTCATCCCACTGCATCAACTCAGAAATGTGTAAATATTGCAATTTATTTCTCAGCTTCTTTGGGAACATTTCCTGAAATAATCCAACTACCCTTTCCTAGAAACATCATAGACTTGGGTCTGTCAAGATTTAAATTCTGGATCTGTTTTGTAGAATGAGGTGATGTTGAATGTACACATTTACATTCAGCTGAATAGGGCTTTTGCTCAAAGAACTATCACAAATATAAGATCAATGGTTGAAGAGAAGAGACACACAGAAGAATTCCACAAGCATCTTGGCTATGATTGTGTTGAAGAAGATATTTCCATGACACTCAGACATATTTTTAATCATTTCATAAAGCCAAGTCTGGCTGGACATATTGCACACCAACAGATGTAGGGGGTTTCCAGGGTCATCTGATGCCTATGTACATAGGCGCTACTTTTTAGCCCTGGTGGGGAGCCTTTTGTTAATGAAGGGTGTCCCGTCGGGGTGATTTGGTCAGGCCGCACCCCGTCAGTCCCCGAAACCCGTGAGCGGTATACATACCTGGGAGTTGGGCTTGGTGATCACAGAAAAAAAAAAAAAAAGCAGGAGGGAACCATTCCAAGATGGCCAGATTTATCACCAGAACTGCATCCAGGCTGATATCCTCAACAATCGACCATCAGAACAACACCCCCAATCAGATCAGAAGCGCATTCTTGAACACCCAACATCGACAGCTCATTAGGCTCAACTCTTCTAGCTCGGCAGCAACAACCCAAACCAAGCCATCCATCGACCAAACTAACCATGTCGTAGGACGGTCGGGAAAAGTATACTCACACAGGACGGTCAAGATAGTCGGAGCGATCGGAAGACTGCTAGGCTATACTCTTCAAAAGAGTACTGCGGTCACACTGACCAGCGATTATTATGACCGATGTGCGGCCAGGTTCAAGATCGAAAAACAATTTTGGGTCGACGGTGAGTGCATAGCCTTGAACAAGAACAGATCGAAAATATACGACTCGTTGTTCAAAGAAAAAAAATTGGTAACTGATTTCGTTACATGTCATCTTCCATCCAAGAATGCGGATTACCCGATTCATTCCAGACGTGGTTTCAAGTCACCCAGCTACACATGTGGCTAATCACCGTCCGATTCAGATCGATGAAAGCTCCACTCGGGAAATACTACCTGCAAGAATTCATCAACCACAGCTTCTTGGACACTGAGGATCGGATACGCGGACCACAGAATAAGATCACCAAGGGGACGTTGATCAAGAACTATATGAAGATCCTCTTGCATCAACATCGCGGTTTCCAAACCGTCCTAGACTGGGCGATCTCTCATGACCCCGAACTCAACCAGAGCGACCAGTTCCTCGCCGGGGTGATCTGGAGGAACTTGTTCGGCGCCGCATGGGGTAAAGGGATGGGTGGAGTCAAGGGGATCTTCGATTCCAAGGAGGAACCTTCAGTCAACTCAACAACCTCCCCTCTCCAGCTCTCATCTTCGCCTCCCTCAACAACAACAACATCATCATCATCAACAGCAACATCAACCGAGGACGATGATCCTGAACAACTACACTCTTTAGAAAATGATGTCAAGTTCCCGGAAACTTTAGAGCGATTGGTGATCTTCATTCGTAAGGAACTCGTCAGACTCGATCAAGTGACTGATAAAACTATCATCACTGGGCAAACCTCTACCGATCAGGCTGGCTTGACTCAGTTCAACAAAATCTGAGATGAATGATTCAGGAAGCGCCCTTGAGCGCGACCAATACCTCTCCACCTCCATCATCATCTCATTGTGTGTCAATCGCCTCAAATTAGAAACTCCATCTATCTTCAATTCATTCCCTGTAAAAAATATTGCTTTTTCGGGGGAAACCATGTCTAAAATTGAGAGGAAAGGCTAGCGATCGGGTTAATCGCACGTTGTTTGTTGACAGACCCATCACCAAATGAAGACATCACGTTTTTGTTTTTTTTTTTTTAATTATAAGAACGCTTATATTGAATTTGATATTGAACAGGAGATGAAAAAAAGAACAGAAAACAGAGTTGTGTATTCACAAGTAAGATTCTATATTTGTGTGAAGTGTAGAAGATAGAGAGCCAAAGAACGGCAAGTAACAGCTCAATTCTTATCAGACGATGCTGGTGGTGATGAGCTATCGAGATGTTTGTGTTGATCAGAGAGTTTTCGATCGAGTAGAGCTTTACGGATCTGGCTGTTTTGATGGTTAAACAATGAGTTATGAGAGTCGGAGGGCTTATCGAGCTCGGAGGTGGAGGGGAGAGGTGGTTTGGGGAGATTGTCGGACCGGCTGGCCTGTTCCTGGGAGCGGATCCGGAGGTCACGCTGGTAGATCCGCATCTTCTCTCGCTCCTCCTCCTTGACCCGCTGCTGCTCGTTCCTCTCCTTGTTATAATATAGCGAGCCACCAAGGGCGGCGAGTAGTGTCAAGCCCTGGAAGATGACTCGGTACCGACACCAGATGTTGAAGTTATTCGACTCGCCCCGTTGGATCGCGCGGCCAGCCCCTAGTAACGCTATCGTCGTAGCTCCAGCACCTGATTATAGAAGAAGAAGAAAAAAAATGATAAATCTCTTCTGTTCTTCACAAAATTAAAAACGGGTGAAGGACGACCGACCAAGAGGGACCAGTGGTTGTTCCTAATGAACAAGGCGAGGGGTAGGAAGGAGCGAGGATCAGATATATGAATCTACCGCGAATACTGAGAGACTCAACTTTGAATTTCCGTGAAAACAACTCCCAGGTGGTGGGCTCTGCTTGATCGTCATCATCGTCGTCGAAGTCATGAGCCTGTTCGAATTGAATGAGGGATTGATGCTTGCTCTGGCCGCTACCGTCCTGAGGCTGTGCTTGGTTATTGGAACTTGATTGGAGGTTTAGCATGATTCCAGTTTGGTTTCTGGTTTCTGATTATCAGCCCCCTGCTGGTGTTTTCTTGAATACATGTCTTAATCCGACGATTTATTTTGGGCTGTCCACCGGGCAGCCCAAACCCGGCCCATCGGGCATCAAGGGGCTCCGAAAACAGTACTTTGTAAAATTTAGCCAGTAGGATGTCATGACAAACTTGACTCGGTCTGCTTTTGTCTGAGGGCATGTTAAGGCATGTTTACCTTCTCCAGCAGGACCTTTTCCTAATTGGTAATTCTGGCCTGAGGGGCAAAGCCATTTTAATATCTCTTTTGTGTTGACCTTGGTGGTTCTTGCTTCATTCACCCTTTTTGCTTTCCACTCACTCACTGCCTATCTCCTGAATTTTGTTTTGTATTTTCTTTCCTCCATCCCTTTCCAAGCAACTTGCAAACTTGAAGGTCCCACTTTTGAGGGTTCATGAAACATCCAGCACCACGAAAAAACAAATCGCCATAAATCTCTCCCATCATCTCAAAAAACCAAGATTGATTTTTTTTGTTGCCAGAGAAGCTTTTACCATATGTCTTTTGAACCCTCAGAAACAGGACCTCTAATTTGCAAGTCTATGGAAGAGGGATGGAGAGAAAAAAAAATTAAATAAGAGATGCAGCAGATAGCTCTTGACTAGAAAAGAATAAGAGTGAATAGCCCAAGTGAAGAGCTACTGAGGTTAAGACATAAAAGTGGTAAAAATAGCTTTTGTCCTCAGATCAGGATTTGTTACAAAATGCCACAAACTCAACTCTACAGTCCAAAACATTACCCTTTTTTTGGCAAAAGAATTTTTAAGGTAAATTACCCCCACTTACTTACTGGCCTGGTTCACAAAGGTTCTCAATAAGGAAAAAAAATTCATGACAAGCAATGATCTAAAGTTTTGGTGCATTCCCATGCTTATTTTAAGCTACCAGAACACCAATTTGACACACATGTTGGAAAAACAACCTGTATAAACTGGGATACCAGAACCACCATGCCAGCAGCTACACATATATTTTCTTGACAGGTATTTAAAAAGAATGATTACATCATAAATAGTCAGAAATTGTTGAACTAAGGCAAAATTAATATTGGTCATTCAAACCCTTGAAAAGCTATTGGAGTGATAAGTTCTACTGGGAGGATTGTCAAAAAAAGAATATCACACTTTATGTAGGTAAGATGGGGGAATTTAAATCCACACTGGATTCCACTATACAAATATAGTTAGTCAAGTGTGCAGGACCTATGCTTCATTCAACCCCAGAACAGTTGGCTCAATTTATGCAGTTGAGAATAAGACAATGAAACATTGTTAGTGAATACCAGCAGGAATTCATCCAGTGAAGATCCCACTGGTAAAAATTCAAAAGAAAAGAATGTATGATGAGGCCTCCCCCTCATCAAAATGCCAGTTCCCACCATCCAACTGTCCCTCAATATTTTCCTCAGATTTATGGTGTTCAAAGTTGAGCATGCAAACATTTATGCATGCACATATATTTCATTAAGAATCAATTCTTGTTTGCTGAGAAAACTCCAGATTAAATAATCAGATTCTTGATTTTTTCTGTAAACAAGATTTGATCACTTATACAGTCGGTCCAAAATCGAATGAGAATGACTCTCACCAATTTTGGAAAATCCCTGTCAAGTTAGTGTAGAGTATGATTTGAGTTTTGCAGATAGGCAACACATAGTTGTACCAATGTTTGATATCGGGGGGAGGGAGGGAGGTGTTCCCTGCACAGGCACTGCCATCGATTGCTTACCAGATACTCAAACTGGTGAGCCTCAATTCCAATCATGGCATCTGAAGAACTCAGACCCCCCTTGAAAGCTCTCCGACAAGCCAAAGTTCAGTACATGGAAACAACCACAACGAGGACATCACCACCGACAAGGGTCCAGAGGTCGAAGTCCCGGTCTCCTTCAATCTTTTATCACCAGGGTCAAGAGGTCGAAGGTCCCGGTCTCTTGCAATCTTTTTGTCACCAGGCCACCTAGACAAGGATGACGTGGTATGGGCCAGGTCTGGTGTTCTGAAAGGATGTGAATGAGGGCAATCTATGGCAATCACTTAACAGGGACACAAGGGCCCCGTAGGCCCCCAACTAGAGAATCCACAACTGTGTGTTGCCTATCTGCAAACTCAAAACACACTCTACACTAACTTAGCAGAGATTTGCCAAAATTGGTGAGAGTCATTCTCATTTGATTTTGGAACGACTGTATATGAAATATGCATGCATAAATGTTTGCATACTTAAATTTGAACACCATCATTCTTAGAAAGTTTTCTTCATATTCTCAACCACCAGTTCAAATTTATAACCCTTTAAAATCTTGCCAAGTGGTGCTTGACATGCACAAAACCTTTGCAAGCATCAAATGGTGCTTTGGCCAGAGTCTGCTGACATATTCAAGCCCGGACAAGGTGGGTTGGCTTCAAGGACCATCAAGGTTATGAATATGTGGAAGGGAATAAAAACTATTGATTGTTAATATTTTGATGGACCCCAAAGCATCAAGTCTCACTCAGTCCAAGACAAAGATGACAAGAAGGCATGTGGCAATATAGTGTTAGTGTAACTCCCTTGATGACTATTTTCAAGTGGGCATATTTTCATTTTGGATTTGTCTTCAATGATGACTGAAATGTGTTCCTAGAGAAAATTATCAATCACAATTCAAACATTTTTCTCAAAATGCCTGGGAAACAAAAACTACCCTGCTTGTTGCTTCATAATTGAGTACTCATCATCCCTGACATGATTTCCCAGATGGGAAATCTTGTAAATTTTAGGGAAATCCTGTAAAAAAAATTCAAGATTTTTCCAGATTTTTTAAATTTTTCCAGATGTTTTAGATTTTTTCAGATTTTTTGTATTTTTCTAGATTTTTTAGAATTTTCTAATTTTTTTAGATTTTTCCAATTTTTGGAATTTTGTTCAGATTTTTTAGATTTTTCCAATTTTTTAAGATTTTTCTCATTTTTCCAGATTTTTCAACTTCATAGATGTCTCTTAATAAAAAAATCTGGAAAAGTCTAAAAAATTTAGAAAAATCTAAAAAATCTAGAAAAATGTAAAAAATCTGAAAAAAATCTAAAAAATCTGGAAAAATCTAAAAAATTTAGAAAAGTCTAAAAAATCTGGAAAGATCTTTAAATTTCATACAGGATTTCCCTGAAATTTACAAGATTTCCCATCTGGGAAATCATGTCAGGGATGATGTGAGTGTGATAAATAACTGGTTGTTTGTGACATGTCAAGATTATTACCGCAAGAAATGAGGGTTCACCATGATTTCAGTTGACCTCACAATTTACATCATGCTCAGTTATCACACTGATAAACAGGGTTGAATACAAATGGGCTACAAGATTTAACAAAAATAAAAAATTGCCACAAATAATCTGAAAAAAATTCTAGTTGGCTCATGATGTTGAAGCCTTTTAATTTCTATTTGGCTAAATCAGCTCATTTTAGCCTAGTTATTATGGCTAGCTCTGAATCTTCTCTTTTGCTTGCTGAATGTGTGTCTGTACTGACTGTGGTACACTTCTTACAGTTAATTGAGCCGAAACAAAGCAAGGTTGCAGACCAGGGGCCAAGCATGTGCATGTGCTGACATATTTATCGTCAGGTTTGCATTTCTATGGAGAGTTGTCAGGAATTCCTACATGCGTATGCTTCTTGGTGCTAGGGTCTAGCCTGCTCAGCCAAATGGTGGGAAATAGAGATGCAATGAAGATCAGACATCAGACGGTAAGCAGCAAGCCCTTGATCTTTAAAACGCTATGAGAGCTTACAGCGGGCCGCCGCGGGAATGAAGCGGATTTTGCGGGACATCTTTTGCCTTTCTCCTGCATAACTATCGAGGCAACTCGCAAGGAGCCCCCAGGGGCGACTCCCCACTCCTCCCGGCCGACCGGCCGGCCGGCCGGGAGGATTTAGGCCGGAGAAGTGAGCAATATGCAAGCAGAGTCGCCTCTTAACCTACGGCTCGGAAGCTGCTAAGTTGCCAAGCATTCCTCTGAATTCCAAATGTCTTTGAATACCCGAGGGCCTGCTTGAGGAGTACTAAATCCCGGAAGCCTTTCCGCAGTCTATGGTCGATTTTGACACTTGTCTGGTGTCCATATCCTTCCTCGGTCTAACACAACAAATTAGTCATGAAAGCAGATCAAGTTTGAACTGGCCGCGCTTGTGTTTCAGAGGTCATTCAACGCACTGACGATCAGACATTTCCTTCGTCTTGAAAACTGATCCAAACGGATAATATGACGCACATTGTGCCTGTTAGTGGGACTTTTTTTTTATCTGACTTGTCGGAAATATCCTACATAAATAGCACCTCAGGAGCTGCCCCCAAACTTGAGCCCTACGAATAGGACAAGTAAAAAGCAGTTTATGTACTTTGGAGAAATTCATCCGCTTCCACAAGATTACTTTTTTTTCATATAAATACGCGCTACTCCACTGGATCCCAAGCTGAAGTAACAATCCATTTCGCGAGGCACATTGGGTTGAGTATGAGGCACTTTACTCTTTACATCGGTTTTGTTCTTTCGATCTTATCAACTAGTATGGCGATGTTTCCGCCGATCAAGATTGACCCAGCGCGTCGCAAGAATTACAACTTTTATTACCCGCCGGGTTCACAAGTGAGGACCAGCCACGTCGACCGGATTCTTAATACAGCCAAGGCAAAAGTGAAAAAGAGTATGTTTTGTGCAGGTTAAATAGCTGTCATGGCTAATGACAAGATGGCACTACAATCACAAAGTCCTTGAGTGATCATTTTGCTGATCAACACCCATGTGATCGCAACTTTTTTCTTCTAGGTGGCTCGACAGAGCACTGCACAAATAATCCGAAAGATCTTCCGAGTAGGTGGTCCCCAAATACCAGATCGATTTTTTCTCGTTATTCCTCGAGATTCACTTGGATAGTTGATTGATTTCTCATTTCGGATACATAGCTGCAGGCATAGTCAAAATGATGCAGTGCAGGCCAAGACAGATGTCGCAAAAGAAGGGTGCAAAAGGTGCGAGCAAGTCCCAAGCTGAACTGAGATCTACCCTTGATATTATCCATGCATGTGTGCTGAAATGATCAGAAAAAATATTACAGGACCGGGGGCACAGATTAAATTTGTTGGCCAGTGATCATCTCAGGTTTCTTTTGGCAAAAAAATCATCACAGTATTCAACTTATATAATGGTCATTTGTCTTTCTGACTGATCAATCAATTTGCATGACAGAGTGCAATATCAAAAATTGAAGGATATAATCAATCATTCTTTTGGAAGTATATTGTTGTATTGTCACTTGTATTTCAATAATCATCTATTAGCCCACAATTCATTGAAACAAACTGCTTCTTCACTTCTCTTTTTGGTCATCAGAGATGGATCAGCTATAACTTTCTTTTTTGTAGTTTTTCTTTCTTGCTCTCAAAAGATTATGGCTGTGGCAATTTTTGCATCACTTGACTGTACCTAGACACACAGAAACCCTTCTTATTCAAAGTGGAGGATGACATGTAAATAATTGTACCCTTTAATCCTACATTGGAAACAGATCCTTGGATTTTTGGCTGCATAGTTTTCCAAAGCATAAATCAATCAATGACTTGTGAAAAGCAACCCCCCTCCCCATTCAGACGAATAGAATGTGTTCTCCCCTTTTTTGCTTTCCTTCATTGATAGGTCCAAATTTTCAAGACATTTGTGACTTTTAAAAATTACGGTGGCAAATTTGAGAATACTAATCATCCCTTGACACTTCATGGATGATCTTCTTGATAGCCCTTCCACAGTCAAGATTATTGAGGAGACATCCAGGTCCTCAACATGTAAGTGTGTACACATGTACCCACAGGATGCCTAGGGATAGAACTCCATGATGGCTTAGTACTGCTAGAGAGATCTGAGCAATGCAAGCACGTACAACTAAACATGCCATTGCAAAGATATGAACTGAGATTTGCCAGGGGAAAGTCAATTAACGATGTACAAGTACAATTGACGAATATATTTAAACAGGGATGTGAAAAGGAGGCAAAAAAAACAGATATGTAGAAAGAAGGAAAGTCTAGGGGTGAGGGATTGGATGAAACGAGTGAAAGATAGGAGTAGTATCAGAGAGTCAAGGGAGAACAAACTGAGAGAAAGAGTACTACAAAACCCAACCATGCAGAAAAAAAAAAAAAGAACGATGAAAATAAATCAAGTCAATGGATGAGAAAAACAAAATGATGATGATGATATTCAAAGCAGGCGAGGAAACAAAAATCAATTGAGTAGGGCATCTATGTCAATAGTCTGGTTCAGATGGACCGAAGAAGCGAGGCCGTGGCCCCATCGGCGAAGCAAGAAATCGGTCATCCAGCCAAATAATTCTTTATAAGCACCTCTACAAAAACGCAAAATCGGGTTCTCAGTCACTCATCAACTTCACTTCAATTTGCTTGCCTTGCGAAACTGAAAACTGTATACAAGACAAGAAAAAAAAAAAAGACGGAAGGGGATTTAATTACCTAGCCGAAATACTGTGATCCGAGTCGGGAAACATTCTGAATTGAAATCCATGGATGTGGCTGCCGGTCAACCGATCCAAGAGACTCGCAGAATTGAGAAAATGGACTGAAGATCGAACGTTCCAAGACAACCAGACGAGACGGATTAGTCCTAAACAAGATAACAACAAGATATAAGAACAAAAATCGTGACAACAAACCATTGTCATCGGCAGAACCATGGGCCAAAGAGAAGCTTAGGTTCCCAAAGCCTTCGGCTCGACTGACAGCCGAAGTTTGATATCCGAGCGGGTTCAACTCAGGCGTAGACATGTACCGTTCGGTGTAGATACTGTCATAGAATCGCCAATCGGTCACGGGGGCTACAGCCAAAGCCATCGAGAAGTCCTTGGAATGTGATTCGACGGTCTTTGGGGAATCCAATCAATCGATCGAGCTAGTTAGCTCTATCTTCTTTTTTTTTTTTTGATTGACTCGTGGGAGTTTTCTTTGAGGTGTACATTAGGGGGCAATATAAACTTACTTTACAAGTCAAGTAACCGCCGTCTGTTCAGGAAAACTCGTAAGCTCGATTGACTCTCAGCCGAAACAGATCAACATCCATGAGTCACTTACAACTCCAGCCCCAAATACCGATACGCTCTGGATCCACGTATTCCAAACCGGCGTAATATCTACAAGGGAAAAACAAAAATCTAATGGTTAGATGGGAAGAACACGACATTATGTGACTATAAAAAGGTCAAATTAGAAGAGAACTCAACTGAGCAGCAGTCGAAACATCGAGTGCCTCGATCTTCCCAAGTTGGTTACGCACACCAACTCGGAACTCTCTACCCTTGAAACCAGTCCCTCGTCCATCAACATAGACCACTAAATAATCCATGCTCGAGGCTAAGAAATAACTCCAATCTATCCCAAATTTCTTGGATGCCGTCTGCGTTTTGGATTTCAAAAAACCATCCATCCACGTCAACTAGCCATTTCTAGCAAGGGCTTCTGCATCCAACCTCACCTGTGAATTCGGGCCACCGTATCTACAGACGCAAAAATTATATTTGGATGGCAACGAAGTAGATGATAAGTAACATGGGAGCTGGAGGAGCGGCTGATGAGACTCAAGCAGAAAAAGAAAGCAAACACTTTGAACAAGACCGGATATTTAGTCTTTCCGGACAAGTCCATCTGATACGGTCGAATCTCTTGAATGTTCATATCTTGATGTAGGCCAAACCCCCAACCGTTAGTGATTTGAAATTGGCTTTAAGGTAATAGATAGAGAGGTGGAAGCCTGACCTTGTTGAATTGAATTCTTGATCGATGTGTAATGGACCGTTGGAAGAGCATACTTACTCAAAGTCGTATTCAAAGCTGAATTATCTTCGACTAAGATTTGAAAAGCTGTTGGGCAGAACGCAAAAACCAGACGCACAGGAGAATCATCAGCAAAATAACGTCAAGCAATGTTGATAAGAAGGGATAGACTCAACTAGGATCTTCGACCTTAACGAGTTTTTGCCAAGGTGTGCTTGGTCCATTATAGCTCAAAAGATAAAATCCGCCCATGCTGGAGAAACTAACGTCGTAGTATCCAACCCCAGTAGTGATTGGTGTGACTGGGGAGACCCCTCGTAAGTCGGCTACTTTTTCTGTTCTCAATTGATTAAGCTCGGCTTTTGTAGGCAACTTGACTGAATACAAGTGTCTTTCCATACTCGGATTGGCTGCAACAAAGTATCTGAATTGAAAGTGAGATTTTTGAATGCATCGTCAAATCTTTAAACTCTCTTTCTCCTGATCGCGTCCAGGTATCCTAGATCTTTTGACGATGGATGATGAATAGAAAAGAAGAGAGAGAAGACTGACACCAAATTTTTCTCGAAATCAACCGCGGAGATTTTACCGTCAACCTCCCATTCCCCGTCGGACAAGAAGATTGGCGACTGGGCATCAGGAGGTGAGAAGTAAGCGATGTGGCGAAAACCGGCTTGATTGATGCGGATGTCTAGATAACCGGGTGCGAAGTCCTTGCCAGTTATGATCGGTTTGATGAAATGTCCCTGTTAATTTGAAGCCAAAATCAGTCAAAAGTGCTCGATTTGAGGAAGATGTTGAGCACAACCACTTACCGGCTCAGACCATCCACCATCGAATTTCACAAAATCGAGGTCCATGACTACTCTTCCCTGAGTGGTAGGGGAGACAGCTCGATAGCTAGCAAGTTGGGACAGATCGAAGTAGCCAGTCTTTTCACGAGTGGCGATCCGATTGGTTTGACGGACGATCAGTTCGTGTCCGGAGACCCAGGCGACTTCCATGACGATTCGGTCGTCATCATTGAATTCGGAGTTGAGCACAAGTTGGCTGACGGCATCCTTGACGGGATTGTTGCCCATGGCATCCTGATGGGCCTGTATATCGAAGACGTGGACACTGACGATCGGATTACTGAAGCCCGGTTTGGGATACTTCATATTGGTCTTGTTTGGATATGGAGTGGTGTTTCCGACTGTACTGGTGGGGTTGTAAGTTTTGAGTTCGTAGATCGGTACGTTTGATTCGTCCAAGCTCAACCAGACCAGTTTATTGGAATCTGGAGACCACCAAAGTGCTTCTGAGGCTTCGAGGACTTCCTCCTCGTAAACCCAATCGCAAATCCCATTGAAGATCGTGGGCGTACCGGTGATAGTTATTCTGAGTGGAGAGTGAACTTGGTCGGGAGAAGTGAGCAGATAGATATCATTGTCGAGGACATAAGCAATCGAGTGACCGGTGGGGGACCATAGAGCAATCGAAATACGAGGTTCGTCGGGTGAACTGGAGAGGAGAATAACCAAGGCAGGAGTCAGAAGGATCTGGGGTGGTTTGAGAGATCATGATGACTTACATGTCCGGACGAAGAGAAGTGACGGTACGCTGCAAGGTGTCATAGATCCAATAATGGCTGAATTTGGAGTGTCTCCACTGTGGCTGGGAGTTAGTGGAGACCAAGATGTATCTGAGGTCGGATGAGACGGTGAAAGCTTCAGGATAGATAGGTCGATGCTGGGGCTGAATAAAGAAAGAAAGAGTGCGCCTGGATGAGTGATGGGGGCTCTCTCTTATCTTTTAGATGACGATTGACTTACGTCTACTAGTTCGTGTGATTGGATGAGTGGCTTGGTAGAATTGTTCTTGAGATCCTTGAGGATGATTCCAGTGGAAGTGATTTCGGAGTAGACCCCATCGCCTGCTTCATCTAACCAGCTGATGGAGTGACGATTGACGTAGAATCGGCCTGCGAGGGCGTCGTTGAGGGAGATCCTTGCGAGGCCATCGGGGGATTGATTGAAGATGTTTGGGTTGATAGTGCTGAGAGTGGATTGGTTGTTGTTGTTGTTAGTGGTGGGTTGATGGTTGAACCAGATGAGTAGGCCGATTGCCAGTGAGCCGAGGATGAGGATGGATGAGATGGATCTGATGGTTGATTTCTTGTTCTTGTTCTTGTTTGAGTAACTGAATAGTCCTGGTGCTGGTTGTTGTTGTTGTTGGTTCTTCTGTGATGCTGGGCTGGGCAGTAGTGAGTGGCTGTTGGGTGTTAGTTGGTGGTGGTTGAGTAGTGTTTGGTTGATGATGTAGTCTTCGTCATCCTCCCCCTCCTCTAGTTCTGAGTCATCCAGTGAGTCTCTTCTTCTGCTGCTGCTGACTCCTCCTAGTGAGTGGTAGTCCTTCATCTTCATTAAACTTTGATGGTAATCCGGTTCTTGGTGGTTGGCTTGGAGTTTGCTGTGAATGAAGCTGGTGCCAACTTAAATAGAGAAACAGGGGGCCGGGCTTACGTAATCATGTACATCAACACCCTCCTATTGTATACATACAATTTGCAACTTAATTATTTAAGAGGCAACATCGGATTGATACAATTTAATTTCCTGGAGTCGAACATTAACACATCTCCTACATAATATCTCTAATTATATTCAAGCGGAGAGGAGAAAAAAAAATACAACTCGTGGATTTGTCCATAAATCTGCGTTTCATCTGATCTAATTAACTATCCTCTTGATTGCCTTCCAAACTACATATCAACATCAAATTCAAACAGGGCTTGCGTTTCCAATGAAGCATAGTAAAACTCGGGGAAGTTTCCTTCCTATCTCATCGTCACAAGTTCTTTCGTGCGCGGATTAAGAGAATATTGAAAGAAAAATCAGTGAGCTGGATATGAACATGAACATGAAGGAAAACTTGAGGGTTGAGTACTGACCTTCACCACTAGTGGGATGGATCGCAATCGTATCGTCAAAATCTTTCTTGAGCGCACCCATCTTGACAGCCACAGCAAAGCCTTGGATGATTTCATCCGTCCCGAGTCCAATCATATGGATCCCGACGATCTTCTCATCCGGGCCCCAACAAACTAGCTTCATCCCCGTCGGTTCTTTTTCTTCCTCGGGCATCATCGAGTAGTACATCGCCTTGAACTTCGATTGATAGACCTTGATCGACTCTTTCCCATATTTCTCATGGGCTTCTTCTTCGGTCTTCGAACCATAAACATCTCTCATCAGGAACTTGAACAAAAAGAGAGAGAGAGAGAGAGAAACGTAGCAGGGGAGATCTTTTTTTAACTTACCAAGCCAACCGTCGCACAGGGTGGATGAGAGAACACAACGGTGGCAACATTTTCATAGCTAATCTTATCATCCTTCACTCCACCGTACAATCGATTACTAAGTCTCCTTCCAGCCGCAAGAGCCACCGGAGTTAGTAAGGCTTTCCCCTGGACATCTCCGATCGCGAAGATGTTATCGACATTAGTCTTCTGATATTCGTCGACGATCACGTTGCCCTTGGAATCCAATCCGACACCCGCTTTGTCACATCCAACCAGATCTGATAACGGTTTCCGGCCGATCGCAAAGAGTACACAATCCACTTCGATCTTCTCACCGCGAGAGGTTTCGATCGTCTTCGGGAACGGTTTGGCTAGGTTGTATGGCCCCTTTTCGCTCGTCGAGAGTTTGATGACCTCTGAGTGCTTATGAATCTGGATCCCGATATGTTCCATGTGGTCGGTGAGAGTGTCCCTGATGATCGAATCAAACGTCCTCAGTGGTTGGTTCTGTCTGACGATCAGGTGAGTCTCCGCGCCCATCGCATGAAAGATCCCTGCGAGCTCGACGGCGATATAGCCAGCGCCAACGACGGCCACCCGTTTGGGGAGTGCTTCGAGAGCGAAGAAGCCGTCAGAGTCGATCCCCAGCTCGGCGCCTTCGATCTCCGGTAAGACCGGCCTACCCCCAACGGCAATCACAATCTTCTCGGCCGTCAATCGTCGGGTGCCTTCTTTCGGAGCCACCGAGAGATCCGACTGAGCTTGCGCATGGAAGTGAGTGGATTGAACCCCTTGAGAGATCTCCAGTGTGTTTCGATCGATAAAACTCGCGTGTCCACTTAGATAGTCCACCTTGTCATTCTTCACATTACGTTCGTAAATCCCATTCAATCGAGTGATATACCCATCCCGCTTCTCTTTCAGCTTCAACCAATCCACCTCTGGTAGTTTCGTGCTTTCAGGTGTCTGACAATAATGTACGGCCGCTCTCATCTTCTCTCGAACGTCGGCAGCATGCCACATTACCTTTTTGGGGACGCATCCTGAGTATTATGTGGATGTGCGAAAACCATGAAAGGATTAGTCCAAGTCCCAGGATTGCATTCTTTCTCGTCTTCTAATGAGCAGGGTGGACTTACCAACATTGACACACGTGCCACCCAAGACCGGAGTTCTCTCGATTATCCCGACTTTGGCACCATATTGGGCTGCACGTCTTGCACAGCCTAGACCACCAGAGCCTCCGCCGATGACCAACAAGTCGTAATCGTATTCATGTTTGGGAAGTGGTGACATGGTCTTTTGATTGCAGTAAAATCTTAAATTGCCGATAACCTTAAAATGCAAAGGGCCTTGTCAGAGTTCTTTGAGAGAAGGTGGTAAAATAACTGGGTTTTTTTGAAAGGGGTACTAGTTAGAAACAGAAAAGGATACCTACGGTCTTGAAATTCCGACCTGACGCCAGTTTTGTCGATTCCCTATGGCACTTGATATAGTTGTTGAGTAGGTTCAAGTTGCTGTGAGGGCCATTCCGGGGTATCTGACCCAAATTATCTAAAACCGGTGATCCGAGGGCACCGAAGGTCCGGTATCCGACACGGCTCCCTCGCAGATCTCGCCGAGCCGTTCACTTCCAAGTTCCCGACGGCAACACTCCTCAAGCCTCGGTATGTTGTAGGAGACTTTGGCAGGTTTTCGATATCGAGCTTCACTAGCAAGAACAGGGCTCAGTCACAGACAAAGTGGAGTCTAACAATATCTAAGAATCTTCCACCCTCTCGAGGTAGCAGCCAAGCTGGCTCACCTCTAGATCTTGCTGAAAACGCACTTTCGCTGGCAACTGGGCAAGACGCCAGCTGAAACATGGGCAGTACATACGAGGCTCTCTGGAGATATCCAAAGAATTCTCAAATTCGAAACAAGTGATCATTGGCTGCACTTGTCCAACAAGCTCAAAGAAGTGAGAACCCACGAGTCCATAGACTTGAGCATCAAGGAAGTAAGCCCAATGTAAGTAATCTAAGATTCTTATGCTCAGAGAAGTTGGCCCGGTGGTCTGGCCGGTGTCTTTTCTATGGTATGCAGCACTCAACCCAAGTCCCGTCGCCTGCTTTGAATAGCAGCGCAAAGCCCATTATCCCGGGTGAGAGGAAGTACTGGACCGATCCTCCGGGACTCTCTATGAAAGGGTTTGCTGGACTCGTGGGTCACACGACGGGTCCGGCTGAGTCTTGAACTTGAGTGAGGCTGGGTACTTCTGCTTTGCCTAATCGACCTAAAACTCTGGGAAAAACTTATCTTCCACACGCAAAGAATACATTCATACTTTTTTGGATTTGAATGCTGGTACATATGATACGATTTCGTGTTAACTTGTAACAATCCTCCCTTTATGAACAATGCAGAAAGATGTCTGTCCGAGCACACTTCAAAAAGGCATCAGCTATAGATAGTTGAATGCCGCGAGTTCATTGGAAGACGAACACAACCTAGTATTTGCATGTTCAACATACGCCTGTCTGAAGAACAAGAAGGCAATGGAAGACTTGAAGACTTGATTGATGTTTGATGTATGTATTCATATGGACGAAGAGTCTAAAACTCAGCTTGTGTATCAGGAGTCCAGTAGGGCAAGTGCAAATTTCTGCGTCAAAGTAGGATATAAACCAGCCGCCATCTGATCTGCTTCACCAGTGCCTAGTACTGCAACAGTGGTAGAATTCACCCACGACTGGCACAAAACGAACGAAGTCCTACAATCGTCGAGATTCGAGGTGAGCTGGCTATTGTTGCGATAGTTGTGGCCGGACAAAAACATTGCAAGATTCTCATTCCTGGCGCACACAAGCTGGCCTGATGAGAATGCCTTTGTATTCCCCAATTGGTTTTTTCCGCATTACGCTCTTGTGGTACCTCATGTCCAGAACCCGAATGGCCCTCGCTCCTGACCCAATGGATAATTCTGGATACATCGGCCGATTTGAGGCTGCCACAGGGGCCGAATTTCCCTCCCATCGAGCGAAGCGAGTTCGATATGAGGATCCCGTGTTTTTTCCGTCAGATGGCCCAACGACGACAGCCATCCACCTTCAACAACCAGACTCAGAGTGGACGCCGGTGAATAGACAAGAGCAGGACCAAACGCTCTCCCATGGTATTACGCGCCGTTCATCACCACCAGGTGAAACCAGTGGTCGCCCGAAGCGAGCTCGTGATGAATCGCAAGAAATCGGCCCATCCGTTGTCGGGAAACAAGATAAACTCAGTCGTCCTTTCGGAAGCTTCTCGGAACAAGCGTTTGAGAAGATCTTGAAGGCTCACAACTCCCGAAGCTTTCCGTATTTAAAATTAGCTGACATTAGTCCCGCGTCGGTGCAATTGGATAGTTCCATCAGACTTGGCCAACCAATCATGGGTGATTATTCTCAAGAAATCAATGCGTACACGGGCAGGTATGAGGTTTTGATCGAAGACATATTGGAAACGGCGCACAAGCTCCCAAACGCGTATGTAGGAAGAAAGACACGGGGATGGCCTGCCACGGTAGTCCGACCTCGCCACGCAGAGATTGAAGGAGAAATCATATTAGTACTCCCTACGAAAGATGGTGATTGGCGTGATGCGAAAAGTCTGGTAAAACAATTTAAAAGCCTCCATAGATGGATTGTCTACGTTCATCATCTGTTGCTGAAGAATAATAATAATCCAACGAGCAGCTCTCTGCAGGCATCTTATCATCAAGAGATGTTACTCTGGCTCTTTGGTGAAGTTTTTAACCCAAAGGTAGGACTTCCTGTCATCGGCAGATTGGATCAAGCTTCCTCTAACAGGCAAGTATTTGGGCCCCCCCAACGTTGGATCATGGAGTTCTTGGTAGATAAGAAGACTGCCTGTACAGTATCTTTGGCTCTTTTAGGGATCTGGTACTTGAACGCGAAGTCTGAAGAATGGCAGAAAGAATTCAGGACCGATGAAAATTTTTGGTCACGGATGACCACGTTAATCAACAACGATGCCAAAGCAGGAACGGAAGCTACTGGAATTCATCTGCGCCTCAAGAAAAGAAAAAAATATGAAGTCAAGAGAAACAGTAATAACATGGTTGAGCCCCAACCAAGAAAGACCATTGCTCAGATAGATAATTTTCGGCTTCTGACACCCGTGCAACCAGACAGTAAAGATACACAAGTCGGATTAGGTTGGTTAACAAATAAGAAAAGTCGGATTCCACCCGAGCATCAAGATTCAGAATTCACAAAGCAAATCTTAGATGAGATGTCACATGTTGCAAGACTGGAAACAGATTTAGTTTGCAATTCATTCTCGGAAATAGGTATAGCACTCGTAGCTTCAGTAGATCCAGAATATTATTACATCAGGATGATGGGTTCGAAAGGGCTACATAAATTTGCCAAAATACGTGATAAGACAAGAAATCTTCTGAATTACCTGGAAAAGTTCTCAAGATCCGCATTCTTAGCATTGAATACTAGAGGAGTGGAAGATTCAGCACTTTTGAATTCACACTTCCTAGCATGGTGTTCCGAGAAACTGACGGGAAAAAAAATTCCCATACTAGGTGCCAAAGTAAATATGCCACTTCCACTGCCAGTCATCGGATTGGTAAGGAAGAGTATAATTCAAGATCATGGTTTTCTGACATTTGATGAGGTACAATTATTTATGATACACTCTCTCTCTTCCACAAGTATCAGATATCAGGTACAAGAATCTGCTCTTACCCTCTTGGGATATTGGCTAAAGAATTTCTGTCAAGAAGTTTGGGTAAATTTTTTTGGAACAGATGAAAACTTTTCAGAATTTTTGAAGGAGACTATGTAATTGAATAAGACATGTTTTATGGATTTCTTGTTTGATTGGTTGACCACTCAAGTATTTATTGTACAATTGGTAGTGTTTGTGGGTGTATTGAAGATTCTCTACTTGAAAGTACATCAATTGAATTTTGTCTTGCTAAAGGATTGCAAAAATTGGATATCACACATCAACAATGAGGCATTTAAACCATCAATACCAGATATTTGTGTGCAGAACTTTCTCATATTTATAATTTCACTTCATATTCAATGTTCCAAGATCAGCAAAGGCAGAATAAGAAAAACATGCTGAAACTTCACACATAACTTTCTTTGGAACACAGAGATGACCAATTCTGCACATAAATCTCCTGCCTGTCATCTTAGACTAACAAGGGAAAAATGCAGAACCAACAAGACTGGGGGCAATTTTTGATACTACCCGTTGGGATTTCCATGGAATCCATTGCTCAACATGAGCCACTTACATAGAGATGGTCAAACAAGGTTCAAAACCAAGCCTCAAATTTAAAGAATGTGAAAACCAATTTTCATTTCTTCTGATGATAATGTAGACCAAATTGTAAGATTTGAATTTGTGATTTCAGAAAAAGAAATCAAGTAGTTACTCAAGGGAAGACAAAGTACTGGTTAGAGTTAAGATGGTTGAGGTGGTGATGAAGATAAGAGCTAACTGGTGAAAGTATTAATATTGAATAGTGGTCTGGACTGAGTGAAGTAGTCAAAAATAACTGAGTGATCCTCAGACATAGATGTGATCAAGCTTGATTTCGATTGAGCAAAAATCTATAGAATTTGGAGATCATTAGTTTGAGTCACAAATTATTTTTCTAGGCTAACATTGTAAATTCTGAACAGAATCAGTTGAACCTGCAGCACGTCTCTACACTCCAGAATCCACAATTTCCCTTTTATGTCAAACCAACAGGTTCAAGTACCACATATGAAGTAATAGAACATAATATCAACCCCACAAATACTTGGTGTTTTTGCTTGTTCTTTCTTTGTCTGATTAAAAACCTCAGATCACCAAGCATAAAACTCTTGCATTGACCTTTATAACACATCACAAAAGAGAACACACAAAAGAGAACATGAACAAACACAAAATACAGGAACAATACATGCCATGGTTGCGGATAAAAAGACTCAAGACTTACCCCTGCAGAAAAAGGGCTTAAATATAAAAATACAACTAAATGTGACAGTGATTTTGAGTGCTGAAGAAATAAAACACAGCAGAATTACATCCGGAAGACTCCAAATCCATTCATGGTTTGGCTGCTGGGTCGAGGACCAGCATTGCTAGCTCTTTCTGAATTAGCCAATGATATTCCAAGCCCCAGCACTGATCGTGTGTCCGTCGGACTGATTATTCCATCATCCCACCTTTGTATTCAGGTTAAAAAAAAGGATTAACATAACTTTCGCCGATCAATAATCAAGTGAAATTTACTGACAATCTAGCCGAAGTATAGAGTGATGTAGACTCGTCCTCAATTTGAGCTTTCAGTTTTTCAGTTTTGCTTTGATCTCTGAGCACACGGATTGAAAGAGAAGTTCTGAAAATCAATGAAAATACTCTCAGAGCAAGACCTGTTTTATTTTTTAAGACACTCAACTGAGAGATGGTAGACATGACATGGCTCAGCTGTTCTCCTCCCATTACCGAAACCTTTGCGTTTGGCCACATCCATAAAAACCTGGATCCATACCTGTTCACAGAATTTGATCAGCCATTGTCAATCAATTTTCGTTATCTTGACTTTTTGGAGATGTAAGTGACTGATTGTTTCCACTTACGCTCTCCCTGCCATCCCATAATTTCCAGCTCCAAAAGATCCACCAACGATCACCGTAAATTTGGGAACTGAAGTGCAGGCAACGGCCCTTACCATTTTTGCGCCGTCCTTTGCGATGCCACCTCGTTCAGCTTGTTCACCCACCATGTACTGTATTTGTTTATTTTGTCAGAAATTATAAATTGTCACAAATCTAGACACGCCTCTGAATGACCAAGATTCAAAGACTCTCTTACACCTGTTACATTGACCAGAAAGACCAAGGGTATCTGTCGTTGTTCGCATAGTTGAATAAAGTGTGTGGCCTTCAGGGCTGATGGCGAGAACAGAACTCCGTTGTTGGCGATCTACGGACTTCAGATAATTATTGACACTGTTTCCTTTCTGAATAATGGTTATTTTTTGGAGGATTACACGTGCTTACAATGCCGCAAGGTTGACCATGAATATGGGCTACTTCATGGTGTTTGATCAGCACTAGTATCTAGGAGCAGTTAGGAAATCAGATTAACCAGGTACGGTACGTAGAATCACTTACCAAAGCCCGTCACAATTGTTTTACCGTATTCCCTTTTAAACTCATGAAACTAGAGCAAGTTGATTCATCTGAGCTCCCTTTTTACAAAATTCATCAAATCAGTACGTAAGATTAAGTGAAAGCATGACTCACTTGTGAACCATCAACAATCCTAGCAATTACTTCTCTGATCTCAAAGCCTTCTCTCAAATTGGGACTTACGATGCCGTTCAATTCATTAGGATCATATAACGGCTCGTCCCAACCACCCTTTTCAGTCGTTGTTGAATTAGAGGTCTGACCGAGTTGATAGTTTGAATGAAGAATTTCTCTTCGAGCGAGTACCAGGGCATGTTCATCGGATTCAGCCAGATAATCACTAACGCCACTGACTTGACAGTGCATTTCACCGCCTCCTAGTTGCTCATCGTTGATATCTTCTCCTATCGCCGCTTTCACTAGACTGGGTCCCGCAAGGAAGATTCTACCTTGGTTTTTAACAATTATATTGACGTCTGACATTGCAGGCATATAAGCACCCCCGGCAACTGAGATTCCATGGACAACTGAAATTTGTGGGATTCCTCGAGCTGATAGTCGAGCCTGATTGTAGAATATCCGTCCAAAGTGATCCCGGTCCGGAAAGACTTGAGATTGGTAAGGTAGATTTGCACCACCCGATTCAACTAACAAGTCACCAAGTGTTAGTTAGAACATGTCTGATCGGGCAATGAACAAGAGGGAGAAAACAAAACGAAAATGGTAAGCTGACCTAGATAGATACATGGTAAACGGTTCTCTTGAGCGATTTCCTGAGCCCTCAAGTGTTTTTTGACAGTCTGATACGATGAAGAGGACAGTAAACATGGTCAACTTGTGTGCATACTTAAAAAACAAGAAGATAGAGCTTACTATTGGATAATATGACCCTCCTTTGACGGTTGGATCATTGGCAATGACCATACATGGAATTCTATATGAGCAGAAGATCAAAGAGGTGAGATTGAGGTAAAAATCAATGAGGAAAGAAACAAGCATGGAATCTGACAAACCCATGGACTTGGCCTACTCCAGTTATGATCCCACCCGCCGGCAAGTCTTCGTTTGGGTAGAGCTGATAGCCAGCGGTTTGAGAGAGTTCTAGGAATGGGGAAAATGGGTCGAGTAATCTTTCGATCCTGGTTAAATAGGGGAACATATTCAAGATCATCAGTGTGAATTAACGTTCTCATCAGGATATTTGACTCGGATTCGAACCTTTGCCTGACTAAGAGTTTTCCGCGATCGAGATGCTTCTTACGAGCGGTTGGACTCCCACCTGGTAGGATGTGTTGATGTACGAGTGACTGATGAGACTGGATCAAGCTTGTCATCGACTTGAGATTGGTTTGATATTCCTCCGAGTTGGTATTGATGGTGGTAGTGAGTTGAGAGGACAGATGATCGAGAGCATAGTTGAAGGAACGTTTGATGAGTTTTTGGGAAGGGCGGTTCTTGATCAGCTGGGATGTTGTTGTTGTTGTTGTCCTTGGTTGTAGTCTTGCGCTGAACTTGAGCATCTTGGAATTATCTGCTTGAGGTCCAGTGGGGATTGGAGGCCTCTTGACCTTGTTGACCGTTAAAAGCTGATGAGGATTGCTTGGCTTACATAAGCTGATCAAGGATGATGTCATGGTGCATACATTCAGGTGCTCATTCAGCTGACCTGGAGTCGGACGCAGCGATCACCTGAGATCGACCTCCTCTTAGAACCAGCGATCACCTGACCTCCTCCTCACCAGAACCAGCGGCTCTCACCACTACAGATTACAAATAATATATTGGCAGCGAAGATGGACATGGAATGGTCAAAGGAGCACGTCATTCAACTGAGAGAGGCCTTCCTCACTCAAATCGACATACAATCGTAAGTGAAGAAGAATCAAATCATGAAAACTGACTATATTATTCATCCGATTCATAATCCCACAATGATTACAGGGACTGGAATTGGAACAATGCTAAACTAGATCTGAGAATATTAACTGAGATTTTGGGGTTCAAAAGTAAGTCAGATAATGATACATCATGAGTACTTGATCAACTCAAGGAGCTTACCTATAATCTTTCACCTTTATGCATGATTAATACAGTTGAGCCATATGAAGAACCAAGTCCATTGATCCTCAACTCTGGGCTGATGAATTTTGAGCCCAACAGGTCATCACTGGCACTATCAAAACTTCTCAATTTCAATCCAGTAAACCGTCCACAAAGAGCAGTAAATTATGACCAATCAATTCTGAAAGCCGCCCAATTTCTACTTGGTCATATCCCCAAATTCAACTCAGACCTCAACCAAAATACATTCAAGATAGAATCAGAACATCCAGGTCTTTTCAAATTGATTACTGTCAGTGTTTTCCCTAATTTTGAAATTCAAATTCCCAATGATTAGTAATATTTCTTTTTTCCTGATCTTGACTATCATGGATTTCTGTAGGAGTTTGCCAAGGTCTATCAAGCTCGTTTGATTATCTATGAGCTCTGCTCAACTGATTGGGTGTTCAGTAAATTACTTGCTTGGGACCAATCTCTCAAACAAGTTAGTCAATCTTCCCATCAGAAATCAGAAAAAAAACCAGCTGCATGTTGACTGATGTATCCATTTCTTTTATGTAATTCCTTTTTTTTCCAAGAAAAACATTGATTTGTGAGTTTGATTCACCCTTCAAGTTTCAGTTCAAAATCAAAATGGATTCCAAAACAAACCAATGAAGCTGATCTGACCAATTTACTTTGTATGTGTGGGTTTGTGTGACTCAATAGTTTTGATGATGAACCAGACCGATTCTCAAAAGCCAAAGATCTAATTGATCGTGAACTTGGACGAGGTGAAAATGATGAACCAAGAGATACATAGCTGGTTAACATGAGCATACCCACTGAATTTTTAAAGCTTCCTTCCATTGCATTACTCTTCTCTTGGAACATTTTCTTTCCCATGGGAGTGCATTTTATTGTCTCTGGTCTACATAATTAATTTCTAGGAAAAGAGGAACAGATGGATTCATTTTTGTTGTTGGAGTCACATTCCCCAAGTTGTTTAAGCCACACACTACCAAAATGATTAATCTTAACATCTCTTGTACTACCATACAAGACCAGCAACGGTGGGGCACTATGTTCAACCATCACCTAGTGGTAGTGTAGCAACCCCCAAGAAACAGCTTCTGAAGCCATACGTTTGGTGGGCTGTTGGCAGTGCTAGGATGACACTAAGCTGTGTTACACTGATTTTTGAAGAAAGCCCTGCTAAATAGGAATGTAATTCCGTGTAGCAGCCTCATATTTTACCCCATGTCTGTCAGCAATAGTGTGATACTGCTAACAGCTAACAGAAAAAATTGAGTGGCATTCTGCTGGGCCGATGCTCAAGTCAGTGCAGCTGACTCACTTTTGGATCCCAGTGAACAGGCGCGGAAGTGCTATCTTGATGTGATGGATGATGTTGACACCTCCATTGCTGTGTTGATCTTCACAACAGTAGAAAAAATCTTACCAACTCTGTTGAGTTAATCATACACATGCAGCCTCTCCAGAACAGGATCATTCCTGGGGGACCCTTTGAGCTTCTGAACTACAAACAAGCTTGATTATCGATTACTTGGATTTAGAATCGCAATCTGAGACAATGGCCACTAATAGGCAGACTAGAGAAGAGCACTGAGACAACATCAATATGCAAAATATGTACACATACACAACATTAAACCAAAGTAATTGAAACAAACAGGTTTGTGGGTTGCCAAGGAGCTGAGCAAGGAGACAGCAGTAAGGTTGAATCAAAACGGGTAGACAAATAACTATTTGTCTTCAGAGAAAGATCAATCAAACTTCTTCAAACAATCTGAATTACAAAGCTACTGATACTCACGTCAGTCCCAGTGGGGTTGTTTGCATGAGAAATTTCATGTTTCTTGGTTGTAATGAAGCAGTCAAGTTATTTTTGAAGTCACACAATTCATATTTTTTTTCTTTTAATCAAGTAATGGATGCAGTTTCTCTCTTTTTTTTTTGAGAGGGGAAATTTGATTACATGAGATTGCGGGATGATGAGATTTAAGATGCAGGATGATTTAATGGTTTGCTCTGTTTTTGATGATTATGTAGTTACCTTGATCTATGAAAGTTTAAATATGTATATATTCTCTTGAAGAAAAAAAAAAGAACAGAAAGATGTGTATGTAGTATGTGAAGTGGGGAGAAGGTTTTCCTTAAGCTTCCTCACCCCATCCTTCAAAGTCGTCTTCTTCTCTCATCATCAAGTTGTCCCGTTTCAACATTGCGAATTCAGCGTCATGGACGATTTCCTCTTCTTCCTGCATGTGATCGTCGTCGTCATCATCATCATCTTCGTCCTGATGAGCAGCGACCTGTTTGTTGGAATTGAGCAACGAAGTGTGACCAGAAGCCGCAGAGGATTGGGAGCGCTTGCTTGCTGGCTTCAACTTCTTCAAGTTGGGCTGTGATGGCGACGAGGAAGATCCAGCTTTTCCAAATAAGGAATCGGCGATGGCATAGTTGATCTTCGAACTCAACTTTTTCTTCGAGTTGATCATGTTTTTCACCGATTCTTCGACGGTCAAACCGGCTGGATTCTCCGAATCTCTCGGCTTGGATTTTGTTCTCTGAGTGATATGCGTCAAGTTCAGTTCATCATCCGATCGCAAGAAAGCAAGAAGAAAGAAATAAACTTACGTTATACTTCTTGGCTACTTTCAATTCACCATTGGCTTCTCGTTCTTTCTTCAAGGCGACCTTTTCCAAGTATTCTCGATTCAATTCCATCCAAACCCTAGTTTTCATCTCGACCTCTTTGTCGTTCAAGATGAATTGATCTAGTTCGTCGTCATCCAAGTCATCCAGTCGAGCGTCCTGAATCTTTTGAGCCTCTTCCTTTTGACGTCGTTCTTTCTCATCAAGTTCGGTCTGTAGGACGAATCCGTCACCTGAGATCAGATGGGATTCGACTTCCTGTGTGATGACCTGTTCGATTTGATTGTCGTACCAATCAGCTCCATCGTTTGAGTTCGGATCGGTCTCTTTGAACTCGTGCACTTCGATCTCAGTTTCTGAGTCAGCAATCGATCCACCCCAGGCTTCCTTTTCAGGATGTTCGTCATCAGGAGTTTTTCGTTTGAGAGTGTTAACTTGAGTGACAGTGGGCTGAGTTCCTTGTTTGGGAGCTAGATTACTTGGGGCCGGACTTTGATGAGGAGGTTCATTAGAGTGAGTGATCACTGAGGCTTGATCATCATCGTCATCATCAGCCATCTCCTTCTTTCGTTCCTTACGCCTGTTCTTTTTGAGTGCGGGTGGATTCTCAGCTTCTTCTAACCAGATCGTGCGGAATTCTTCGACCGTCATCTTTCCTGAGGCTGTCACACGGAACTCTTCCAGTCGTTTCTTGATCGTCACATCGGCCATCTTGACCACTTGAACGATCTCTAATACGCTTCTTCGGAAACCGTTCATCCGTGCGGCTATCAACAAGCTCGCACCTGCGATACCTGCGGGCCGTCGACCGGCTGTCATCCAATCCGTATCGAATCGTTTGACCAGTCTGGCGGCATCGTATGCCACCTTTTGCGTGTCCTCGCCAAATTCCAAGAGAGAGGCAAAGCGAGAGATGTACAAGGACGGGTCGACTAGTGGAATGTTTTGTAAACAGAGTTCTTTGACAAGCTTCAAGTAGGTTGCTCCGACAATAAAGACATTGACCTGCAAGAGATCCAGAGATTTTTGTTTAGGGTTAGTTGCTTGGTTATCAATAATAAGACTAACAAAGCAGAGAGTATGAAAGATCGAACCTGTAACAAATCACTGATATCGATCAACATGGTAGGTAGTTTAGCAAGTCGACAGGCTACATAGATGCAGCTGGCTAGGACGTATGGACTTCGTCTTCCCATCACTGAATTGATTGTTTCAAGATTCAGATTAGCATCCGATAAGTAAGTGAACATTCACATAATCACTTACCAAATCCATTGGAAACGGCGAGAGTGAAAAATCGATGGGCTGATTCGGCAATCGAGTCACCCAATCGCAAAGCGTGAGCCATAGCCGTGAGTTTCCTCATGCCTTGTGCGAGAGTCTCGGCGCGAGATTCTGCAGATTGTTGGGGTCTACCGCGAGGGCCGCCGATCCTTGCTCTCACTGAGGGTAGTCGAACGAAAACGAAGATGATTCAGTTTGGATTGGCTGGATTAAAATACGGTGGGGATGAAAAACGGACGGTCAGTAGCGCCCAGTGAGCTGCCCTGGAGGACGGCTGCTCCGTTTGAGGATTCTCCAAAGGTGACCTCGGCGACGATCGTGTTTTCATCGACGACATATCCGCAGGCTAGAGTGGGAGAGGAGGGTTCAGCTTGGATGGCTCTTCCGGATGAGGGGAGTGAGTGAGTGGTTCTTAACTGGTGCAGACGGCGTTCCCGGCAGAAGAGTCGTACTCGATCACTGCTGCATCCCCACAGACTGGACAGGCTGGGCCGGCCATCGGATATTGTTGGCTTAGCTGATCAGATGATGGGGGTTGAAATACTTGGGGCTGTGTGGTAAGCCAGATGAGGAGATTTTATTTATAGTGCGATCGGCTGAGGGGGCGCTTGGCGGGAGATGGGGGAGCTGGGGCACTGCAGGCACGAGTTCGATGCTCCTCTTCGGAGGACCCTTAAGAGGTTTGCGACACCTCCGCCTGCTGGGGCACCCTGGCTCGACTGGGCTGCCCCCTGTCCGCCCTCGTCTCATATGCTTGTACGGCCTATACATATACGACGGAGGGCCACCCGATCTCGGCTGTTCCGGCGCACGGCGTTGGACCGGCTTCGTCTGCTGCTAGCCTGTCCCACCTTGGATGAGGCTCGTTTCAGCTTGACGTTTTGGCCGTGTCAATCCCACCTTCCTTCCTGTACGCTGGAAGCTAATTTTTGTGGTCGTATTTGTCGATGGCTGGGTGTGTGTCAAGATTCATATCATAGGACACGCTACACTCAGTCCCCCCCCACATGCTCAAAAAACGTGCCGGCCACGAAAGAATCGTACAAAACGTCTTCACTATCTCTGGATTGTGCGGCTATCTTATCTATTCTTGTCTCAACTCCTGGAGCTTGATTTAATGAGCCAACTACATAATTTGCCATTGATTCAAATTCAACTCATAGTATCAGAATGTGATAGGCGCGTACACCAATAGCTAAAACAGACACATTTGTATATATCTCAGCTTGGATCCCACAATTCATGATCATCAGCTGATAAGGCCTTGTACTTCTACAGGGAAGGAAGTTTGGATGCTGCTCATGGATAGGGCCAACAAGCTGTGTATGTATAGACCTGGTTGACTCTATAGTTTCAATCTAGTCATGATTAGCTTGGCCAGTGTCTTGATAACAAAACTCTTAAATTTGCTGTAGGGCTGTTTTGCTAGTATTGAAGATAAGCTTAGATTTCAGGTGTCTGATTTGGAAATCAATCCCCTCATGTTTTTTTCTCTTTAGGCCACAACAAAAACTTCAATTCAACTTAAAAGTTTTCAATCCAAGTCAAGCAAATACAAACACACAACCAAGTTACAGTATCAAGGGGAATACCTGCACAAACTATCTAATCAAATAAACAGTGAAGTTTTGAAGAAAAATCTAAAACACATCATAAGGGGAGAGAGAGAGAGAGAGAGAGGTCAATGATAGAAGTCAAGCCTGGAATTCTGTACAACTTGCTAGTCTTTGTTTTCAAGTGTCTGTGTCAAGAACATAATCAACAAAATTTGCAATAGTTTCAACATGAACTGGATCTAGCAAAATAGACAGATATTTGTATTGAATTCTGAAGGCCATGTTGAGCACAATATAATGATGCATATGTTCCACATTCAGTTGCATATCTTTATTCATGCTTAAATTGTAAATTCATAAACCTGATTTTTGTTTTTTCAAATACTGGTTCAGCAAAATTCATGCAAGCAAGTATGAAAATACACAAATCAGCTATGAACACTGTAAGTCTGTGATCTGATTATCAGTACAATAAGTCATATTTTATTGAACAACAACCATAAGATACCATGGACCATCCGCAAATAAGTGACCAATCAACTTATTAGAAAGGGAGATTTAAAGTTACTGTTTCAATCAGTCTTGTGACCAGTTGGAAGTATGTTGTATATGCTCCTCAGCACCACAAAAGTTGCAGCACCACAGAAGTTGTTCATTTGATGTTTTGAAAGTTGAATGAATAAATACACAAAAATGGAATCATAACAGAATTTGATAGGTATTATGTTATAAACAGGTCTCAGCCAGAACTTGTTAATGATTTAATTTCTATGTTGATGCATTTATATATATCCAATTTGAATACCTGGCCTGATAATTTCAGAAGAATGCCTCATGAAACGTGATATATTGTTGGTGATAGGTGTACTGATGTGTTGCTCCTCACAAGAATGTTTATTGAAACTCAAATCCTCCATGTATGAATACTCCAGCTGCACTTTGGCACTTTAATCTTGATGGAGTGATACATATCAACTTTAACTCATGTTTCTGATGGTGAAATTTCAATATGGTTTTTTGGGTTGAAAGGTCCATCCTGATAAGAACCTAATACTGTCCCATTTAATGACTCACCATTGGTGCTCTATACCTTTTCTTGAATTATCAAAAAATGACTCATTACACTTGGCCTTCACAGTGCCAACTGCAGCCTAACTTATGTTACATGTCTTGATGTGATGTGTTCTGATTCATGTATGTAGGAAATCAAAATTTGAGCTGTATGGATTCACAGATGCTCAAATTTTGAATGCATAAAATCTCTTTGAAAGCAAACTTAAGTTGGAAATTGACTGGACATGTGAATCATTTATGGATCTGTACAGCTCAGCTTTGAACACCTTAATTGAATATCTGATTATTCCAAGTTTGCTGAAAGAAATCACATGTGATTGGGCTTTCTGCAGATAACATTTCTGGTACTTTCCATCCTTGGGAATGACTGAAAACAGAGTTTGAAAAACAATCAATGATGGCTATCTCGATGTAATCCCTGCCCACTGGTGGGAGGCTTGCTTTCTAATTACACCAGCTAGTGCTTGTGGCAAAACCACCATTCCTACAGGGCTCATATTTCAATCAGGAGAAATATTTAGGCCGGTGGCATTTTTAAGCTTTTAACTATATACAATATGTAGCCCAGCCTCCAGCTTCTCCCCCTGGTTGAGCCCCAGTGTTCTGAGACTCTAGAATGCTCCCTAGATTTTGTCTCTGTCGGGATCTCTCTATCACTATCCATTGGTTTTTGGAGAATATTCTTGAAGAGTGATATTTCAAACAAAGAATTCACTTGACTGAACTGCTTGTGGGTCCTGTTGATTGATGATACCAACATCTGAGAGTACCTATTAATGATGGAGACAACTTGAACTCTGCTGATGTAGCTGGTGAAAGGCTGGTTACAGATGTGTGAAAGATGGTGTGACATGTGCGTCGGACTGAAGCTGGGTAAATTTCTGCAAGTTGTACCTTCTCTGAGCAGAAGAAACATTCCGACACTTTTCTTGAATATCCTGTCAGGATGGACGTGGAGACAAAAGATGTCCAAGTTGAGTGATGCTTCGTCTCCTACTCTTATCTTTTCCTGAAGCTGAATTATCAATGCATGCTTAATCCTAGGATGCGATAACCCTGAGCCCATACAAGCCTGGAACCAACTTACGCGTTTGCCCTGCTCCGGCAGCCTTGGTCAAGACCCATTACTCGTTATTGGCGATTTCGAATGTGTTTGGATGGGCGATCATCGTGATTTCATCGGATGTCGACTCATGCTCGGGTCCAGCGTTCATTCTGACTCGTTTGGATGACTTACAAACCTCGATCGATCAAGCCGAAGAGTTCTCCCCCGCCGCCTTCAACATCCAAGGAACAACTCAAACCGTCGTCGTACCCACTGCCCCTCTTTGCTCGGATCCTTCAGTATTCATCACTCATGCGGCCTTCGCGGCATGGGATCGGCTTGTCGTTCTGGCCACCTCCAATGGCTCGCTACACATATTTTCATCATACGCCTTGATCGAGCAAAAAAACATGGAACCTTTGAGATCTATCCCTTCAGCTTCCAATGTGCCTTTGAAGATGCTCGTCCCGAACCCCAGCAAAGGCGGTCCGCTCTCCGGCGTGATAGCTTTAGTTCATCAAGATGGGACGATCAAAGTGGTAGATTGCTATGATACTGAAAAGATACATTGGGCCAGCCAACGCGCCACGGCAGCAGAGTGGAGTCCGATGGGCAAACGACTCCTTGTGGGCTACGATGACGGCCGACTCGAATTCCTTACTCACGATGGGATAAGCAAAGGCAAGATCGATCCCCCAGCACTTTTGGCAAAGGAAGGTCTTTCAGGTGAATTGACCACGACTTGAATCGATGCAGGGCAGAAGAAAGTTGACCATGTTTAGGATAAAGCTGACGTTCATATTGAAATTGGCTTCTATCAGTTTTGCACATCAAATGGCTCGATCAAAAAAACTATATCGTCACTTTCGCACCCTCAACCGATCAGTCCGATGAACTCAATGAAACATTTTGCCTCAATGTCCCCAAACAATCAGAGTCCCCGGTATGCACCTTTACTAGAGTGGTTGATGCGATCACATCCGACGGCGATACCAGTCTGTCTCCAGCGCTTTTGACTGTAGCCATTTCAGTCAATCCACAAGCCGACTGGAAGCACATAGCCATATCATCTTTCACCAATAGCACTTCACTTACTCTACTCGGATATGACAAGTCCGACAAGCCATTTTACCTCGACCTTGAAGAAGGACGACCAGAGATTCCAGTAACAGAAGAAGACTACGCCCCCTCGGCTCCTCTAGGCTTTGCCTTCAGCTATTGCACCCGTCAAAAATCGCCTCTGATATGGTGCTACACCACGGACGGTGTGCTGAGCCTTTGGAAACTAGCATTGAATAATCCTTCACTACCTCAGGATGTCGAAGTCTGGAGTGAAATCTCAGACTTTAGTGACATATCAGCCGTCGCACAACAAGGCATCCACGAAGCCCCGTCACCCCCAAAGCCCCCAAATTCTGCAGATGCTTCGACCACTTCCCACGTTGCGCCCCAAGCGACCACTGCTTCTCCAGCAACTGGATTCGGCACCTTCGCCTCATCTAGCGTCAGGGCCTTTGGTCAACCTTCACTAGCTAACAGTCAATCCTCCCCGGGACCGGCCTCATCCCTCTCGAAGCCACCCACTTCTCAAGTCAGCGCTTTTGGCTCCTCTAGTAATGTGGCTTTTGGTCAGCCCTCCCTCACCTCCAGTCAAACCTCATCGGGACCGTTTTCATCATCCACGAAGCTACCTGCTTCCACGCCATCTAAATCCAGCGCGTTTGGCTCCCCAAGCCAGGTGGCCTTTGGTCAAGCCTCTCTAGCCAGCAGTCAAACCTCCTCGGGATCGCTTACATCTCCTCCAAAGCCACCTACTTCCACGTCATTTGGATTCGGTTCCTTTGCCTCCTCTAGTATTGTGGCATTTGGTCAGCCCTCCCTAGCCAAAGATGCTTCGGCCTCTTCTCAGGCTGATCCGAAAGCACCCGCGGCTTCTCCAGCATTTGGATTCGGCTCTTTTGCCTCCTCTAGTAGTCCGGCCTTTGGTCAACCTTCACTAGCCAAGGATGCACCGACCACTTCTCATGCTGATACCAAAGTGGCCGCTGCTCCCCAAGCATTTGGATTCGGCTCTTTCGCCTCCTCCGGCAACGCGACCTTTGGTCAACCTTCCCTAATCAAACAAAACACTTCGACCTCTCCTCAAGTTGATTCCAAAGTGGCCAAGCCTTTTCAAGCATCTGGATTTGGCTCTTTCGCCTCACCTGGCAATGCGGCCTTTGGTCAACCCTCCTTAGCCAAAGACGCTCCGACTTCTGATAAAGCGGCTGCTGCTCCCCAAACAACTGGATTCGGTTCTTTTGCTTCCTCTGGCAATGCGGCATTTGGTCAACCCTCCCTGGCCAAAGATGCTCCGACGTCTTCTGATGCTGACTCTAAAGCAGCTGCCCGCGTCCCAAACATCTGGATTTGGCTCTTTCGCCTCACCTGGTAATGCGGCCTTTGGCCAACTTTCCCTAGCCAAAGATGCTCCGACCTCTTCTGATAAGGCAACTACAGCTCCTCTAACATCTGGATTTGGCTCTTTCGCCTCCTGTGGTAATGCGGCATTTGGTCAACTCTCCCTGGCCAAAGATGCCCCGACCTCTTCCGATGCTGACTCTAAAGTGGCTGCTGCTCCCCAAACATCTGCTGGATTCGGCTCTTTCGCCTCCTCTGGCAATGCGACCTTTGGTCAACCCTCCCTGGCCAAAGATACTCCAGCCTCTTCTAATAAACCGGCTGCCGCTCCCCAAACATCTGGATTTGGCTCTTTCGCCTCCTCTGGCAATGCGGCCTTTGGCCAACTCTCCCTAGCCAAAGATGCACCGACCTCTTCTGATGCTGACTCTAAAGCGGCTACCGCTCCCCAAACATCTCGATTTGGTTCTGACGCCTCCTCTGGCAATGCAGCATTTGGCCAACTCTCCGGAGCCAAAGATGTGTCGACTTCTTCTCATCTTGATTCCAAAGCGGTCAAGCCTTTTCAAGCATCTGGATTTGGCTCCTTTGCCTCCTCAAGCAATTCAGCTTTTGGTCGATCTTCCCTACCCAGAGATTCTTCGCCCACTTCTCGCATTATCCCTCAAGCGGTCGCTGATTCTCAAGCATCTGGCTCGTCAAGTCCTGTGGCCGTTGATCAACCCTCCCCAACTCACAGCCAAACTTCCTCGGAATCGTCACCATCCTCCCCGAATTCACCTACTTCCACGCCATCGAGACCCGGTGCTTTTTCCTCCCCAAGTCACGCGGCCCTTGGTCAACTCTCACTAGCCAACAGTCAAACCTCATCGGGGCCGCTTCCATCTTCCCCGAAGTCGCCTACTTCTACGTTATCACCTGTCTCCCCGAGGTCACCTACTTCGACGCCATCACCTACCTCCCCACGGTCACATGCCATAACGCCATCTCATACGACACCTCATACCAACCGTGACGAACGTTCCCCCACCCCAGAACATTCCCCCACTCCGGAGCGCTCCCCCACCCCGGAACGTTCCCCCACCCCACCGCCTTCCCCCCCGAAGCCACCTTTCTTGACAACACGGCCAGAATTTATAGCTCCAATAACATCTTTGTCTCCAACGATTGTCCCCAAAATAATTGTCGATTCGACTGAGCCGCTTCCTGATGTTACTATCAAGGAATTTGGCGAAGCTTTATTGGTAATCACTGATTCAATAACATCAGAAATAGACTGTGTAAGTGAGAGTTATAGGATGAGATGTCGCCCGTTGTGAGATGTCTCTTGACTTTACGCACCTCTCACTAAAACATTATATAGTTAGCTCCGGTAGGCTAGGTCTGTCAACGGTTTTAGGAAGAATGTCACAAGAAACTGCAATCCGAACCGCGTGTTGCGGATCTATCGCAGCTTCAAAACTGGGCATTCGGAGACTTGCCCGTCTTGTATCATTTTGTTCAGCTGTTTGGGGAACAAGCTAAGCAAAAAAAGGCGCAATATGAGTCACGCTCACAGGTTCTCGCAGGCTTAGAAAGCATTACTATAAAAAGTAGATTTGCTTCGTCTGACATCATCATATGTGACTGGGCCTGACAGCGTGTTGTTTTCTTCTAGGCGATATGAAACTAGACGAAATCAAGCGGCTTTGGCGACTGCGTAACGACCCTGGATTTTCGCAAGTTATACGTTCAAGACAACTGGGACCTGTACAGCTTTCTCATCAAAAAGACATGCGGCGCCTCATTAGAGTAAACGGCGTTCATAGGAATTGATTGAATTTGGCTTTCACTGACAATGTTCCTTGTTATTGTCTTAGGATGTGAAACATGGTATTTCACAAATGTCCGAAGTTCTCCAGTCTTTTGATTCTCGACAGCGAGAGGCGAATTCATGTAGGAACAGAATGCAGTTAGTGTTTTGATTTGGCTTGCTGCTACTTCACGTCGCCTGATAGGATTCTTCCTCCTGTAGGACCCCCTCCATAGACATGATCAACCGATGTATACGTTACATCACTTTGGGGTTCACTCAACATATCATAGACCTCGAGAAAATGCATCTTCGGGCTCGCCAGCACAAAGTCGCATCTTCATCATTTGAAGATAAAACAGAGACCACTGGACTTGAGTTATGTCAAACTCAAAAGGGCGCCTCTCGCACACCTGATCAAGCCGCCGCCATGGGAGCTCTACTTAACGAACACAAGGGGGCCATGCTCAAAGAATCGATCTTAAAACACCACACCGAACCAATTCTTACTCGAGCCCAAACCTTGAATCAATTGAATCCCTTTGGAGAGCCTCATGGGCTATCCCATATTGGGGCCACCAGGACTCTTATCATTAGGTCTAGACAGATAACTTAGAGTATGTGTTGTTTGTAGAGAAAGCAAGGGAGAAGCCAAACCCCTTTCCTGTTTGATTTTCTATCATGTAGCAAAAAAATGCAAACTGCTGTCAAGCTTTTGGCCTGCAAATACAAAGTTGTCAAATCTTTTTGGATAGAAAATTCCTTTCCTCGAGGAGCATGGGAGACGCCAAGATTTTGTGCTTGATAGCCCCGATGAGCTGAAAATCATCTGAACTCCACAAAGTCAAGGCCCGGAAGAGCTCCTTGAATGGGTCTATCCGTGGAGAGAGAACCAGAGAATGTAGCAAAAGATGTCGATCCATCTGCAACTTCGCTCTGCAACTTCCCGGATGTGTTGCAAAAACTTGCAAGAGTCAAATGATGCTTCTCTGAGCTATCATTTTTTTTTTCTCTCCCGCTACTTCCATCTAGAGCAACGTACCAACTGGGAAATTGTACTGGACGGTTTAGTGCCCGTACGTGATTGTCAAGTACCACTGGAGCGCTCTTGCAGAAGCACAAAACAAAACAAAAAAGACTGATTTTGTTTGATCTTTCAAAAATCACAGAAACCCCGATGCAGAATGCTTTGCGAAAAAAAAAAAAATGGTGACAGTTTCAAGAAGTGGGAGGCTCTTCCTGTTGGGAGTGACAAGCGGTCAAGGAAACATGAAAAAAACAGAGGTGGAAAGCTAGTACTGAAGATGAAATTCAGCCTTTCAGGCAACCTGAAATTTCAGTGGACTGGGAGCCCTGGTCCAATTCAATATTTGTTTTTTGAACACAGGTGACCTGGCAATCAAATCAGCCAGAAGCAGGGTTTTTTTTTCAAGTAAGATTAGAATTGTTAGATAACCTTTGAGGAGTCAAGCATCTACACAAATATCCACTCCAGGAGTCCAGAATCAAGCCGCAGGGTTTTAGTACATTTTTTGTTTTGATAAATTATGATTATTATGTGTTTACATGTTAAGAATAACAAACTGGAGAAATAAAGCATCGAAAAAAAAAGAGAAAGAAACTGTTGATGATTACAATAAGGTAAGTAGGAAATCGAAATGTTCTTCAGGATCGAAATGGAAGACTTTGTAAAAAAAGGACACCGGTTGTCTAGGTAAGTATCTACTAATAACTTTAAATTCCGTTCCATTGGATTAATAATAAGTCTTTTTTTTTCTATGACAAATCACAATAAATATATATATATGAAAGTGTGTGATAAGTAAATAAATAAAATGTACATGTTTCTTAAACACCAAATGAAGCAAAACCCAAACTAAAAAACAAAAGATAAACATTTTCCAGAGTCGAAACAGAGAAGAAGAAAAAAAAAAACAGAGAGAGCAGCTAATTCTTGACAAAAGCAATGATGATACTCCAAGAAGAAATAAAATAAGAGAAAAAGTTGAGGTTGAAGTCGAAGATTTTTCGGAGTTGTTTCCAATGATTTCGGGTTTCTAATAATCTTAACAACTGTTTATCTGATTCGGATAATCTAAAGTAACCTTGATTTGGATCGTTAGGTTGAGCACAAGAATCGGTTGCAGGATGATGATGATTACCATCATGATCTTGGACGTTTTTGATGTCTCTGTTTTTGAGGGTTGTGGTGGTACTGAGAGTAGCGGCCGGCGATGGTGGAGGATGTGAAGAGCAACGCATAGATGATGGTGGGGGAGAAGGTGGGATGATCAAATAATCGCTGGGAATCAACAACGATCTTAAGATTGAGCCGAGTAAGAAAAAGATTAAGGCAGTGAGAACGAGATGTCGATTGGTATAAGTCCTTTTCCTAAATATAAATCGACGCAAAAAGCCTGGGGATTGCTTGGCCTGCTCGTTATTATTACTAGTCGTAGCATTATTATTTTTTCGGTGAGGATGATTATTATGACTTCTGAAAATGAAATTTTTGAGTGCTTCAAATCGTCCGTTTTGAATGCGGTTAGTTGATTCGACTTCCTATGAAAAGTTCATCGTTCGTAGGCAGAGAACCCTTGTAAGCATTAAGGTGAAACGATTCGAAAACGACTTGTAACTTACCAGGTTGTTGGAGGCATTAGTGAGGTTTTTACTACCACCTTCTTCCTCTGGCTCTCTAACTTCATTGACAGGTGATAACAAGTGAGGTGACTCCGCGACCGAGCCTGGCAATGAAGACGACCCCGAGTTATCATCCGACTCACTCTTGAAATCGATCGATGTAGCCAAAGGGCGTTCCATCTCAGGAGGTAAGACGCTCTCCACCGCGCTAGAACTGAGTGTTGGCTTTAGTGTTTGTCGCTTAGGTAAGGTACTTGAAAGTCGACTAACGCTTTATCGATCAATCGAAAACCAATGAGCCGTTAGCAAATTATCTATTATCATGAAAATCCATTGAGACATTACTCACCGAGAGATTGAAGGGTAGGACCCCATATAGTCATCCACTTCCCGACGCTCGAGTTCTGCTTGACTCTCTTCAATCGAAATCACTTTCTTCTTTTCGCCATTAACGATCGCTTGGAAGTCTTGTGATTTCTTGAGACCCTTATTCTGCTCATGTGTTGTCGGTCCAAGCATATCACCCACTGCGACCTGCTCGATGGAGAGGTGTATTACCACCGCCCTCTTGCTCATCCGAGTGTACCATAGCGGTGGAGTCGACGATTCCGAATCTGAGTGGCTAGTCAAAGGATCTTTTATTGGCGAGTGAATCTCTCCCACTGGTAGTGTCATCCTCAACAGCATATGTTCTCTCCTAACGGCTGGGTCCAAGGAGGCGGCAAAGATGGTAGGGCTTGGCATTTGATGGAAGGTGACTTTTAACGGCAACATCAATGTGTCAGCTTCGAGAGGAAATGGGAAGTTGACGTCTCTTTCGATGACTGCGTTGGTGCCAGATTTCAAAAAGCATGCCTTCCAAGAGACTCGACACCCGCGCGGATAAAATTTTCGATCCAATGCAAGCTCAGCAACAACCAACTCGTTCGCCTTCGAGCTAATCACGTGCGCCCCATGAAGATTAGAGGTCCAACTTGTACCCGTTCTTCTCAGTTGGCCGGCACTAACTTTCCTATGTAAATCTGGGGTTGATACTAATCGACGCACAAAAGTCGACCCACCGCTTGAATCACTTGTCGAAGGAAATGATACACCTAATTGGCGGATGGTCTCGTACCTCGAAGCGGAATGTGCACTGGATGGACCACCGGATGCCGTTGGAGAATCATTGGACGTTGGTTCGTTGGCTCCTTTCTGAAGTAAAAACATTGCCCGAAATGCTGAGTTTGGGGTGGCGTCGACAGACAAGGCGATCTTCGAATTATCAGCCCCATCGAGTTTCCACTTCCAATCAGCAAGCCCATCAGTGCGCAGAGAACTGTTCATTCGAAGCCCAAAGACTGGCTGACAAAGTCTCGGAACCGGTCCATGCGACTTGACCAAGTTTTCTAAACCACTGATCATTCGAGGTAAACTGGAATTCAGCATCGAGTTCAAAGCCACAGGCAATGAGCTACCATAATCAATCGCACTGAAGTGAGTGCATCTCGTAGAAGGGATCTCATGGGAACTCGAAGAATAGGGATCGACTGTTTCCATGATCCACCCCTCCAGAAACACGTGCGCCTCCACCAAGCCTTGCGGGTTCAACTTACTGTTATTCAACAAGCCAGCACCAGGTTTCTTGAAGGACGCAGAGGCTAGAAAGTGGACAGTAGTCGTACTCGAGCTGATTGATGATGATGGAATTTGAAGTAGGGCATGGACATTGGCGGTTTGCAATAGACGTGCTTTGAATGGAAAAGTCGGCTTGGTAGTGAGTAGATGAGTGGTACAACCATTGCCGTAGCTTTCGAGTAGATACGATGTTTCGACACCATCATCCCAAAGTGGACGACTGGAAACAGTAGCTAAAACAGATACCATTTCCTCTGCAGTAACGCCTTGAATCACTTGATCAGCCCGGTAAATCGGGAAAGCTTCAGAGATCTGAGGTACTATCTTCTTGTAGACAGATGCGCTGCCCTTCTCAGCCACTAACGTCCATCCAGCGGGGGGAACCATGATGTCAGGTCCCTGTTCGATGTGGAATGTCTGTAGAATGGCGAGGGCTTCTAACGCGCTAGCCATAGGATGTGAAGGGCTTATAGGTCCAGATGGTGTGAGTGAATTTGCTATGGGATGCAAGGATGCGACCTCTGCAACAGGGCCAGTGCATTCTTCTTGACCACGGCCGGGGATTGGGGTCGAGGATCGTGTGCCAGGATTACTAGCAGAAGGACTACCCCTCCACATTCGAGGACCAGATAAGGAATACTGATCAAGCCTATGAGTGATTGTTTATTGGTGAATCAGCATATTAAAGATAGCGGGATGAGGCAGAGCTTGAGAATCGCATACGGTATCAGGCTTGCTTTGACTCGCCGTTGGGTCGCTAAGCTCTTCGCCTCTTCTGCGGATAATTCTTCGGTGTCGACTTTTAGATTAGTGCCGTTCAGGGTCACGGAGCCCTTATCATCCGGTGCAGTTCTTCCCCTTCGAATGAGTATTTTAGCTTTGTCGTGCTCTAATAAGTTTGCATCGTGCTCGATCGTTATCCACCACCCCCCGCCAGATGAAAGTTTATGACGCTTCAAACAGCTTGCATTCGTCGGGGGTGGGTCGGCCACAATGTCTAATGAATTGGCCCAAGTTTCACAATCACACCTGATCTCGCATTCAACCGAGGACGCGTCTGAAAAGTCGATTAAGCATGTAGTTGAATTTGAAGGATCCATGATGGCCGGCGTAAGTGCATTTTCAGAAGCGGTGTATTCTGCGCGGAAAGTTCCTTTGTCATGCTCGTATTTTGATAAGGTTATTCTGGCACCCGAGAGACGAGTGATTAGGGGCGGTCCACCTGACTTCAGGGCAAACTCCCCAACGTTGGCTACTTGAGCGATCAGTTGAGCGGGAGTCCAGCTTTTCGGGGACCAGCCGAGTGGATCATGTTGATCTATGTGGAAAATTAAAAGCAGATTCAGTATTGATTATCGAAAAAAAAACATAATTGAAAAACTCAAGTACCAATAAGTGTAATTTGGGTGGTTGTTGGAGATAATGATTCGATTGACCACCCCAGAATTTCAGTCCGAGCGCGAATGTATCCGGGTGTGGGGGGTTGGATACTTGGAAAGAGATTGGAATCATCAGTTGAAACGGAGAAGATGTGAACGGAAGCAGGTGATTTGTATGTGGTAGTTATCAGAATACTATCACGAGGTGCAATCGGCCAGCTGCCTTTCTGTTTGATCTGCCATAAAGAACTCAGATCGTTCAATTCCTCCAATAGTTTCACCTCATTCAAGCTCTTGTCCCAGCAAAGGCGCGCGCCTGCTGTCGTGATCGCGCTGAGTACATTCCATACTCCGACGCCCACAAACGTGGCCTCAGCTCTATAGACTGTCAATGTAGGATCAATGGACTGTAGTTGGGTCACGCTAACACCGCGTGAATCAGATGTATGTTTCCATTTCGCTTCAGGCTCTTGCAGGAGTGAACTGAAGTAGATATAACTCCTTCGTAACAGAGTTGATATTACATTTGCGCGAGAGGCGTTGAGTCTTTTGGAAAGTGCCGACGCCTGCGGACCAGGCGAATCAGACTCGCGAGCTGGGACATCTACTGTTGAGTTCGCATCACCAGTGAGTTTCGATTTTTCGGTGGAGCCGGTTTGCAAGCTTAGTTCACTGATGCTTCGAGCGTCGTCTTTGAATATGATCGATAAGACATCGTTTCTACTCGACTCTATTGTTGCAGCCTTGACGGGAGTTTGGTTGACCCTAACCGTTTTACCACCAGCGAGCCGTTGAACGATTACTTTGACCCTGACAAGTTGATCAGGCTTCGGTAACTTGGCATGAGTAATCCGCAAAATTGTACGAAGTGCATCCGGTGGTTTCTCGGCCATCACTTCCCAATTTTCATCAACATCTTCACCTTGACCATGAACTTTGACTTGGATATCCCAGCCTTGGTCGACCGGTAGTTTCAGCTCGATCGCTCGTTCAAGTCGGGCCCCATCAGGTGAAATCTTTCCCTTTTCAGCCTCGTCCCTTTTAGGCTCTGAGGAATCGGTTGTGGAGTCTTCAGGCAAGATTGAATATGAGAGGTTCAGCTTCTCATCTGCTTTATCGTAGGAAGCTGAGCTCAGATCGATTCCATCGGCATACGACGATAAGATTGGGATCTCGGTAGCCTGGTTCCTGACATAATCAACAAATCCATTTAGAAGTGAGGCGATTTGGGAATGATGGGTGGAGAAGATGGCACCCTTCCAGTTGACCTTCCAAAACACAGTAATCCGAGCTTTGCTGTTTGGCGGGGGCTTGTTGAGGAGGGGTTGAGGAGATGAATCTTGATCGGTTGGGGGATCATGATCAGTTGGTTCTGCTTCGGGATTCGATTGAGAAGGATTAATTGAGGAATGCAAGGGATCATGGACCAGTTGGATACACCAAGCGAGTAAGTGAACGTGGGATCGAACGAATGGTGGGGAAGGTCGAAGGTAGGCTGGTTCATCAGCTGAGCGAGGGAGTGAGGTAGAAATGTCAATGACTGTGTTTGAATCTGTGAATGTTTTTGAAATGGTGATTGAATCTCGAGGGCTAGAAAAATTTAGGAATTAGGATTAGTACTTAATGTTCTTTAGACCTGACATGAATATAGATTGAGGTAGGAAGGTAAGGGGCAAAATAACCTGATTGATGGTCAGATATATTATGGATACAATACTTGACACCCCACAGAGAATCAAGCCAAGCAAAATTAAGACGAAGACAATAGAAAATAGCAAAAAAAAAAAAAAAGAAGAGGTGAAGTGATCAAATGACTCAACTTGGCAGGCCAGCCTAGTCTGAAATCGGTTTTGACGATCCTGGTTTGAGGGTCAAGTAATTCGATCACTGTTGCTTTATCGACCAGCTTATCCCAAATCCCTCTAACCTCGGCGGTCTGGAGTACGGCTTTGAAGTGATCGATATCGAATCGTGAAGGATCGATGGATAGGTCGCAGATAGCTCGGACGACTGATGATCCATCTAGCTTCCGACGATGGACTTGAACGTTGGAGAAGTCGATTGGAGCGAGCCCGTTGAGGAATTGATGATGAGGGTTGGCCTGCTGGTTCTGTGTGAATTGAGATCGTGAATGGTTGGATTGGGTTGAGTTAGGAGGTACGAGTTGCCAGTGTTTGGAGTGATGAGAATCCACGAGTTTCTTAAAGTGTTGGAGTGCGCTGTCGAGTGCAGCTTGATAACGTTGGTGGGTCCTACGATGGCCATAATAAAGCGTGTGTTAGTTTTCTGATCACTTCCTTTTCCCAATTAAGTAGTAAGGTGAAAGAGTGGGAAGAAGTACAGACTCTTGAAAGCTGACTGCCATCAGGATTCAGATATTATAATGCCGGATGATGAATGATAACAATGACCGAGTTTCTTTGAGCTTAGCAGTCCGAATCCATTCTATTCGTTTCCTCTTCTCGTCCTTCCTGTCTCTCCTGTCCTTGTGTGATGGTGATGGGTGATGGTGGGGGGTGGTGGGTGGTGGTGGTGGTTCTTGGTTGAAGGCGGTCAAGAGGCTGGTCCAAGGGAGGGGAGACCTGTCACAGATACGTAACAGCCCTCGAACATATCACATCCACCTCCACAAGAAAAAAAGTGATCACATCAGATTCAGACCCAGTCACAAAAAAAAGCCTTGACTCGCCAAGCATAAAAACAGTCTACAAAGAAGCCAAGGCAAGAAAGCAGATCAATGGCATGGGTCAGAATTATTGAAATCCCCTAAAAGATGTAGCCCACAAAAAAAACTTATCTAGTTTGTTGGCCTGGAGAATACAGCTCCGCAAAGCTTTGTGATTTTGGGAAACTAAAATGACCCTGCGTCTTGGAAAACCTTTCATGAGGAAAAAAAGTAAAAACGAAATGGGTCGCCATACTTCGAAGTTCGAACAATCTTTCTTCAATGCAAGTCACTTTTTGATCAGGCATTTATAATGCCCCGCTGCACAACTCGAGTTGAACGTTCCTCTGATTGATTGTTTATTGCTCTTTTTTTGTGGCAGAAAAGGGTTGGTATCTCTGCCGCTACGTCGGAATCACCAAGCTTCTTTCCCGGATTGAAGAGACAAGGACATCCTGACTTTTCTCGTGTTGAGGTGCTCTTACTTTATATCATGCTGGGTATAGGATCAGCATATATGATTACGGAGGGGAAGCACTGGTCTGCTTTTTTCATCATCCGTACTCCTTTCAAACAAAAGGACAAGAGCGAGCACTACTATGACGGAACCAAAGATGATTCTTTGAATCTCTTGCATGCAAAAAGAGGAAGACTTGGAATGGATGATTCGCTTTCGCTCTTGGATTTGGTTTCTTTAAGGTATGGTTTTCAATTTAATCTTTTTGCGAGATGTTCTATATACAATTCTTATTAAAAGAAAAATAAGCTTGGAGCTGTAATTGGTGATGCTTGTTGCGGTTGGATGAGGAAACAGAGGGAGAGAGATCTAGTGGGTGCAGTGGTTCATGTATTGTAGGCTTATAATTCCGAGTGGGTGGTATTTTTTTCTTCAAACAAATTGAGCTAGGTCTCGCATTTCGATGCTGATTGTCAAAAATGTAATGAAAAGATAAGATATCAGCACTCAGTCAATATTTTTAATCCAAACATGGGATTCGTGATGATAATCAGTTTGGGGTATGTATTGCAAAACTCAACCTTAGCCGTTTGAAAGGTTTTTCCTTGGTGACTTTAGCTTCCTGCGCCTTTGATGATTGACGTCCATGGAGTGAAGACGGAGCAGATTCGCCTACGGGCCAATGGGATCTACCCTCGAGGACGAAGTTTTTGGCAGTGTTGCTTGAGACTAGAGGCTGTGATAGGGATACCATGAACAGGCATCCGGAGAATAGGATAAGAAATTTCAGGATGAGGTTTTGTTTATACATTTTCAGGCGGGATGTGAGTTGGGTTTTGCTTGCAGATGTGACTCGATGTGAGGAACCGAGAGCACTCCTTATAGGGAGAAAGTTAAACTGAGGAAGTCTTCAAACTTGACGTTGCGCAAAAACAAACACCGTGCTAGCAGGGTTGGGTTGGGATTGCCTTGGTGAAGGGTTTCCCGGATGTGATGAGGATTGCCGTGCTCCCAAGTGACCCTTTCAGTGGAGTCAATCCCATACATCAATAAAGGCCACCAGGTGCTTCTCCCTCCAAAGGCCGACATATATCTACTCATCAATCATTTGATCAGGGGCTCACTACCCGAGAGTAAGAGCCCTGATGGAGCTCGCGGTCAACCGTTGAAGTTGAGAGCTGGAACAAATGCATCACACCGCTCGCTTTGATTGCATGGTGTTAAATCTGTACTTCTCGTGTATGCCTTGCCAAATCACTTCGCAGCATCAGCATAGGTATTGATACCTGGCCATCAGGGAGGAGTTGGGGAACATCATGCTCGGGTTCCCCAACTCTTCCCTGATGGCCAACTTGAACATCTGTTTCGATCAAAAGAGCAACTACATATTACATAGATGCTGGGTCGCGCTTCACCAACACAGATATCTGTGAAGAAACAAACAGGGAATACATACTTGGTTTATAAGGAACTATTTATTCGGTTCCCCTGAACATGAATGTCTGTGTTGATGAAGATGAGGTGGCCGGCCAAGCTCAGGTTGTGCGCCTTCGGTCGTTTTTGATCTCGGTCGGGGACTTGTCCATGGACCCCCCGGTGCCCTCGAGCGTGTACCTTTGTGCCCGGTAGCTTGAGTGCTGTTCCTCTCGAGATTTCCCTGTGACCAACTTCAACCCCCAACAGCTCGAGCGAAAAAAAATTCCGTGTTACTTGGCCAGTCAACTAGAATCGATCATGTTCGGAGATGGAGATGGTGGAATCCAGCATGCTTGCCAAAGATGCAAACAGGTATGTGGTCATCTTACTCACTTTGGTTGGATTTGAAATCAAGACTAATGTACAATGCGTAACCGGTATACTATTATCATCGTTCCGTATAGCCACTGCGAATGGAGGAATCGTTTGCCGACCTGGCCCCATCAGCTTACGATCTCAACATGTCATGTATGCTTACTTGAAATCCTTAGAAATGTCAACTGCCCCGCTGACCACGTCCCTCGACTCTTCCGGCCAATGCACCCACCGCTCCATTCAGCCCTGTCGGACCGTAGCGGCAGTATGGTATATCTGAAATCACACCAAAATGATCCACCTCTTCGCAATCAGCAGCTTACATCCAGACCGAATCATGCCACCCTTCATCCGAATTCCAATAGGGGTCGCGTGCCTCCGCAACCAAACCAACCACCGCACTTCCGAGCGAACAATCCTGCACGATTGCCAACCTCCTCAAGCTTATCAACTAACAGAGATTCTCCATCAAGCCAGTCTACTGTAAGTAGTCATCACCCTGGGCCTGCCGAAAGCTTTGTGGTCCTGTCAGAAAGCACATTAGGAGCTGCACGCGCTCAGCCAGATCTTCAGGGTGATCATTCACCGTCACCGAAACCACAAGATCAGTCTCAAGCTAGCTCAGTCAGACATCCTTCACCAAACATCAACAATCGCGTCTTTAAACTAGCCGAACTTCTTTCAGGCAATCCTGCCAATTTCCAACATCCGCTCTGTACCGAGTGCACCGACAAACTACTGGAGTGGATGCACAATCAACTTCAATCGGCCAAATCTAACAGAGACCGTTATGCAATCTTCGAACGAGAACTCAATCGAGAAAAAAGCGCAGCCGCCGAAGGATCCTACGAAAGCTGTAAGAAGATCAAACAAGACATTGAGGAAGTAAGAAGATTATCATCAGGTTTCATTTGCAATCCAAAAAGAAAAGAATGATTGATGATTAATCTGTCCTCTTTCTTCCTGAATGACCCACCAAAGCTGAAAATTAGAGAATCTGTAGCTGTTCAAAAGCTGAGACAAACGGAGTCAGAATGTGAAAAGTTCGAGGCGGAATTACGAGAGATTGAAAGACTGGAATCCGAACAGGATAAAGAGGAAGAACAGTTGAGTTTCCTTTAAATCATGTCTTCTCATTGTGAAGAAATTTGTTAAAAAAAATGATGCATTTGCGCTGTTGTATCGCGCAGGTTTTGGGATGATTACAACCAATATTTACTTGAATCTGAAGAAATTCAATCTCAATTGGATTCAGTCACCACCCGATATCGCAATGATCAAAATGAATTGGCCAAACTCAAAGCGACCAACGTCTATAGTCTGTCCCTCTACGCACCACACTCCTGTTCCTCGTTTGCTGTGGATTAATTAATTTTTGATTTCTTTCGTCTTGTTTCTTATGTCAGAGGATGCATTTTGCATTGGATGTGAAACAGGGGTGGGTACCATTAATGGCTTACGATTAGGGAGGCTGACCGATGTTCCGGTAAGCTACTGGGTCATTTTCAACAGCTGACCTACTTCAAGTTAGAGTTCATGCTGAATGTAGCTGGAATTAGGTTGAATGGGTGGAGATCAATGCGGCTTGGGGCCATACCGCTCTATTGCTCCAGACCCTGTGCAAGCGGATGAAGTTCACTCTTGATGGGTTAGCAATTGCCAATCTACTGATCGGCCTTACAAGACCAGCAATTGAAGCATGTTGGTTTAATTGCAGATACCGCTTGATACCAATGGGTTCATTTTCACGGATCGAACGCACGAAAGGTGACAAATCATGTCTAGAACTGTAAGCATATTGTGCCCACCTGTTTCTTTTCCAGAAGGAGTTCTTCCTGGAGGTATAAGCGGAGCGGGTCTTACGAACATGTCTTGTTTGCTTAGGTTTGGATCAGACGATTTTGCATTGGCTCGAATGCTACACAATCGACGGTTTGATAACGCGATGGTAGACTTTCTGGAGTGTTTGAGACAGGTATCGGAGGAAGTAATCAGGCGAAACCCTCAGACAAAGATCCCCTTTCGGTGAGTTTTGTTTTCCACCTCCTTGTATCTTCTTGGACACACGTTCAAGGAAAAAGGCTCACTATCCGAATGGATTAGTGTTCACAAGGACAAGATTGGGGAGGCCTCTATCAAACTGTCCTTCTCCTCAGATGAAGCTTGGACGAGTGCACTCAGACACGTCCTATTCACATTGAAAATCATGAATGCGGCATTGGATCATATATCAAATTGAAAATTGATAGATTATTTAGTAATCTGTATTTATAGATCACTAGTATATGCCCCCAAATTTGGGGAGGCTGCTTGTTTTTGCCCCGGATGTTGGGTTCTACTCGATGACCTATGGGGTTTTCTTGAGTTGGACACCTGTCTGCCTCGGTCTAATGCTGGCGTCGACAAATCCAACAAATGTGAATTGGAGGTTGACAGGCGTTAGATTGCATGACAGTTTGTTTGGGCCTCTGAGGCTATTTTTTTAGTTATATGTAGATAGTGATTGAATTAATCAATTTTAATCATGTGTATTTGAAGCTTATTGGAGAAATACCCCGCTACTTATGCGACTTTGAAAAAACAACAAGGTCCAGAGACTAATCAGAGGGTCATGTTACCTGAATATTTACAGGAAATCATCTGCTCTGTTGTTGCGAGAGCCCACTGCTATCCAGCTGAGAAATGTAATATGTTGGCCACCTCTAATGTTCTTGGTGTTGAGATGGACCAGGCTGAAAGGGGACTGAAAGTCACAGGCACTAGGTCTTGTGACAGTGACTGTGTTGAGGCATGAGATGATGATTTTGAATAAGGATGAGAAAATATCAAACTCTGTCTTGTGTCCAGGTGTCTAGTGAGCAGATGGTGACCCCAAAAAGGGGTTACCACAGACTGGACACAAAGATAATATGGAATCATGGATTAGATTCAGTGAGGAAGCTAGTTTGGATGAGAGGCAGTCATGACTATATACAAGCTATGTTTTGATAGAAGCATACAGACTGGCTATATTATAAGCATATCCAACACTTGGCTGACTCTATTGAGCTGAGCAACATGACATAACACCACAAAAAGAACTTTTGTGGGCCTCTTATTCAAGAGTGGCTTACTACACTGGAGGGATCCCCCAGCCATAAAAAAGATAAAAAAAAATTGGGGTTTTGTCGCTTGTGAGGAAAACCCCAAAGCCTAAACTGGGTGGACATGGGAAAAATGGGGGTATGTTTATTAACCCCCTTTTATTTATTTTTTTCTTTCTGATGTTTCATTTTTCCCTTGATCTACCCAATCATCTTTGTGAGAACATTCACTTGTTTGCGGTGTGGGCAAGCTGAAGCGGTGTGACCCTGTTCCCCACAGAGTGATCATTCAACTGGATTTGAACCTTCACACAAGTGTATGAGGAGGCTGATTCCAAGGAGGAGGAATGCAAGGCAGATGCTTATGGGTTTCATGTTGTGTGTGAGGCTCAATGGTACGCCAGGGTTGCAGGGGTTGGGCTTGGGGCAAAGAGGAGGAGTTAGCGGTAAACGCTAAGCATTTATTGGTGAGGGGTGCGCTAGCTGGTCTACATTGGGTAAACTAGCCACCCCAGGATGTCAGTTACCCTATAGAGATTGCTTTCAGTTTTTGTTATCACTTTTCACTGGCTTGTTTGTGTATTTGTTTGCAGGAGATGTACGGGGATTTTGTGAGGAAATCCTTCTGGGGCAGACCAGGTAGCTTGTGGATTGGTGTGGTTTCTCTACTTAGGAGGTCTGTTTTCATTTCACAAAAAAAGATAAAAAAATAAAAAAGAATAAAAGAGAATAAAATTGAAAAGAAAAAGAAAAAGAAAAAAAGAAAAGAAAAGAATAAGTGCGGGGACTTGAGTGGTTCTCTTTCTAGGACGGACCAGGCACTTGGGCAAAAAAAAACATTTGTGTTGGCTCTTTGGACACGTGAACTCAAATATAACAGATGGTATTTCTGGCAAAGAATACTTCACTACAAACAATACCAGTTTCGCCCCAGGAAAAAATGGCAATGTGGGTGGTGGAAAATAGATCAATTACCCTGAGGCTTTTTTACAAAATGACTCAGGAGTAAAAATTAGGCTAAAATTAGCTATTTTAGCCCAAAAATAAAAATGCCTCCTGCATTCCAAAATTAGTTTTTGGCTCATTTGAGGCATTTTTATTTATTGACTAGAATAGCTCATTTTATCCTAATTTTTACTCCTGAGTCATTTTGTAAAAAAGCCTCAGGCAAATTGATCTATTTTCCACCACCCAAATGGCAATTTCTTTCTGGGGTGAAACTGGTACTGTTTGTAGTGCTTGGACTATATACAAGAGGATAGCGGAGGAAGAAGAGGAGGGACACTAGGAAGAGCTGGAGCCGGGAACGGAACCATCACCATTTCCCTCAGGGTGGTCGGCGAGAAGAGAGTTAAAAACGGCCACCTAGTTCGCTGAGGAAGGCTGCGTAGGTGGAGAGGCGGATAGCAGGGGGAAGGACGGAGGCGCTGAGGATCATCTCAAATCGGCCTTGGATGCTCTCAATGACGGCTTCAACCACGTCCGAAGGGATGGTGTCAAACACGCTGTCAACTTTGTCTGGGAACAATTCCCGGAGGGCAGGGTTGTTCGGGTTGGACGGGTATCTAGGGTTAGGAACTGAGGAAGGGGCCCAAATCAGCGGAACTCACACTCACAACAGAAATGGAGAGAGGCGGTGAAGGGGTTGGCACAAGTGGGCGCGGCCAAAGAGTTGTTGACTACCGGACGGGGAGTGAACTGCATCAAGAGCCTTGGAAGGCCCTTGCTCGGTGGGTCAAGGAGTGCGTAAGAAGTTGAGGTGCAGGGGAGGAGACAAGACAGGGGTGGTGTGTTTAGGGGTAGTGCCGACAGAAGGTGGCGGAGTGGGGTGGCAAACTTCCGGCTCGGGGTCGACGCGCATTGGACTGACGAGTGGAGAGCGAGCAACCGGAGACTGGGCCACCGGGGACGGCGGGCCCAAAGATATCACGATTGGTTTGATATCAATAGTGGTACTGACTGGGACCAGGGAGCGGACGGGTGACAGGGAAGGTTGTCGGGGCACTATCTGAAGGTTGGCGGCCGGAGCCAAAGGAGGAGGCGGAGTAGCAGAGGCACGGCGGGGAGAGCGGTGAAGGGGAGAGTGTCGGGGAGAGCGGCAAAGAGGAGAGAAGCGGCTTGGGCCAGAGGCCGGGCGACGCAAGCACTTTTCATAGAGCGGTTGGGTCACGTGATGACTTTGTGGGATACTTTATGGTTTCCCATCCAACAACTTCAAAAATTTTATATTTTCTTGTATATACAATGATATTACACCATATAGGGCTCCAGGAATGGATACCAGGGCCAAAATAAGCCCTTGAGGAGCAGGCTTGGACACATGTCACCCCCCTGTGTTGCATGTTACACCCCTCTTTCACTCACGGGTAGGGGGGTCAAGCACCCTTCCATGTTACAAGGATATCAGGTACACATTTCACCCCTCCGGCAACGCTGCCACAGATACGGTATCTGCCCGTATCTGCCATGTATCACTATGTATCGGGGGCACTGAGAGGCGGAAGCGGGGTTTGGAGCGAACCAGAGGCAAAAGCGGTGGTGGGAGACCTATCCAAAGGGCGGCCGCAGGAGTACACTGACTGGCAGGCATCGGAGGGGTGACGAGCGGAGTGCAAGGGAGTGACAGTGGAGGACAGCGTGGGAAGCAGGAGGGAACTTGTGTGTGGGATATCTGGCAAGAGTTGGGGTTTGGAGTGGAAGAGGGGGAGAGAAGGGGGGATGACTCAGAACAGATCAGAATAACAGAGTGACTGAGGAGTGAATTGTGTATTGGCCTAAAGAATTGTTAGAGATAGAGAAGAGTTAGTGTAGTACAAAGAAAAACAATAAAAGATTAGTTATTTTACCTACCAACAAGACCATCAAGCAAGTTACCCGGAACAACTAACGGGGTAGGACGTGTTGCGGAGCGGAGAAGTGCAGGAAATCTCCAAGGGTGTGCCTTACTTTCCACAGTGGGTACCCGGGTATGAAGCGACATCTCTACTCAGTACCATACCAGGGTGTTAGTCAGAGATGTTTGCAAATGTCTTGGTTGGATATGATCTCACCCAATGATGTTTTATAACTGGTAGATAAAGGTGGTACATCTGCCTCTGAACCCTAGTATGAAATGAAAACACACATCTGCCTCTGAACCCTAGTCTGAAATAAAAATCCTGTATCATATATTCACACAGCTTGCACTAATTTTTTCCAATTATCATTCTCTCCAAAGAAAGAATCATGATGCTCAAGGCTGAACAGAAGAGACTCTAAGTTTCTGCTACAGAAACCTTTGTATTATTCTGATTCACCAAACTCCAGAATCCGTAATCTTTTGTGAAGCCTGGAATCAAAACAGAATTCACTACTGACAACTGCAGTCTTGCTGAACAAACGATGTTGGTCTCTTAGAGATATCTTTGGCAGACAATTCCTCCCAATATGGCCAATGGGACCATTATAATTGCAGTGATTCCTCAGGCAGCTAGAATTTTTCTCCCGTTAGTAGGGGTGGCAAGCAACCTCATAGATATGAAAAAGGAGTAAGAAAAAATATAAAAAAAGTGGTGAATACGTAGATTAAGAGTAAGAAAGAAAATAGAGTATGTATAATGGAAAATAAAATGAAAAATGTCTCATAGCAACCTGAACTGGGTGGTTACTGCAGAGATTAATCATTATGGCTACTAGTTAACCCAGAAAATTATGCAATTCTTCCACCAGAGAAAATTAATGCCTAAAATGTGATGAAAACAGGAAATACTGATTAGGAGTGTTTCTTTATCTAAAATTGTTCCAAGAGAGAGGTGACCAAAAAAACAGCAATAATGATAGTAATGATGATAGATTGATGAACTTAAAGATCTTGAAATGTGAGATTGACTTGTTTAAAGGAGAGATATGTCCTTTGGCATTGGGGCATATCTTGAAACACTTAAATTAGAATCTACCAAATGGCATGGAAGGGATCCTCTTTCTCATATTCATCTAGAGCTTTGACCATGAAGGAGTGAAAATCACTGTTGGACTTGACCTTTTTTTTTATCATGTTTGAATGAGCCTCATTGTACCAGGTCTTGAGTACAGGAAGTAAAGCCCAGTGCAAATTATCTTTCTTGCCAGAAAGGATAGACATTCTGACCAATCTTTGAACACCTTCTGGAGTACAAGCAGTTTCACTTGTATCCAAAATTTTCCAAGTATGCCCAACTGAATTTGGAGAGTTCTTGTCAATTAGATCTGCAGACTCCATAGAATCAAATGTAGGCCCCCTGAGCTCTGATTTTTCCGGGAGATCTGATTTGAGACGCAGTGAATTTAGTTCTGCAGGAGCTACAGGATTGTCGATGGGATGTGCTTCACTATCCCTTCCTGGTAAAATTATTTTGCTGAACCATTCCATTAATGCCATGTGTCTAGGTTTCCAATCCTCTGGGTCAATTTCTAGCTTCTTCATCAAAGCTGCGTGGCTTCGAAAAATTGAGTTGTCCAATGGCTCAAAAGCTCTGATTAATTCTTCCTCAGACAGAGTTTTTACCGTGTCGCCATATTGTATAGAAAGGCGCTTTTGATGAGGCTGCACAGGTGACACTTCCTCCAATCGGCCAATGTTGGTAGAGGTCCCTGCTTCCTCCGATAGTTTCTCGGAGGCTGTTTCTTCTATCTCGGGCGCGCTAGACTTGGCAAACATGGCTCTGATTTTCTCCTTGAGTATTGCTGATCCAGCTTGGTGCGCCTGATGTTTCACATTCACTAGTAAGGTCTTCGTTCGAGGCCTTCCTAGTCCCTGTCTTGTCATTATGAGCTTTGCAGCATTCGGCAGCGGGTCGGATGCAGGAGCGGCCCTCGTCGGAATTGTCCACCGAAGATAATTGGACTCTCCTCTTGAAGCACTCTTTTCGGAATTAAGTTCCTCAGATGGCGTGCTCTCTAGTAGTGGAGAGGTAAGCACTGTTTGGAAGGACGAAGTTGACACCCCCCGAAGTGTGAGATCAGTACAACTTTAGTTTCAAGATTTATTTTAATCCCCAGACACAAACCTTCATTGTCGCTCCCCATAGAGCCTAATCTTGATGGGCTGCGAGGAGATGTAGAGGGGCTGATGTCCAGAGAAGAACATCTGGCCCTCGGTAGGCTTTTGATTGGGCCTGAATGTGGTGTACAGGAAACGGTAACCACACCAAGGCTACAAGCGATGAGAATTAACGAAAATAAACCAGTCATGTTCGTGAAATGTAGGAGATAATTGGAATTAACGTAAGGCGAAAAATAATTATTAGATATTCCTTAGGGGCAGCAGGAAAGTGCGTCTCCCGATGTTCCCTCTCTTATATCAAACTGCTCCAACACTCTAAGTTACACGTAGTCTCTACCTGATTGTTTGACCGGCTGCTGGAAGCACTAACTGGCGGTGATGTTTTACCCATGTTGAGACGAACAATCATGCCAAATCCATTTGTATTTAACTTGTACTCATTGTCGGTTACGACATTATCACTCATCTCGACTGCGAGATAAGCATCGTATCAGCGATTTTCCTGCGTCAGATCGTCACATCCAAGGAGTACAAACTTCAGAACTTTTTCTTAAACATGATATGCCTGTCAGAATTCAGGACAAAGTTTTCTACACCTTGTCAATCCTTGACCCAGAACCGGTACACCCGACCAACTCGAGCTGGAATTAGGGATTAGATCCGGGCTCCCGGGTCGAGTATTGGTGGAACCGTGTCTGAACTCGGCATACCCGAACTCGAAATCGGTTCCATCGGATCTTTCAAAAACAAGGTTTCACACTGAAACACTTGCACAAGGCAGACGGTGGACTGTTACTCTGTTGATGTTCAGAATCAGATTCAAGTATGAGACTGAGAGTCGAGACTGTGAACACTGAACAGTGACAGTGTGACTACCATTGCCAACTTGCCAAGTTCCGAGTTAGCAACTCGGCAGCGACCCAACATCACATGAACCGCATCAGCATCACCCCGGCCTCAATCTGACTGTCCACTTTTGCAAGATGGAATCAGATTGTACCCCTAGTAATCTTGATACCGTTACCCGCACCACCAGCATTTCTAACTTGGACAACGAAACATTGACACCCGTGCCACCCGAAATACCAACTCCACACAACATTCTAGACACAACAAGCAAAAAGAGCTGGGTCTGGCAATACTTCCAGACAACTGTTATCAGCGGGGTCCCTTACAACATCTGCCAGGCAAGGAAGTCTCCTGAAGGTGAAGAATTGTGTCTCAAGCAACTAACAGTAGACTCAAGCAAATCAACAACAAGCATGTCAAAACACTTGGATCGAATCCATCACATATACGAGAACAAACAGAGCACTGGTGCAATCACCAAATTCTTAGAAAAAGGATGTAACTTCAAAAAGCTTGACCGCAGCTCCTTGACCTCGTCTCTGGCCCGCTTTTTTGTTGGCTGTAACATTCCTTTCTATACGGTCGAGGATCCGCATTTTCATCAACTGCTTCGACTCTGCAACCCGGCCATCGATGAGTTTATTTGTGGCAAAGACACATTATCCGCTTGTATTCGAAAAACCTTTCGACAGGGGAAGCAAGTGCTCTGTGATCAGCTTCGTGCACTCAAATCGGAAATCAGTCTGACTTGTGACACTTGGACTTCGCCAAGCAATCAGTCTGTACTCGGAGTTACAGCGCATTGGATTGATGAGGATTTCTCTCTCAATTCCATTATCCTTGCTGCACGACTTGTGGACGGGAATCACTCGGGAGTGTCGCTCGCAAATCACTTGCTAGAGGTGCTTGAAGATTTTGACATTTGCAATAAAATTTTCTGCATCACCTCCGACAATGCTTCAAACAATCGAACCATGGGAGCTCATCTGGCGAATCTGATTCCCTTCGATAATGAAAATTGTCTCCTGGGTTGTATGGCTCACGTAATTAACCTTGCTGCTCAAGCTGGGATCAAAGAATTCTCTCAATCATCAGCACCTTCAACAGCTTTGCCTGATGGTCTAATGAGCATTTTAAACGATCAGCCTGCTCCGGTGGAAGTTAAGACTATTATTTCTCGAATCAAAGGGTTCGCTTCATTCTTAAAACACTCCCCTCAGAAAGCTGCATTATTTGCAAAGGTCACAATTCGCGCGTTTGGTGAAGACATTCATATGGTTCAAGATGTTGCGACTCGGTGGAATTCCACCTTCTTGATGCTAAAGCGAGCATCCGAACTTCAAGCTTGCATTTCCACCTTTTGCGAGGCACATCACTTATCTGACCAGTACAACCTCCAACCGCACGAATGGCTCAAACTGAACCAGCTGTGTAGTTTTATGGGGCTTCTCCATGACGCAACCAATACGATCTCACCAGAAAACACGGTCACTTTATCGCTTGCTGCACCGGTATACATCATGATGATGAAAGAGCTTCGTCTAGTGAGCTTTCCTTGAAATCCATTTGCAAACTACATCATAACTGGTCTGACATTTATCTTTGTGACGGAACAGACAACAATGAGGTATGATGCCCAGGATCTGATTCCGTCGGCCATTGAAATGCACAATAAACTGAAAGGCTATTTCAATGCCGCCATCACGAAACCAGTCTACATATGTGCAACCTTGCTCGATCCTCGAATCAAAGAAAGCCTGCTTGATCGGCCAGGTGTTCTTGACACTTTGAACATGAACAAGGAAACAATTCTGGAGAACTTCAAGATTGAAGCTCAGAAATACACAAGCGAACGCTACAATGAAGATCAGACAAACAACGAACCCAATTCAACCACCCCCCGAAATACATTGAGATCTAGCATATTCACTAAAAAAAGGAGAAAAACAACGTCTCTCCAGGATGAAATTAAGGACTACTTTTCCTCTGAAACTGAAGACGAATCTTGCGATCCACTTCTCTATTGGAAGGCAAAATCCGAACAGCTCCCATCCCTCGCAAACATGGCCCGAAAATTTCTTGCAGTACCTGCGTCAAGTTCTCCTTCGGAGAGGGCTTTCTCTGCCGGCCGCCACATCCAAGATTACACACGAAACCGCATTTGCCTTGAAAACCTTGAAGCACTCATTTGCCTGAAGGACTGGGTTGATCAAGAGGTCATCGATGTCGATTACATCAAGACATCAACCTGCTGAATTTTTTTTCTATCTTCTCAGTTTACAACATCATCATCTCAATGATCAATCATCGATCGCAGCTCTTATTCCTTCTCTGATTCCGCAAGATCAAGTTCAATGAATCATGAACTAATGTAACCCTGCTTTTTTAAATTTGAAATGGTGAGAGTCTCCGATGAGACAATCGCTTCGTCCATCATGAAACTTCAATATCAAACTTGTATCTACAATTTTACCATGGTATTAAAAACCAAAAAAGGACAAATACAATCGCTTTGTTCGCTTTGCCCATCATGAAACTTTGATATCAAACTTGTATTTACAATTTTACCATAGTATTAAAAACCGAAAAAAGGACAAATGAAATAAACAGAAACCTCTTAAACAAGTTGATGAGACTGCAACATGGACAACAACAGCTTTTTTTTGGTAACTAAAAGCTATTTACAAGAGGTTTCTTGAACTTCATATCGTCTGATTAATTTATTTTCTATGTACACTCTTTGATCTTGGAGCCGAGACGAGTCGCCAGCTTTAGTTAGAGTTGGGTGATCGATCAGTCAACCCTGATCCTTTTTTGGACCAAGTGGCTTGACTGGCTTGAGACTCGTCTGCCTGCATCGATAGATTGGGAGTTCGGTGGCATGGAAATGGGAAGATTACCGATTGAAAAAACGTAAACCTGCCGGAATAGAGATCGATCGTTCGAGTTTTTTTTAGGCAAGTTTGAGTTTTTTGAGCTCCTCGGTCAGACGTCCGTTCGTTTCGTTTTCAGATGTTGGGCCTCGGCCAGTTCAGGTGCCATCCTGTCAATGGCATTCGAAAGTTGGTCGGCTTTGGAGTTGGGAGCTTCGCCGGCGGCCGGTCGCATAGGCTCTACAATACAAGCTGTACACAGGGAACCGATCGGTTACCGGATGTCTGTCGAGTCTAACCGGGACTCGAACCGACCCGGTACCGGTCGAGTACTGCCGGGTAATCGGTGACCGGGTCTAAACCCTAGCTGGAATCGTGTCGTAACTACAAGGGCCGTGCCCAACCAGCGCATAAGGCGAGTCTCGCCGAAGTCTATATATCCTTTGGAAACGTCACTCTTACTTGAGATCAGGCGGCATCATGTGTGCCAGCTGCTGAGGCTGTAACGAAACATGATATTTACGTTTGATAGCTTTCGTTTAAACCAAGTGCTACACATATGAGGCCAAAGGAGCTCATGAAGAATCTATACAGGTCTATACCCGATAGCTGCCCCGCTGCAAGTCAGTACCTTCACCATCGGAGCTTAGTAAAGTTTGAAGATAACCCAAGTTGTACCCGACGTCTTTTGACACAGGAGCTCAAAACTTCCATGCTTTGAAAACTCCATGTTAGCATGTCGGACTCAGGAGTTCTGTAAAAAACAGCACATCAAGGTAAGTCTCGGGGTTTGGGCAAACTTAATCCTTTCCTGCTGCGGATTAAACTCGCTGTGCTGAGGAGAACCAAATGTTCAAAAGAAAAATCTCATCAGATGTTTCTGAGGGCGAATGAACCACATCCAAATTGACAATCATTGGGGAACTTTTGTGTTGTTTGAGGATTCCGTGGCTCTGCGGGACCTGATTACTGACAGGGTGGAGATTTCAAAATATATCAAACTGATTTCAGTACCTGGGGGGTACCCATCTTGTTGGTATGTATTTGTGGTCTGCTCTTACTACCTCACTAGCTTTCCCAAGTCCCCATCTCACCATTCATATTGGTCTGACCCCTTTGGGAGCAGCTGTTGTCAAAGAGAAGAAGAAGAAAAAATACATTTGTTAAGGAGAGAATAAGAAGGATGTGGAGTGTTAGCCAGAAGTGTGCCTTTCCCCCCTCCTCCAATTTCTTGGCTCAAGGCATGCTGATTGCATGGATTTTGAATTCAAAATCTAAACCTAATTTTGTGCAGAATTTTTTTTGGACCTGTGTATGGGCAATTTTTTTGCAGCATGTCCCTGTGGAGCAAGCATAGAGTTTATGAGGACCCTGGAAGGGCCCTATAAATGGATGTATCCAGAAGTCTGGATTTTATCTGTAATTCATATATTTTCCAACCCTATTTGTACTGGTAACCTCCTGGAGTTCCCTTCTAATTTTTCTATCCTATTGATTTTTTTTCTTTTCTTCTTCCTTTTTATCTCTCATTAAATTTTTGTGTCACTGGAAAATAATTGTGTTGGAAATGATTTGTAGTCCAATTGGTCTAGTTTTCAGTGTCATAAGCCTGAATTTTCATATTGCACAATGCTAAGTCAGACTGGACTTGAAAAAGAGAAAGCTCCTGCTAGGATGGGGAACAATGTGGAGGAAAGATCATTTGCACAATTTGTCAGTTTTTTCCTGTCTGCAACCGGTTTGAAACCAGTGGCCTTTTCTCTTCTCTGGATATGTATAATTTGAAATTTTTAGGTCATTCTGTTGAGTTTTTGTGTTGTCCGCTTGTATGATCAACTATGTCCGGTACACTCGCCACAGCACTATGAGACGGACAATCGCAGCTCTCAGCAACCGCTCAATAAAAGAGACTCTCAGTATCGGTTGTTTGATCCTTAGACTCGACAAGACTCTCATCCTCAATCTTTGATCACGACTCTCGGCTCACCAGACTCGACTCAAGATCACTCCAAGACCATCAAGACCTGAATCGGTATAGTCCAGCCTGATCTGTCTGCTGTACTTCTCAATCTGACCTCTCTGCATTCTTCAATACTCAAGATTCACTCCTCAACAACTTCGAGTCATCTGATTTAGGCACCTATATCATTCAGTTTCTAATGAAAATATGTGATTGTTTGTTTCCTTCTCTTTTTCTTTGTTTGTCTTTTGTTTGATGAAGAAATCACTGACCTGCTTAATTTCATCCATTGTCTGTCTCTGTTCTCATTTATCAGTCATCTATATTAAAACCTCTTCCTCTTTGTCTCTTCATCAAAAGTTCTCTGATTGTTAATCCTCGTCTATCACTAGTGGTATGCTTTTATTCCTTCTCCTTATGTTTCTTGTTTTCTTAATGTCTCTAACTCTTGTTTTTTCTTTCAGACTGGTTTTGGTTCTTAGCAATTTCATCAAGATTTCTTCACATTCTCACGTGAGCAAAATAAAAATCATTTTTTTTTCAGTTTTACAAAAAATATAGATCTGGAAAAGGTTCAATCAAGCAAAAAGTAAAAAGATGAATTTGAAAATGATAAAAAGAGGAAAAAATTGAATTCGAAAATGATAATAATAGGAAAAGCAGGCAAAAGACAAAGTTTTTATACAGAATCATTCTATAGCCTCAGGTGTCCAATAAAGTTGATAAGAAAAAACTTGATTCATCATACATTCTAGGGCCTGTACTTATACCCAATTTTGAAGCCAATTTCAAATTTTCAAGTTGGAAATTGACCCTGCTGGAAACAGTGTAACTTTAAAATCACCAGGAAAAAACAATGCTCACCAGATGACAGGTGACATTGTGTAGCCCCGATTACAAATCCAGTGTAGCTCCAGTGGTACTGTAATCCAACTAAAACGGCCCCTTTGTGTGCTTCAGGGGGCTGACCTAGAGTTGAGCTGGGTACATACTGGGTAGCATGATGAACTTAGCCTCATTTCACTTGTCATCAAGTGATCATTGTTTTTTCCTGGTGTGCATGCACGCTCAATTTCCCAACCCCAAAATGAATTTTGGTTGGCAAAACAAAAATGAAAGTGAAAATAAAAATAAAAATTGGCACAGGCAACCGTGGGCCGCTACACTAACCGTAGCGGTTAGTGTAGTGTAACACAGCGGAATTCCCGTTAGCGCTAAGCGTAGCGTAGCGGAATTCCGCCACAACACCGCTAATGCTACACATGTGGTTTGCAAAAAAGGGCCCACTACGCTGCGCTACAGCGCTTTTGGCCATTTTTACTGCTAAAAGCGCTGTAGCACAGCGTAGCTTTACCGCTAAAAGTGCTGTAGCACAGCGTAGCGTAGCAAAAATCCGCTACAAAAGCGCTAACACTACATTTTTTTGATGAAAAAAAGCGCCGCTACACTACACTTTTTGGGCCAAAAGCGTAGCGGCCCACCACTGGTAATTGGTGCCTACCCTCATGATTTTTGGCCAAAAAAATCATACAATTAATTCATAGGGCTGGTTTCCAAGGTCCAATAAGCAATCTCCAAGCTACATAGATGAATGAAACCCCATAATTTTCAGCTATGTGTATGAAACTTTGGCTTAATTAATATAAAATCCAGGTACTATCACTGTGCTGAAGGACTCGTTTAAAGACCAAGATTACTCCTAGTCACCTCAAAGTATTAAGTGGTCCAAACTTCCCACTTAAGAGGTTTAAATTCCACACTCCTCAGTTAATGACACTTGAATAATCAAGAGAGCACTGTAGGAGACAATAGCATAATATGTTATTGTAGAGTGTTTGGAAACAATAATTAATATTGCAAGAAGTAGCTGACAAGCACCTGAGCTGAAAGGCTACAGTCAGAGGTGGTGGTCTTGCAGCAACTGCTTTTTAATCAGGTTTCAAATGGGCCGGGTTTGGGTCAAAAAATGGTGACCAAACCCGCCCCGCCAAATTCTTGGGGCAGGGCGGGTCGGGGCAAAAATTGTTGGACGGAACAGGGGGACAAACACTGAAGTTCACAGACGTAATGTCATGTGACACTCAGGAGTGAGAAAAAGAATGGTTTGATTTCACTGAGGGAGAAAACGCCAGAAGCAATCTCGTATGAGTTATATACAAGATTGATTTGTGTTATGGTTAGAAGCATACTTGATAGTGAATACATGCATACTATTCCAACACACCCCCTTGCTGAAAACCAGAACTTAAATAAAATGAAATAAATTAAGCTACTTAAGATAACTAGTAGTATTATTTCTTATGAGGGACAGAAAATATATATATAAAATCAGGCCAGAGATCCAATGGAAATAAGTGGCCGGGAAAAGTCATGACAACTGATGTACTCTAAACAGATCGCCACGAGGAATTGACCGTCAGGTTGTGCCGGAGTTGCGCTTCCTACGAATAAATGGGTCTTCTTCTTCAGAGTTCATCCCCAGACAACATCGATTTCCGGGTCAAAGTCGTCCTCTTCGTCCTCGTCATCGCTCGGCCCGCCATTGCCAAGATAAGCCACCGACGTAGCGCCCGCTCGAGCTTCAACTGCGTTGGCTTTTGCCTTAGACTTGTTCTTGAGGGGAGGATTTGGACATGCGGACGAGTGATGTCCGACTTGACCGCAGGACCAGCACCCTTGCTTCTTACTTCTGTACCGTCGCGGGAGCCGCATATGTATCCTAAGAGGTCCCCTTGAGGCCCTCCTTAGAATATTCTAGAATCTCTCTTTAGTCTACCATAGTAGAATTATTCCCCTGATGTAATGGGAATAGGTCAAGGCATTTCAAATAATGTATATTCTATGTCCCATGACATCATGATGCATATTTATAGCCAATTACATCATGTGTCTACTTAAAATAGAATACTAATAGTAGAAAAGTGCCACACTCTTGACATGGTGTGGTAATTTTCTTTTCTACAAGCTTAATAGTTTAATTATGCTTGTAGAATAGAATTTCTACCTTAAATGTATATTTAACCCTAATTTAATATACATTAATTTTATTCTATATTTTTGTATGTTTTATTCCTTTTGTCCTTCAAGGTTTTGAATATATACAAAGTCCTTGAAGGAGTAGGAATTTGGGGCCGATACTTCCAGTGGGCAACCACCTTTATAATCTTATGAAATATTGTTTTATTAAATAATATTATTACATATTATATTACATATTGAGTATTTAATATTCATTTAGCAGTTTTTTATATACTATGGAGTATCTCTAAGGCTGACAATCATGAGCATCCCAGCTGTTGAGACCTCACTCAACTTGAGCTATGAGAGCATCTTCATCAGTGCTGTTGTAACTTGAGAAGTAGCCTGGAGTAGTGGATTAACTTACTCCTGAATCAGTGCTACTCCAGCCTGACAACCACATGGGTGTGGTGTAAACCTGGGAGTAGCCAGGGGTTGGTTGCATCAACAGTGGGCCGCCACGCTACGCTGTAGGACTCCTGGGACAGAGAGACACAGTAAAGTATATGTATATCAAAAGATCCCTTGAGGGGGAAATAAATTGCAAATAGGTTGAAATGCTATTATAACTTACAGGTGGTTTGAAAGACCTGCCCCTCTCATTGTACTAAACAAATAACTAAGAGTCTTGTAATCAATATTTAATAATATGAGGCTGATTCCAAGATAGATCTTACTTTTGTAAAGTAATCTCTATCAGTCCTAGATCACGTATCAATCTACTAATGAATCTGTTACAAATTCAGTTTAATGATGGAAACTGTTGTGCTTATGGTTTGAGCGCAAGACAGATTAGTTGATATATAGAGTTTGTTGATGATCTCTTCCTCAAAAAATTTCTTGCCAAGACACTTTAATCACACCTAGAGCTCTGGTGTTAATACTACTACTACTTGTTATTTGTTAATTGTTAATAAGACTACTTATGTTAACTTTGTTATGTTTGCATGTTTCTGGTTCTACTACTTATAAATCTCTGACTTTACTTAACTAATTCTGACAATCAAACTACTAACTAACTAATTGTGACCAACATACCTCAGCAGGTTGATGGGGGAAAAGAGAATCCTGGTGGAGAGAGGCACTCCTTTTATATTGAAGAGTGAGAGATTTCTGCTGCAGGGGACTCCTTGTGAGACATTTTTGCTGCAGGTAACAGACGAGATATGCCAGTCTTTTACCGCAAGATGCTCAGGGCTTGCCTATCTTTTGTGCAGGTGGCTTGGCTGTAGATTGCTTGCAACTCTGACATTGTCCTCTCCCAATACTGGCTCCGTGGAGATTAATACGCTTGTTGCTTACGTTGCCAAAGGTGACAACCGTCTTGATGCAAAGTCGCCTTCATCTTATAGTACCAACAACGACCCTCACGGTAGCTTGAGGTGTTTCCCTGGCAAATTTATAACTGGAGGATTCCAGGGTCAAAGATAAAAAAAAATACAACTGATCAATTCAACTCTACATAGTGCTTGAAGAATCTGTTTGTATGTAGGTCTTTTTATCTGTTTGGCCCCATATGTAAGTTATATGTACCTGCAACTTGACCACCAATTGAATTGCAACAGACCTATTTTGTCTTCCTTAGATGGAATTGTTGTACCACCACACTCATGTTGTACCTGTCCAATCAATATTGGCCATGATTGGTGCAAAAGTTGCTAAAGAACCCAAGTGCCTGCTATCCTGTCTAGCCTTTCCAACCCTTACCTGAACAATCCAAAGAAATATGTATGCTGTACTTTGATCAAACCATCCTTAAACAGGTACACCTCATGAGGAAAAGACCCCAAATGCTGGTATGATACACAAAGTTGTGTCTATCTTCAATCTCATTTGATCAGGTAAGAGGAAATCTCCTTGAACTCTTTTGGGTGATCCTTAATCATCCCTCACCAAAAACCTTTGTCTCGTGTGCGCCTCTGAGGGGCGGGTTCTGCTGCCCGCCCCTCAGAAGCCTGTTTCCAAGGGAAATCAGGCTCCTGAGGGGCGGGCAAGCAAACCCGCCCCGGGGGTGCAATTGCACGCCCCCTTTTGAGGGGCGGGGGCGTGGGCGGGAGTGTGTTTATTCCCAGTCTGACGTTTTCTGTCAAACTAAAACTGTGAATTAAAGCCCATAATGATGAAGACTTTAGAGTAGCCTGTTGAGATCTTGGATAAACTCCGGCTTCTACCACCGGCAACGTTTGGCAAAAGTCACCTGCAAAGATAATTGTTTTTCCACCGAAAGGCAAAGAATTGTGCATTAAATCCCAAAGAGTTTGATCTACAGTCTCTATTGAGCGTAACAAAGCCCGCAAGCACCCGTAGGCGTGAGGTGCAAGCGGGGCTTATGCCTGACCGACACAAGTCGGCATGAGGCTATGTGGAGAATAAGCAGAGGGATTATTTTTTTCAATTTTTTATCGCTCTCATTGTTTGATCCCAGCTGAGCGCTGGTATGATGTCCAGAATCCTGTCGATTCAGTTTCCTCACGGTATCTATTGTAATTTTCCTATCTTTTTTTGAAAACATTCGATTCTTGTAAGCTTCTTGGTCTGTTAATGTTTTCTCTATCAGCCAAATAAATTTTTAATTTGGCAATCGACCGTTGAGAGATAATGCCATACCCTTGTATGAAACGGAACAAGTGTGAAAGGTTTACTGGGCATGAACATTGGAAAAAAAAAGAGACGGGCTGTGAAAAAAGAGCACTCCAAAAAAAGGCATGGCCTTGCTAGTCAGCGGCCTCGGAAAATCATGAAACTCAAATTTTCATGAATTTGTTTTATCATGAGGGGGATACATAAGTAAATTTCTGAATTGACAGTTCCATAGAGAAAAATACAAGATTTAAACTATGAAGAGAAAAAAAACTCCTTGAAAACTAAGGGCTGCAGGTGCTCACAGCATCGACTGCCACCAAAGCTTGCACATTCCCTCAAGCGGAACCGCTTCATTATTCCCAAGTCCTCTCCCTGCGGGAGAGTCCCTGGTGCTTGCACACTTGACAAGCGGCTACAGTGCACCACACTGCAGCAGGGACGCGGGCTTTTGTTAAGTTTGAGTCTCTATAGCATCCTTGTGCATTGCCACTGCCTTGTCCCAGACCACACATGATGCCTCAAGTAGTCTGTAGCCTCCTTGATCACTTGAAGTGAACAAACAATAAGACTCGGCTGCAAATTTGACAGGTATCTTGAAAGCTGAATGTGCAGTCTGGCCTCCATGCAACAATAAAGCCGCAACACCTGTAGACAAAGATGTGACAAAAATAGTAAAAAATGTTCAATTCACAAATAGAGGCATGTTTCTTGATTTGGGTGACCGAGCGGGTAAATCAACAGTTTAAGAATATCATCTGTTTAAGGAAATCTAAAGGCTGCGGTATTGTGATGGGAAAAGTAAAATTAACAAATCAAGTCAAGTCTTGTGGGGAGAACACAGGACAAAATTGAGAGGGGAACTGGAATAGTCATAAAGTGAAAACAAGGAATGAGAAGCGGGCCAAAAATCAAACCCAAGGAAGGATCACGGTGCTGATGTTTTGTGTTGGTAAAGGTAAAATTTATACAAAAACAAAGAATGATTAGGCACGAGGGCAAAGCGTGCAAACGTTCTGTTGGAATTCTCTCCGCTCGTCACTGCCGCTTCTTATTTTCCGCTCTCCGCTCTCAACTCCCCGCTCTCTCCGCTACCCGCTCTCTCCGCTCTCTATCTATCTCTCTCTCTCTCTCTCCCTTTCCTTCCCCTTCTCCCACTCTATCTTTCTTACTTCCCTTTTCTTCTTAATTCTTCTCAAAACTCTCCGTTCTCCGTCCCTCAGTCGTCGAACCATCCACAAAAAACCACAACTTGATCACTCCCTCAAGAATTGACGACATGAACCACAAGTCAACTGATCCTCTCAAATCACTTAAAAACCGCTCTCTCCAACATCCTGATCTTTTCCTCAGCTGCTCTCCAATCGACTCCAATGTATTGATCCTCTTCCACATCAACTAGCGCTCAACCTCGTCATCTTCTTCTCCTCCGACTCTTCACCATTTCTCCTCACAACATCACCATCAACTTCCCTATTCTCTCTCATCGATCAATATTATCGAGCTCGTCAACACCTCGATCTCTACTCCTTTTGAACATCAACACTCTTGATTGCTCCAACCTACTCTCTCAACTTTCTATCTTTTACCAATTTGGTGAGAAACTCATCTTCACCGACATCAAGAACACTCATCGACTCTGATCCAATGAAGCAGCCATTAACAACTTACATTTCTTTTTGTCTCTTCTTCTCTCCAATTGTATAGCTCCTACTACCTGTCCTTGTTTGATCTCATCTACCTTAGTCTTTCTGTTCTTATTCCGCTAAAGATTAATTCCTCTCGTGGTATGCTATTTTTTTTCTTGTTTAATTTTCATGCTTGATATTGTCTCTTATCTAATTTTCTTGTCTTTAGTTCTGGTTCTAGTTTCAGTAATAATTCCTGTTTTTCATCACATTCAAGACAAAAATAGGAAAAGGGGTGGCGGAAGAGTTGGTATGCTAAAGGTAATGATTAGGAAGAGAATAAAGTTTTTGAGAGCAAGACAAAGACAAAAGAGGCACTGAAGATATATAAAGAGAGGGTCTGAAGGGAGGAACAGTGGCAAAACAAGGTCAGGAAGGGAATGAATGTCTCTTCCGTCATTGCTATTTGCAATACTTGTTTAAGGGGGTATGGTTTGTGGTTTAAAGTTAAACCTTTTAATGCACATAATGTATAAGAATAAATTTTATTTTAATTCCTTATTCTAATGATATTTCTGTGAAATCCTATTGATATTATAAACACAATACTTAAGGGGATTTCACAGTTAATTATTGAATTAATATAGGGCCTTAATAAAAAAACGCGGTTTTTCCGCGTTTTGACGCGGTTTCGCAGCAGCGCAGCGCTGCGCAGCACACGCGGATTCCGCGTTTTGACGCGTTTTTTAAATTAATTTTTAACACCTTATTTTTCATTATTTTTTAAAATTTTAAAGTTTTTTCCTACACTATAAAATGCGTAGAATTTAATGGTAAAATCCAATTTGGAGAAAAATCAACAGTTCATTTTTAATACTGCAATTCAACAATTTTTTCAATTAATTTTCTACAGCTTAATTTTCATTATTTTTTGACATTTTAAATTTTTTTCCTACACTTTCAGACATGTAGAAAATTATGATGAAAACCATTTTGCATAAAAATGAAAACTATTTCTTGAATATTGCATTCAACGTGTTTTTTTAATTAATTCTTACAGTCTTATTATTCATCATTTTTTGGAATTTTAAATTCATTTCCTACATTGTCAAAGGTTTAAAAGTTGATGGTTATAACCATTTTGCATAAATATAAAATTGGTACACGGCACAAATTATGCAAAAAATGGGGTAAGCTCATATATTAGGAGTAATACTTTGATATTTATGCAAAATGGATAAGACAATAATTTTTTAAACCTCTCAATATGTAAGAAATCAATTTGAAATTCCCAAAAATAATGAATAATAAGCCTGTAATAATTAATTAAAAAAACACGTTGAATGCAATATTCAAGAAAGAGTTTTTATTTTTATGAAAAACGGTTTTCACCATAATTTTCTACATGTCTGAAAGTGTAGGAAAAAATTTTAAAATGTCAAAAAATAATGAAAATTAAGCTGTAGAAAATTAATTGAAAGAATTGTTGAATTGCAGTATTAAAAATGAACTGTTGATTTTTTTCCAAATTGGATTTTACCATTAAATTCTACGCATTTTATAGTGTAGGAAAAAACTTTAAAATTTTGAAAAATAATGAAAAATAAGGTGTTAAAAATTAATTTAAAAAACGCGTCAAAACGCGGAATCCGCGTGTGCTGCGCAGCGCTGCGCTGCTGCGAAACCGCGTCAAAACGCGGAAAAACCGCGTTTTTTTATTAAGGCCCTTAATATATATAAATTATAAATTAAGATTAAATGCAAATACATATTTATTTATTATTTTAACAACAATGTATACTATTATCTTGTATTCAATTAATTAGTATTATTTGCAGTTAATAGGTACATTCACCATGAAAAATTTGAGGGCAGTAGTAGTACATGTCAGGTGACATGAAGCTAATTCCTGCCTTTATTCCAGTGTTACTTCAAAGTCAAAGGGTTGGGACTCACTGATGACCACAAAGGGCACATTGTTATTTGAGCAGACAAGCACCAGAGTAACGATGGAGTTGTAACATATGTCACTTCATTTCACCTGACACCTACTGCCCTCAGATATTTCCTGGTGATTTCATGTACTGTGAAAGGTGCTCTGTGGATGACATCCTCCCTCATTGGTTGTGGCACATTTCATCCCTACGTGTCTCTGATGTCATTTTCTCCATTTATCTTAGTGCCTACCAATTGGGCCACACTGTTTCAGTTTGATAATTTTGTCTTGTTTGATTGTACACTCTTGAAAGCCAAGAGAAATCCTCCCAGCTGTTGGGAGTGTACACTCTTGATGGCTGAGAGAAGCCCTCTTGGTTGTCAAGAGTGTACCCTCTCCACAGCCGAGAGGAATCCTTCTGGCCGCCAAGTGAAGAGGGTATACTCTTGGCAGCCAAGATGAATCATCCCGGCCGTTGGGAGTTTTTCTTTTCTTTTTTTGCTGCCAACTCACGACCCCCCATGGGGTTTTTAGAGTATCCACTCCCAAAAACCCCCTGAGGGGAATCATTTTTTTTTTCTTATTTTTTTCTGAGGTCCAACTTCTGAGCAAGTCAGACCTTTTGGAAGTCTGACTCCCAAAAAAACCAGGGGAAAAAATAGGGGGTCAGGACGTCCTGGCCCCTGTCGACAGGTGGTCATTGCAACATCCCAAAAATTTGGGAGTTGGAACTCAAATTTTTGGGAGTTGGTTGACTAAGACCCTAAATTTACTCCTGCTTAGCACAAGTCCTACTCCGGGAGTAGTTGAGTCCAATTGAGTTGGGCCCAAACTAGCTTGGAGTAGTTGTGCTAATCCACCAACTGATGTGGTTGCTCTTAGCAGGGTTCACATTTTAGTTTAGTTTATTTTTTGCTTCTGAGCCTGCTTATATTTCTTCTGGTTGCTCAAATCAAACACATAAAGATTAGTGACTTACTGGCTGCCTTGAGGACACAACAACTCAATTTAGTAACACCTAGATGTTATTGAGGTGCTGTTTGGACTGCAAAGAAACATCTCTGAGTTCCTTGAGTTGATCAATCACATGCTGATGAGGTGAGTTGCAGAAAATACAACCCTCCCAGATTGCAATTCCCCGTATATCTTTTTTTTTTCAAAGCCTTGTGTTCATGTGAGCTGGTTGCTATTTTGATTGCAGTCTTAATTTAGGACTTCAAGGGGCTTAATTAAAAGCACTCCAATTGGTGAGTGTATTTGTTTGATGTTTTTGGTTTTTGTTTTACTAATTCTGAGTTTTCTAGCAATCAAGAACCCAGGCTGATTTGATCTGAGGCTGAGAGTAGAACTTGAAGTGAGGAGTACATATGATGTAAGCTGGAGTACATAGGGTATGATTTGCTCCGGCTCGGTTTTCCGACAGAGTTGTTAAGGTAGATTTAACTTTAAGGGGGTTCAGGCTGAGCAAGGCTGACTATAAATTCCAACTCACTGACTGACTGGCTGCCCAGTAGCAACTCACCCTCAACCAACCAACAAAACATGCCAAGAACCGAACCACCACCACTACCACCTCGACTATCCCATCACCACCAACGACCTCAACAGCAGCAGCCAATTAGCACTGCCCAGGACATTGATGAACCACCAGTAAGCAGAACCATCAAACTCACAGTCAACCCATAAACTCAACTCAGCAACCCCCCTGTTTCATCTCATCAGCCTGCATACACCCCCTCGCCTGAAAACGACGTCTGCGTACTCGAAGTCGGGCCCCAGTACCCTTTCGGACCCAGCCAGGCCTCATCACCATCCAACCAGACACCCAACCCAACCGAACATCATCATCATCAGCAACTGAACCATCAAGCACAAACTCATCATCATCATCATCTACAACCACCCCCAACATCTCATCATCAACAACCAAATGCCTTCCAAAACCCGACCGTCCCCAGCCCTCCGTTCCCCGCACTCAGTGAGCCAACAACCGTTCCGACCCCGGGCAGACCCCTGCTGTACGAGCACAGGATCCTGGTCTATCCTTACGTCAATGGGACCGCCTACTTTTGTCCAAAATGCTGCAATACCGGATTCAAAGGATTCGACCCCTACAGACCATGTCGCAAAGTTGAGCAAACTCCCCTCTTGCCATATTCTGAAAGCTCTTACATAAGCTTACATTTTACTGAACCTTAATTCTGATATCCGTATGTGAACAGTGTTGGTTGAAGTATGGGAAACCATGGCAAGCCGTCCGGCTCTCGCCGATGACCAACTCGTCCCCATGGACCCTCCAGCGCCCCTTGCCGCCCACCCAGATGGCCGTCAACCCGCCCCCGCTCGTCGTCCGGCCGGGAGACCCCCGAATCGGCGGACGTCTGTGTCTCAACTGCAACGGCTCCGGCCAGAAGACGGAGGAGCTTACTCTCTTTAACGTCCTGCTCGGCGGCGGCGGCCAGGAGGTCTGTCCTAGCTGTAGAGGCACCGGAAGGATCTTCTTCTGATCCCCCCCTCTCTCTTTCTCGCACTACTCTTCGCTCTTTCATCGGACGTTTCTTTGGCTGTTGTCGTTGTTTATCCTTCAAGAAATCCGATCGGAAAAAAAAGAAGACAATTACCCATCCCTCTTCCATCAAAAAACTCTCGTACCTGATCTTACCCAACCAACCCGTTCCCAAAGTCTGTCCATCTTTGACCCACTTAATCATCCACTCTTACCCCTTTTTTGTTTCTGTCAGACCCTTATCCCAACATACATATAATCTCTTTCCTGGTCGAAAGAAAATAGGAACAAACACGCAAGAAAAGCTGGTTTGACATTCATACACTCACACAAACAAGCTTGATTCATTTACCCTATGTCACATACATCTCTATTCCAATCAATCTCTGGACTATCTCCTCTTCTCTTTTCCTTTCATTCTTCCCTTTTTTTTCACCTTGCTTGTTGCATCTGTATGTACAATTCTAATCTGTACTTTGAATTCTTGTTGTTTGTTTTTTTTTGTCTTTTTTTTTGGTATTGATTGACATTGATTGTCACCAACTATCTAAATTATCTATATTTTTTTCTCCTGCTTGAGTCCCCTCTCCCACAAGAGCCCACTCAAGTGCCTTTCTTTCTTTTTACTTCTTGGGTGTTCAAATATTCCTTGAATCTTTCCTTGAAATGGTCTTTGAATGTGAAGATGATGGACATGACATGGCCATGATGTCCAGCTGATCATGTTCTCATCAAAAAAATGAAACTTAGAGATGTGGTACAGTATCCCATAACTCCTCTCTACCAGCTGGGTGGTGTAGTATTAGTAAATCTTTAATCTGAGCATGGACATAGGATGCTGGTAAGCATACATTGAAGAAAAAAGAAAAGTGTCTTGATTGAAGTGAGCCCATCATGGTGTGATTCAAGCAAGTCAATAGGCCCATTTTGTGATTGTGACTTTGTTTTTGTTCTTGAGGTGTTCAGATTTAGTGGATATGTACTGTACAATATACAACCCACAAAACTCAACTTTTTTTTCTCTTTTCTTTTCTTTTCTTTTTTTTTTTTTGATCAAAAACAGCTGAAATAAAATTCAATTGTTTATCCCTTATATGTTGGATTAGGTAGCTATGTAGGCCCTGGGAGAATTGGACCAAGCCAAGAGGATCCTAGAGAGCTCCTCTTGATCATTATAAGGGCTTACCAGAATTTTGGTGTGTGTGTGTGTTGGGCCCAAAAAAGATACTACATAGGTACACAAAAATCGAGTTTTTTTTTGTTCTGTTGGCCAGCTGTTCACACAAATTATATTCAAGAGTAAACTTTGAATGGCAGGTTTTTCTGTTTGATTGACTTGAGTGATATTTATGGCACCCTTCTTTGATAGGGATATAATGCAAGCAATAAGTTGCTTGTTTTCTGCCAGACATCTTATCTGACATTTCTTCCCAGGCCCACCAACATCTCATCAGATGTCACAAGAATTTGCAATTTATCGCCGCTCATCACAATCCAAGACTATATACACCTTTTTGTTTTGGAAAACAAAAGTGATCCCATCAGGTGGAAAAAAAATTGATTTGTGGGAAAACAACCAGAAAAAAACCCTTATGTAGTAGCCAGTTAGGAACAAAACAGGTATGGATTCAGGTTGACAGATTGAGGCTTGTGATCAAATAACAGGCTACTAGTATAAACAACAACATCTATATGTGCTTTTCATCTGCAGATCATTACCATTTTTGCTATAAATCTGAATTATATCTGGTGATGCAGAGAGTAATCTTGAAAATGTTTACAGCAAGTTTCCAATTAGTGTGATCCCAGAACTTATTTGGACCCTTGAGGACTGGACTCCCCTGCAAGAAAAAATAAGGCTTTTTGGACCTAAATCAACTTCTGCAAGGGCTCCAGGTTTGATGGCAAGTCCTCCATTGCACAAGTCAAGAATTCGAGGTCATGCAAACTGACAATGGGTGCAAAAAAAGACATAACTAAGCATAGACATTGAAGGAATGGTTGTTTGAAAAAGATGCTTGTTTGAAGCTGCCATTTTCCAATTGGATAGTCTGAGTCTTGTGCATACCCCAGCTTCTCTTTGAGTTAATGGAGATGAGGATCACTGACAATCCACCCAAGAAAAAAAAAAAAAAGAAACTTGAGTTCAAACATTTTTATTTTTGACCCAGGAAAAAAAACTAGCTTGCTTACAGCTTGGAAGAGTAACTCGTAATGATCATTTTGTAGATAAGCTCCGTTGAACCCTGTAGTGCCTTTGTTGCCGACATGCAGCTGAGCATACATGGATCTGTCCGAAACAGAAACAACCACGACGTCCAATTCGTAAGCTTCTGACAAGGCTTTGATGGAGAGCTCATCTCCCCAAGCCCCATTTTTTATTCTGTAGAGATATTTCTTCAATCTGATTTCTGGTTCTGGATCTTCCCCTTCAACAAAGTCTTGGAATTCGAATGGGTTTGCCTCTATGTATTTGATCATTTCCTGTCTGACTTGAATATGCTTCTCTTGATCTCCGTACTTGAAGTGCGCAAATGTTCTAAACAAACAGTTCCCATCCTTCTTGATATAGTGTTCGGTTGTTGAATAACCCGGCAGATACTTGATTGGCTCAATTGTGGCCGAAGCTGGGCGTTGAGTTATTATCCTGATGTTCGCTAATGTTCGCAATGTTTCAACGTTGCTTGGAGTTGGAACCCTTAGCTCATGTGAAGTACTCGGTGAGCTGGTCAAGTCCGTGAGGTATGAGTCGGAACCGGAAGCGACCTTTTGCGATTTATAAATACCAGCTTGGGCCATATTGTCGACTTTGTAGAAGTTTTCGGAGTGTTCAGCGTTGCCAGTCGGCGTCCATCTAGTCTTGATCGAATAGCGGCCTTCCATTCCTATCATACTAGCTATCAGAAAGAGGAGCATCATGAAACAGGCCAGATAGACCATCTTCAAGAAGATTACATAGCGAGAGTCGTTGGCTGGACAGATTTCGACGTGAAGTTGAGCCTTTCAAACCGTCATTTTGGTTGGCCTGGTGCTCTTGTTCTTGTGCGCCGAATGAGAATATACGGATCACCCTTTTCGGTTCTATTGCACCATGCTGTGGAATATGATCAGGGAGCAGATGCTCTTCGCAGAAATGTTCAAGTGTTGCCGCTTGATTGACTCGCCATAACAGACCGGAAAGCGGCAAAACAAACGACAAAGATGTCTGACCGACAACCGTTGCCAAGTACCTGCTCAGTGCTGAAACATGTTTTGCTCCAACCTTGACCTAACAACTACACTATGGCTCAACATGGCCTCCTTGTTCCAGGTACCGAGTCTCTGCAAAACGAGGGCCAAATATAAATTATTTTTGGTAACTCACATTAGCAATGTAGGAGGTTTCCTGCAGGGAGCTCTTATTTCACGGAGTTAAGACAATGAGGACGATCAAAGAAACACACGACTATACCTAGAAACAGTGACGTAAGAACCAAAAGTGAACAAATTATGTGAAGATTGTAAAGCTTAAAAAGGATAAATAAAATAATGAAGTGAGTTAAAGGGATGGGATGGATAGAAGCAGACCCAAAGTTAGGGGGAGGATTGAAATGAGCATAAGGTGAGACATGAACAAAACAAAAGCAGATGGATGAAATGACTGGTAAAACCCAGTAGACATCTGAAAATGCCAACTGAACAGGCTAGGAATTTAGAAGGGAGGCCATCCAACAAAAATCATGCCAATGATTCAAGTACACTGTGTCCACTCCAAACTCCACTTGAGAAAAAATAATGCTAATAACCCGTAACTCTACATAAACGTATCCACTTTGAACGTGTGATAGGGAATAAAACAATCAAGAGAGAAAGCTGAAGACTACTAACCCGTGAAATGAGGGTAAAATCGTAATATTGCAATGACTGGCTCACTGCAGAGATTTTTGCTTTTCCGCATGAAACGTTAAGATAATCTAACATTAAGGAATTCGGTGCAAATTATAGGATTTTTTCTTAGGATGTAAGCCACGGATCATTCGAAACCCAGAGAGTAATTTGGAGGATCTTGAGATTAAGCGATTAGCGATTCTGCGTCTTGTGTCGGTTTGCGTTGCTGGATTTTCAAATAGTTTGGGATCGAGATGGGTTTGGGTATGCTGAAGCTGGTTTCCAATGAGGGTCTTGAAGGGGAGATGTTGAGTCAAAGGTCAATTCACTCCAGAAAAAAATAACCTGGACCTGTTATCGAGAACTTGACTTGAAATGAAACAGTGCTTACCTTTCACCAACAGCTCATAATGTTGACCTCGTAAAAATAATGCGTCGAACTCATTAGACGATAGATCCGGTTGTCGTACCTGAGCATGTGCGGACTCTAAATTAGAGACAACGACAATGTTTCTGTTGTAGAGCCTTCCAAATATAGTTTCTTCGATATGATCGCCCCATGCCCCGCCTTCTAGTCTTTGGATGTACTGCTGGGCTCTTATATTGATATCTTCATCTCCTACCATAGATTCTGCGAACTCATACCAGTTCTTTTTCAGGTATGCAACTATTTTCTCCCTGATTTCCCAGTGACTATCTTGATTTTGGTACAGGAGGTACGAAAATGCTCTAAACATGCAGTTCCCATCTGGCTCTATAAACCCTTGTGTTTTTGCATAACCCGGGAGGTGTTCGATGGGAACCAAGGTCGTAGATTCAGGCAGCTTGGTTATGAGTTTCAAGTTGTTCAATCTGTGCAATGCGTCGTCGCTACCTGATAGTCGGGGCGCTACCGGCTGACGTGGAGGGCTCCATGAACCGGATGTGCCGGAGAACGAGCCCCACCTGGAGCTTCCAGGATACGAACTGTCACTGGAGGAAGAAGATGAAAAAGAGTGATCGAGGTAGCCATCATCTTGGCTGGGGTATAATGCTGGACCATGGGTAGCAGGTGCTACTTCGTTTGTCATTATGGGTTGTGCTTGGGCGACTGCGTTTGCCTTGATGGGTGGTCCTTGAACGAGTGGATTTACCTCGGTGGGTTGTCCTTGGGCTGCTTCGTTTGCCTTAGGCCCAGGGGGTCGTAATGAGGTAGGTTTTTCCAATTTTCCATCCAATGCTAGTTTATAGAGAAAAGAAGCAATCGAAAGAATATTGCTTAGCAATATGATCTGCCAGACAATAACAATCAATCCAGGAAGCTAACGGGTAATCTTTTTCCGCCAGGTAAATAGCTTCTTCAACTTCGCAATCAAGGCCTTGAATTTGGTTTTGATGTGATCCTTAAACCTTCTCCAAGTCCACTTTTGCTTCGTTTTTTGGGGTAGGTTAGGTGATCCTACTTTTGGGTCAGCTAGTGGTTTTGGAACGGGGTTGACGGGATATTCGATGGGTGGGGGTTTATCTACTCGATCCAGATGTATTCCAGTTTCGCCTGGTAGATGCGGGTAACGAATCATATTCTGTTTATCATCCCGGACTGGAATACCGATGGTCTCAACGCTGTTGTCGGCGTGCAAGAAATTATCCGAAACGCGTGCTATAGGTTGCGGCTTAACAAATTCTGTCGTGATGATTGAAGGTCGAGCAGTGAACATTCCTTCCACCCGAAGGATGAACAATGTGAAACATGCTAGCGAAAGGGTCTTTAGAAAGCTGGGGTAATAGGAGGTGACTGTGATCAGATGTGAGATATGGTTACGAGGTTTTTGACCTGTCATTTTACTCAGTCGATCTAATCCTGGTCCTAGTCAGGAAACGAGTTGGGGATTGTTGGAGGCTGCTAGAAGGTAGAATACGAGAGATCACAATCCGAGTTATTTTTGTTCAAGAATGAAGAAGGTTATACACGGGTCGATGGGTTACGCTTGGTGGCTGATGGAAGTCGGCTCAGATTATCAAGTATCAATGAACCCACCGGGTCAAGGATGCCTGACCGAGGGACAAGTGTTTTGTCCAACGAAAGTGGCCGGCCGGATGGAGTGGGGTATATGCTGGTACATACATGCACTCGACTCTCCACCGGAGCCAGCTTAATTCTTGGTGAGACTTGTTTCAGGTACAGCATATTTCAACTTTGGCATATTTGCACTCGGGGTTCATTGGCGCGTCATTGTCACAGTGAGATCTCCGGTGATGAGTGGTCGGTCCCCATATAATTTGGTAACAACAAGCAGGAGATGTGGGCCCGGCGGCCGCCTGGGCATGCTTGAGATGTGGCAAAGTTCTCTTGCAATCATAACTATGTCCTACTAGCCTACATGCTTTGCTTATAAGGTTCTTGGAATAACACCTCGAGCATGACTCACCACTCTTCGCATTAGTGGATGCCGGCGCATCCATGGGCCTCAGTGCGTTTCAAGTCTTTCGCCAGCAATCCTTGAAACATGACTGAGATACTGTACCGTATGCACGACTCCGCTGTCAAGAGCGCCCGGCTGTGCCCGGTTCGGTGACTCTTTTACATAAAGCTTGCGACCTGGGTGGAGCCATGAACGGGTTTGTTCGAGTGGCCAATTTGAGCTGAAAATGGAGTGGCGATTTTCGAGGAAGAACAGAGTACCGGCGGGGCGCCTGCGAAGAGCGAGGTCCACTCTGCCCAATATTATCTGCAATCCGACCTGGACGATTCCAAAGCAGGAGTTTGCGCAAGTTCCACACAATAAACTCCTGTTCATATGTTGCCCCATTGCATACATCTCAGATTAAACGAGGGGGTTGCATAATGTTGGCTGAGTTTTTGTTGTTAAGCTAGCAGATCATCAACTGTGGGTAGATGATAGCAAAGACTGAGGCACATTGGACAAGGAGTCAGTAGTCTTTCAACAATCTGCTTAAGCTAGAGGACCTGCGACTACTATCAATGACGGTTGTAAGGTTTGAACCGATTATCTTTTGACGAGAGGGTCTTGAGGCTTGAGTCAGGTTTGAGTTGAAGGTGAGTAGGGTTGGGCTCTTTTGGGGAGTGGATGATAGGAGTGGAAAAAGGGTTAAAGCGATCGACCAGTCGGAAGCTCGCTTCACTCTCACGATCATTTGACCATATACAAATCCTCCCGTCTTCTCCTCCGGTAAGAACCACAGAATTCTTTGTATCGGTTGATAATGTAACAGGATCAATCAGTTGTATTTCTGCAGGATAGACCAAAATTAGAGGCAAATACCTGTGAGTCCAGTGTGGCACATCGGACCATTTCTGAGTGGCCACCTTTGAATGATCCTAATACTTTCCATCTCTCAGTCTCAGGATCGGTGGTCTCGACCAAGACGACATCACCGCTGTGTGGGATGAAATCAAGACAAAAAGATCAGTTTGAGGTATCAATCAATAAAGATGGTCTTTTTGAGATTGCTAACGATTGTGAGCCAGCAAAATAAGCCGATTGTGTTGGTGATGGGGTTGCCAGGCTGATCAAATAGGAAACTGGCTCGTGCCAGCTGGGGTCCGGTTTGGCCAGACTATCTTGTCTGAGATCACCGTAATCCTTGAGGAGTGACAACTGTTTTTTTGGGAGGAAAACAAAAAAGTGAATAGTCAGCTCCAATAATTCTTTGTTTTTCCCGTAGATTGGATCTGCAGTCTGCATACCTGTTCGGCATCCCACCGGCTGAGGGTTTCCATATCCGATCCGGCCCAGATGGTCCTGCCGTCTGGTTGCCATCGGGCATGTGCTAGGCTGGCACCGGTGTTGGAGGTAAAGAGGATAGATTCCTCTTGGTCGACGATTCTGGTATCATGTAACACCAGCAGTCCATCGGTTGAGGCCGAGAGTAACTGATGGTCGGAGCAGGATGGGTTGAATTCTAGACTGGTGATTGAATCCGAGTGGGCCTGGTCGTATAGACAGTATGGCTTTGTTCCCCGGCGGAGGTCGAAGAGCTCGATCTGACCGGATGAGCAGTCATCGTCGTTCGAAGTCCCGGCTGCGATCACAGAACCCGCGGAATGGCCGAGTGAGAGGAAGGGAGTGGATGAGTGCCCGGTAAGCTCGAGCGAGGGGCGGTGGTCGGCCGATCGGAGGTCCCAGCCGAGCACGGCCGGGGAGGAGGAGAAGCAGCCGATGAGCAGAGATTGTTGATGGCTCTTGAGTTGGCTGAGCCTGCCGAGTTGCTCGGAATATTCTAATTCGATCGTTGGCTTATCGGTTCGCTGGAGATCGAAGATCCGGATCGAGTCAGCCTGATCGGAACTGGCACTAGCACAGCAATTCAGCAGTGGGACGAGTTGGAGGATGTAAGCCATCTTAATCACAGCTCACGTGAAAGATTGTAGTGTCGTGCCGGTGCGGGGTTGAGTCAAGAAAATCACAGATGGGCGGAGCGGAGCGCATACATCCAACAACAAAAAAAAAAAGGGTTGGGAAAAAAGGAAAGGCACTACATACAAATAGGATGGAACCAACTGAAAACCAACAACAACAACCACAACCACAACAGCAGCAACAGCAACACCTCAAGAGGAAACCAGAGCAAGAACCAACCACGATCGATGGGGCACTCAGTCGACTACCCAAACGAAGGGTGGCCATCATGATAGGCTACTACGGCAGAGGCTATCAAGGATCTCAGATCAACCCAGGCACGAAGACCATCGAAGGAACCCTCTTCAACGCATTCGTTCGAGCTGGTTGTATCACTCAGGACAACTCAACACATCCTAACAAGGTAATGCACTACTAATCTGAGTAAGAAAAAAAAACGTTTTGATAGATGTTGACTATAAATTATTTCTTCCTTCAGGTCGGGCTACAGAGAGCTGCTCGGACGGATGCTAACGTATCGGCGTGTTGTAATCTGATCTCACTCAAGTTGATCCTCAATCCACCTGAAATCGGACAAGACAAAAGAATGGACCAAGTAGAAGAAGAAGGACAAGAAGATGCACTCCACAGATCCTTGATTGAACAACATTCACAAACTTCGTATTATCCATTAATCAAGCACATCAATCGATTCTTACCATCGGATATGAAAATCTGGGAAATCATCCGAGTCCAAAACTCATTCAACCCTCGTTCGTTCTGCGATTCCAGAGTTTACGAATACTCACTACCTACCTGGTTGTTCCTACCCCCTAAACCAGGCTCACCATTACACCAGAGACTAATGAAACTCAACCAAAATCGCATCAAGAAGACAGGAGAAGAAGAAGAAGACGCAGAAAAAGAAGAAGATCCTGAAGCCAACTGGTGGAACGACCACTCAAACTTACTAGAGAAAGACTTCAAATCGATCCAAGCGGAGAGACGGGGGAGCTATCGAATATCTCAGATGATGATCGCCCGAATCAAATCTGTCCTCGATCAATTCAGGGGCACCCATAACTTCCATAACCTCACCGTCGGTAAAGCTTTCACCGAACGTAATGCGGTTAGAATCATGAAAGATTTCACAGTCTCCGAGCCATTCTTGGTGGGTGGTTCTGATCCGACTAACCCCAAGGATGATGATGATCATCAGCCCCTCGAAAATCCTCCAACCGAATGGATCTCGATCACTTTCCACGGCCAGAGCTTCATGCTCCATCAAATCGTTTGTTCTTTCACAGTTTTTTACGATCGTGATAATTCTTTGCCAGATTTTGATTATCAACCAACATTTTGCCGTCTTTCCTGTAGCGAAAGATGATTGGACTGCTCGTCTTGGTATGTAGAACTCGGACCCCAGTGTCGATCATTAAGCAGCTCTACGGTCCGAGAAAAGTCAGTATACCCAAGGCACCCGGGATCGGATTGATCTTGCGCAAACTCAACTTTCACGGTTATAATAAAAAAATCCAACATATTAACGAGCAAACCCTACAGCGAAGAAATAAGAAGAGGAAAGGTGCAAGAAACGGGGGTGATCAAGAGGATGATCAGTTGATGATTTGGGACTCGATCGAGTGCGATCGGTTCGAAGCTCTTTTCGAGCGTTTCAAGTTGGAAACTTTGTTCAATCGAATCTTTCTCAATCAAACCTCTCAGATATCCAACGAGCCTCAAGACTCAAACCCGATCGCTGGGGATCAAAAAGTAGATCCTGTCGAATTGGATACAGTCAAAGAGGAAGAATCGGGGTCCAAAAACTCAAAACCAACGTCCACCAAGCCTCCTAAATCTAGTAGAGCGGCTCACAAAGACGACGATGACGATGACGAGATTGATGAAAAAGACGAGGATGACGACGTTGTTCCTGTCGAGAAACTCGAGGGCGAGGATCCATTTGGGGTGTGGATGAATTACTTGGACGTTTATACTGGACCTGATCTTGAGTTTAGTCATCATCTGCTCTCCAGTTTCTTGCGTTTTTTTTTGTGAACAATTCATTCAGACTCATGGCTTAAAACTGACCTTGATAAATTCCCATTTTTTATGTTTGGTCTTCTGTCAAAAAAAACACGCTCTATTTATTCAATCCAACAACCACCAACACGTACTATCTCTGTGTAAAGCTTCTTGAATCCTGATGGGATCTTACCTGATGATAAGTAACATTCAACCCTCATTATTGAAACGCTTCAGAGAATAGGGCAACCGGGATCAACTGCCTAGATAGATAACTACACAAACAATCAAAACCGAGGTGTCCAGTGTTTTTTTTTGTTTGTTTGTTTGCGTATTATAAACCATATCGCAACTAAGACTCTCGTGTTGTGAATTGCATGATAATTTGCTTCTCGCTTTCTTGGTCAACTTGTTTGCAAGTTATTGAGTGGCTTGATCAGCCAAGCCAACCAACTTACCTCATCTTAGACTTCTAAATATTGGTAATCTTTTGTGTATAATCTGATAAATCTGCCTTCTCTGAGTGTTTTAAAAAACCCTTCAAATCATCTGCTAGATTGCCTGGAGAAAAAACAAGTCAACAGGAGAAAGTGGTGACCACACAAAACCAGCAAAACTAGTTGATTTTCCAAATTCTTGATGATAACTGTTTTGTTTACCACTTGTATTTGGGCTGAGGACTGAATTGACAGTAGCAAACCCACCCTGGCCTCTTTGAATGAGTAAAGGGCCAATGGTGGGATATAGGGATGGTATATTCTGTGGCCTTTCACACATTTGAATATTTTGGGAAACAATCAACTCGTTTTGGTCAAAATTTAGAAATGTGTTGTGGAATGGTGAATTTTTTCCTCAAGAGATTGTGAATGATCAGAATAGAATAAATATGAGACATCGACAATTGAAGAGAATATCTCAGTAGAATGGATCAAACTATGGAAAAAGACAGAAGAACAAATGGGGGTTTGGTTCCTGTAACAAGGCTAGTGTACCACTGCCAGCATAATTGGCTGTGATGAAGTTATCTCAGTGAAACAAGAACACACTAAACCAGTTTGAAATGGGTTGATCTTGGCCAATGAGATTCAAATCCAAGGGTACCTTTGGTGTGTATTTGATTGGTTGATATCAGCTCCTTTTGGATTGGTTGAGTGCATCTCTGTTTAACTGGGATATAATATACTGGTAGTGTGTAGTAAAACCAAGTACATTTACACACTAATGATGAACATAAGAGACTTCAGATAGGATATGATAAGCCATAAAAAGAAGTAACTTGTGAGTAGGCATCATAATCAATAAGACACATAGACTGTAATGAAGGTATTTCAATGTGATCAAAGTGTTGAATTTTTGAACCCGAGACTGGAGGACTTGAGATTTTTGAGGACCTGGAAAGGGCACAAAAAGGTTAAGGACCTTTTTGGGAATGGTTCACGGAAAAAGAATGAAAGAACCAATAGTTTCATTCACTTGCAACTAGCCCAGATTATATAGACTAGGTACAAATTGGTCAAAAAGTGGTTGAAAGAAAAGTGAATAAAGAAAAGGTATTTTGAATAAAAATTGAGAGAAAATAGAATAAGTTCTTGGAAAATAACAAACTGCGCAGTACGTCTCATTCTCTTGTAGTAAAAGCCAGATGAGCTAGTCAAGAAAAAATATTCTAAGTCACAAATAGCAAGAGGCGTTAATTCTTGATAACCAATTTTTAATAACACACAACAAGTCAGGAAAAAGAGAAGATAATACCGTAGAGACAAGAATATTGAGTTGAGCTCATTGTGGTTCAAATTTGACTCTGTAGGAACTCAGAAAACAACAAAGACCTGCTACTTGGTAAGATTAATCTAGTCTGGTTGAGGGTGCTAAGAAAGGGAAACAGGGCAGAGAGAGAGAAAGATGAGGAAAATTTCAACACAAAGCAACATAGATCCAGAAGTTCTAAGTTCTGATAAACTGAGAAAAATATTGGATTTGATAAGAAAGAAACAGGGGAGACTGTCTGGTGATGAGTGGATAAAAGATCAAAACCTCAACATAGACATAATCAGGCTTGTTTTGGGTGCATTCTGGTGGGAATGTCTGATCAAAGTCAATATTTGGAAAGAAGGAGAGGCAAGATCAGCAAGATAATAAAAAAAAAACCCTTTGATCAGGGGAATGTACCCACCATTTCTTAAGATCTCATAGTTATTATTGATGAAGATGATCCCGTGGTGATCATGACTTGGTTGACCAAAGGGATACATCACAGTAGACACATAGTCTTTCGTATCGGCTGCAAACGCAATGTTGAGCTTGTTTCCTTCTGCAAAAGCCATCATCTCTAAGCCATGGCCAGAAATGAGACGTCGTTCAGGAGTCTTATTATAAATAAACTCAAACACTTTATTTTTGTATTCTCTTCCATCGTCTGGCAAAAATTTGGCAAATTTCTGAGGGTTTGCTTTGACGTATTCAAATATTTCGGCTTTGACGAGTGCATGAGAATCTTGTGTCCCGTACTTGATGGTTGAGATTGCTCTGAAGAAACTCTCTTGATCAGGCTCGATGTATCTGTTGGTTCGCATATAGCCAGGTAAAAATTTGACAGGCATCGTGAAGGCAGATTCCGATAATTTGGCCCTCATTCTTATTCCATGCAAGTATTCTGGTGCCATTTGTTGGAGTCCTCCTATGTTTCCACCTCCGGCAGGGACGGCATGTCCAGGATCAAAGGTATAGCCTGGATGGACATACGGCTGATTGTATTGATGATGAGGTATTGCTGAATATTGGTGTGGACCCCCGACTGGTTGCTGGGATTTTCCGCTGATAGCACGCCCAACTGGTAGCAGAGATATCGGCCCAAAAGGTGCCATGTTAGTAGGAAAGGGAGAGACGAAGTGGAACGGAATCACATCTAGAGCGGCCTAATCAAACTTACTTCGACGAAAGAAATTTCGGGTCCAGTCAAGATTGAACATCTTTTTGAGCAGGGCTTGAAGTTCCTTCCACTGTCTTTTGATCCAGCTCGAGCTCTTCTGCTTCTTGGGAATGACCGATAGTCTTAGTTGAGAAGCGGGATCGAAATTCTGCCCTCGAGTCGGGTTGCTGCTACCTGCTCGATGCAGCAGATCTCGTCCGTTTTCGCCGTTTAAGTTTGGGGAACCAACTGAGTGCCCATGTTGGTTGTGGAGAACGGATGATTCTCCAGGTTTACCCACCTCTGCGAGGTTATTGGCGCGGCCGGAGTTCTCGGTAATTCGACTTGCAGAGGAAGACGCTTTGAATCCAGTGGTCGCGAAACCTTCCATCCCTGCTACCAAAGCTCCTTCAAGAAACATTAACGTGAAGCACAAAGATAATAAAGCTTTGATAGATAAAGGATTGGAGGAGATAATTGGAGGATGATGAGAGACATGAGGGTTGGCTTTTCGAGCTGCCATTTCAATTTTGTAGCTCGTTTGTATAATCAGGCGCAGGGGAGATGGTTGCAGTGATTTATTGATGTCAAGCGCTAGACTGGGAGGTGGCATCAAAAGGGTTAAACTTTAATGTGTTCAAAAATACCGAAAACAGTTGGGTAACTGATCAGCCTGGGTGCTTCGTGGACGTCGCCCCAGATAACAAGTGATGATAGTCAAATGCGGGGAAGGACCAATGCATGACCGAAGAATCCCGGCCGGAGCAGGTGGAATGTTAGACCGGCATCATGATTACTTTTGCCAAAACATCTTTACAAGCTTGTCTTGATCAAAATCGGTCAGACTGCTCCCCAGTGGGGGTGAGCAAAGAACCCCGGTTCGGCTGTGCGACCGGGAGATAGTGTCCAGTGTCCACCGCAGATTTCGGTCTGAGAATACGTAAACAAGTTGCTTTGATCGCCATTGTAATGTTTGATGGAAGATGCCGGGGAGCCGGCGGGTTTTGGGCTTCGTTCAAGGGTGAGATGAAGTGCAATATCGGTACCGATAGTGGAAAGAGGACTGATATACAATCCATTTGATCAGGCAGATAAACCATATTGGCAACCCTGTAGTCGTATGGCAGTGCCGCTACTGCTTCCCGGACGACTCACTTGCCATCGGGATGAATCGGAAGTCAACAAAGAGGGAATACACATTTCTTGATTCGAGGCCGGTGCGACTCTGGATTTGCTTTGCCAAACGTCTCAGTGCGCTTTTGTAAGATGCAGTTGGTCGGCCCAGGTGATATCCCTGATCATAATCCTTGATATACATCAGAGAAGCGAAGATTCAGAACTCGCTATAAATGTCTGCAGCTACATAGCTCAACTTCTTGTTGCAGTTTTTCCTTATCTTCACTTCCCTTGTGATCTCGTTACTTTCATCATACTCTCTCAGCATGATCAACAAGCAAGCTTTGCATTCGTTATGATCAAGAGTCAGACACCTACTCTGCTTCTGACTTTCAGTCTTAAGAAGTATGAGAATGAGCGACGCGGACCAACTTGTTCCGTCAATTAATCGTGCCTGCTTCATCGGCATCCTCTTTCCTCAGTTGCTAACTTGCTTCTGCCTATTCCAATCCCCACAAGTATCTAGCGATTACTGTACCGAATGGCTGATGACATCAGATAAATCTCTCTGGTCTAGTTGTGCTACTCAATGTGATACAAAAAAAAACTCGATTTCAAGTGCTTATCGGCTGACTTACGACTAAATGTATGATTAATAATAATGATTTGAAGAAATAAGAATTATAAGAATTAATTGTGCTTTAGATAACAACCTAGGATAACGCTCGTGTATCTTTTTTTTACACTCTGATCGACTTTGGTCGTTCAGGATTTCAAATATGATTGAGCTTGTTGTCCCTGCGGTCCGTCTTGATTGATAAAGATTTGAGGGTGAGGAGCTTGCAGAAGTATATAAAAGCTCTTTCGGGGATAGGTTTGATCAAGGATGATTCATACAAAAACAGACAAAAAAGAAAAAAAAAAACATTCCAATCAACCAACTAGTGGAGGACTTCCCGTCGGATCTGGGACCCTTGCAGTTTGCGATTTAGAGTCGAAAAGTCTAGGTTTTCGCAGGAAAATCTAGCTTTCGAGGCTCTAAATTGAAACTGGGAGACCCGCAGATGTTGACGGGAAGTCATCCAGTATTCATGACTTGATTTTGATGGTAGGATTTTTTGAGTGAGTCAAGAGTTGATAGTGACCGTCTTGTAAGATGACTCCACTGAATTCGTTGTTCGATGGGTCCACAACCTGTTGGTGGGCAGCGAGCGAATCACCTTTCTTGGAAACGACGACCAGATTGAGCTTATAGAGTTCTGAGAAGGCCGCCAGTTCAGCCCCATCGATCGATTCGCCGTTCGACAGTCGATACAGATGATCATCCACTTCGATCGAATCATGTTCCCCCTTCTTTGTGAGATATTTCTCAAACTGGCCCGGGTGTTTGGCTATATAGGCAATCAATTCATCCCGGACACGCCAATACTGCTCTTGATCCTGGTATGCAAAGTGTGCAAGTGCTCTGAACAACCCGTTTTTTTCTTTGATGTAATCCGTCGTTCGGTAATGCTCTGGGAGATGCTCCACTGGAGTCCAATAGTTCTTGCTTGTGATCTTAGCTGTTACCTTCGTCCCACGCAGTTTCTCCACGACCTCCTTGATCTTTCGGTCTGACGACTGAACTGAGGAGTCCGATGGACTGAAAACCTCTGGAAATAATCGCTTAGAGCTCGAACTTCCAAGCTGGCTTGAAACAGCACTCGAGAAGGATGATGAATATTGTCTCACCATTCTCTTGTCCTGCGTGATGATGAATGTTGGAGTGGAGGGGCTCTCCCCAGGCTGGTTCGGGGAATTGTGCGTGATGGTAATCTGGTTGGGCGCAGAAGGCAGTCACCAGCACAGACGGTTAGCGATACACCGAAGGAGAATGAGGAATGCCGGAGACTTACGTGGATGAAAGGGTGGTTGCGGTTGATCTGGTTATGCAGAGCAGACGATGGACAGGGCCCGGTCAACATTTGATTATATTAGGGAAGGAAGGAATCGCGACAGCTTACATATTGGATAGAATACTGGTGGCGGGTAGTTATTGTGATGGTCTGGTCAGGAAAAGCAAGCAGATAAACAGTGCCCGGTCAACAGATGATGGACACGCGGAAAACCTCAGAGAGGTATTCTATGCTTACTTGTTCTGAACAAGTCTTTCAACCACTTGAAGCTGCAAAACCTTTCGAATTCCATTTTGAATGAAAAGTAATAATTCTTGAGCTTGCTGGCCAAGCGACCGAGGCTGGACTTTGGTTCAGGCTGGTAGACTGGGATTGGCGGGCTTGGTGCATAGTACGGGTAGGCATAGCCGACTTTCTCATTCCCCTTGCTCGCTGGACCCCATGATCTTCTTCTTGGGCTTTGCCAGCCTTGACATCGTAGCTCGCGGTATGCTCGGGTTTCAGGTCGGAAGTCGAGAATTTAGCCCCCGCTTTGATGCCTTCCATTCCTGCCACCAAAGTCACCTCGGCCATTATGAGAGAGGTGAAGCATAACAGCAACATCTTCCTCAACATAGGTTGAGAGAGGCTCGTCTGGAGCTGAGGTGAACCATAGTTGATGTTGGTCGGCTGTCGGGCTATCATTTGATGGCCCATTCCACTTCGATTATCGGGACCAGGTGAGAGCTGGAATTTAAGATATCAGGATATTTATTTGCAAGAGGAGATGTTTGTTTGGAGACGTCCAGTGCTTGTGGATTCTCCCCATGAGTTCTTCATGAGGATCAGATCAACCCATCCCGAATGAATCGGTTGGAGCACACAGTCTTTAGTTTACCCACAAGGGTGACGAAACATGTTTGACAGTCTTCCTTGAAGGTCGGCCGAGGAACCCTGGCAGTATGGTGTTGTACAAGATAACTCTCCATCTTCGCCTGCATAACATCACTCGTGTGCTTTTGTGAGTGATGACAATCCAACCAACACGACACGCCAGTTGGGGGTCATCTACAATTACAATATTTGCTCCGATCGACCTTCGCTTGCCCATATCCACCAGGCAAGTCATCCCCATGGTCAGCATAGATTAGGAGTCTACACACTCACACTGTGCTGCTGATCACTCCACACGCGTTGGTGCACGGGGAGGCCATGAGCAGATCGAGGAAATTGACTTGCCGTCTCAGATTTAGTCCATGCCATCTACATTCTTCCCCCCCAAAGCTGGGGTTTCATCACCAATATGTACCAGTATGGGCAGGTGTTGAAGAATGTATGCAAATTGCGCCAAATTTGCTGGAAGATGCTACGTGAGTGGCCAAATTCAATTGATTGGGGGTACATAGTCATCCCATGGGTATAGCCACAAGGAAGAAAAAAAAAAAGAGTAAAAAAAGAGAGAGAGAGAAATGAACAGAAAAATGAAAGAAGAATATAGCATAAAAAATCATGGAAGAGGAACAAATGGCCTGCCAGCCAGTTGCCCCCCTCCCCCTGGCAGGATGTCAAATCTATGGCTTTGGTTCCAATCCCTAATCATACTCTTGAAACAGGCACGTTTGTTTGACCTTCTGTGACTCTGAGGGTCTAATTAATTTGGGGGAAAAAATTGAGGTCTTGATTCACCACCCATACATCTAATTGCTGCCTTTTTATTTTGGGGGCCAGGAATCTTTTGATCAACTCATTTTTACAAAATGTCTCACAATTGATATAAACAAAGCTAAAAAATGAGCTCATTTAGCCAAAAGAAAAAAATCCCCCAAACATACCGAGATTCATTTTAGCATCTTTGGAGACATTTTCAGTTTTTTTTTCTGAGCTAGATTAGCTCATTTTAATCTACTTTTTTCTTTTCTTTTCTTTCTGGGGTATTAATTTGGAAAAAAAAGTCAACAATTTGGCAACCCCAAGTACTAGTATTTGAACTTCTTTTTGGCACATTTGAATTTTTGGTAGGGTGATGATCAAGATCCAGCACTGCATAGAAACTAGAGATCGTTCGTTCGTACTCGGGTACCTGTTGGTACCTAGGTACCTGTTCAATTTTTCAAGAAAATAGATACCATGTACCGCACCTGGCACCTCCCGGCGGGTACCGGCGGTACTTTTGGCAGGTACCGAGGGTACCTCCCCTCTCTTTCTCACCTAGTTTCACTCCCAGAGTCCCAAGTCACTTTATTATTATTATTATTATTTCATATTTATTGTAAAATATCAGTCCCAAGTCACTTTTTTATTTTTTCATATTTATTGTAAAATTATTTTACAAGAAATATATGAAAAAATAAAAAAGTAGAAAGTGAAGCAATGTGGGCAACACTAACAATGAGGTAGGTTATTTGGGTTTAGAGGGACTTTGAATAAAGATGAAACCTGGTAAAATTATTTTACAATAAATATGAAAAAATGAAAATAAAAGTGAAGCAATGTGGGCAACACTAACAGTGAGGTTGTTCATTTGGGCTTAATGGTCATCAATGGGTATGTTGACCCCCATCAAGGACCAGTTTGACAGGTCCTTGATGGGGTGTTTCCTCCCATCAATGACCGTTTGACCGTTATTGATGGGAATGTTGACCCCCATCAAGGACCGGTCAAAGCCGGTCCTTGATGGGGGAGGTTCCTCCCATCAATGACCGGTCAAACGGTCATCGATGGGGATGTTGACCCCCATCAAGGACCGGTTTTGACCGGTCCTTGATGTGGTGTTTCCTCCCATCAATGAACGTTTGACCGGTCATCGATGGGTATAAAGACCCCCATCAAGGACCGGTCAAAGCCCGTTCCTTGATGGGAGTGATTCCTCCCATCGATGACCGGTCAAACGGTCATCGATGGGGATGTTGACCCCCATCAAAGAGCGGTCAAAACCGGTCCTTGATGGGGGTCATTCCTCCCATCGTTGACCGGTCAAACGGTCATCGTCAAGGACCGGTCAAAACCGGTCCTTGATGGGGGTGTTTCCCCCCATCAAGGACCGGTCAAACGGTCATTGAAGGGGTGTTTACTCCCACCAAGGACCAGTTAAGACTGGTCCTTGTGGGGGCGGTACCCGTAGCGGTACCCGGGTACCGCCCCTTTTTTAGCCAAAAAACTGGCACCCGGCACCGCCTGGCGGGTGTGTGGCGGGTGCGGGCGGTACCCCCCAAGCGGTACTAGGTACCTAGCAAAGGGTACCGACGAACGATCTCTAATAGAAACAGCTATGTAATTTTGGAAAAGCTTGTCCAAGTTGGAATTTTTTTTTCTTCATCAAAAATTTATCTTTGTTGTCAAACATCATGCTCCTTGTGCATAAGCTTTGACAACAACTCAGCAAGGATTCAACTATGCAGCTCCAAGCAAAATCTTGGAACCCTTCATCACATAATCCCACACTCTATGGTGGGACTAGACCTCCTTGACTTGGTTGATTACTGTTTACTTGATGTGTTTTATGCATATGGCTTGAGGAAAAAGAAAAAAAAAATTGAGGTTCCAATTTGAAACCTTTTTTGAATAGCTGTATTGTAGTAGTCTTAGAGCAACTCCACTGTGGCCCCTATTTTTGGGCCGCTAAATTATGATTGTTGGGACTGCAAAGCCAACTTTACAGCCTTAAAGTGCTGTGGCATACACCACGAGAGTCTTTAAGAATTTGTGAAAGGATGAGTGGTGTGTGAAGTTGGAATGGATTTGTATTGAGGCAGTAGAGTTTCAAAAGCTGGTTGTTGTGTGAAAGGGGATTGGGCAGTCAATGGAGGAGTTGCTAGGAGTCCCTACATGTAGGGACTCGGGCTTGAAATTTAGGGACGGCCGTAGATTTGAGACACAAATAGCGGCTGCGGTGGCTCATGTTGAGTGGGTAAATTCCAACTAGCAACCCGATTTACCAACCGCGGTGGAGTTGCTCTTACCATCAGATCAATTAAAGTAGTCAAACACATGTCAAGTTTTTTTGTAATAAGAGATTCTATCTTGAGGTACATTATAAGTATTAAAGTTCAGCACCAAATTGCTTGATGTATATATATCAGCATATATTAATATACCACAATCCCATGCCAGACTTTAAAATTTATGTTGTATAATGCTGTTGTCCAAACGGGCCTTAATTTTATTTCACTGTCATATGTGTTGTAACCCAGCTATTGGGTTAAACCCAGACTCACTAGACACTGGCATAGAGCTAGTGTGCACGAGTTTTTTCTGATAATTATCATCATCATTCACAAACTATGACAATATTCTCAATCCCTTGGTTCTATTCTATGAATCTTCACGGCTATTCCTCTAGCTGTTATCCTTTGTTTTGTCTTGTTCTCTTCTTGAATCAATACACTCAAACATTTCATCCCCAATTCGTGCTCTAGAAGTTTGGCACAAGCATGCAGTCAAGTGATTTGAAGCAACTTCATACACATTTCTGGTGGGCTAGTATTAGTGATAGTACTAATGTTTTTTTTTCTTGATTGATCTTTCTAGAGGATGTCAATTCTTGTACTCCATAAAATCTACCCAAGTTTGAAAATTTACATTGAGAGAAGATGATTGGCTATATGACAATGAAAAGCTGCATGCAGATGAAAATTTAGGCAAAAGTTTCAAAACATTATCCATGCAACTTTTTTATGAGGTGCTTCATGTGGTGTGGTAATTCAAATACTTGGATTTTCTTTCTTGAAATCTCACAGCACCAAAAAAGAGCATTGTAAAAACCTATTTTCAGCCCAAAATCACAGAACTTGGATAATACCATCTTCCTTGTTAAGTTGTCAAAAAAAATGTTTTTAAGGATTCAACCTGCACAATTTTGAACTCTAGATAGAAGTCCTTGTTTTGACCATTTTGAAACTCTACACTAAAGTCACATGTCACTGATCAGGAGGATTATTGACATCTTCTGGCTACCTTCAACCAGGCTCAGATGACATCAAGTGGAATTTTCCAATGACTGCCCCGCAAACAGGATTCATTTACTGACCAAATGATCCATATTGAGGTCTTTCCCACCGCATGAATTGTTCAGGTTTTTGATTCAAATATTTTGCCTTTCTTCCTTGCCCCCTTTGAAGTCTTGTCCATCTGCAAGTCTCTTGCCCAAACAAAAGTCGCGATTTACCTCTTTCTCTCATTGACTTTTCTCTTGTTGATTTATTTCTCTTCAGGTTGAGTTTTATATCAGCAATCGAATCACAGCTCCAATATCTTTCAACGCAACACCATATTGAATGGACTTTGTGGTAAACAAAACAATTGGTGGTCTACAACTGAAATGATGGTGCGTCGAGCATGGTTTGACATTTCTGGTGGAAGCATGAGGATCGTGAGGCGACGCGTGGCTTGGTGTGGAAGATTGCAAGAAGCGTTTGATGCTTCAGATTCGTTGTATGTGCCAGAGAAAAATAAGGCGCATGGCGAAGTCGAATGATCAGTAGCGCTGGTGCAGAGCTGAAGGGTTTATAAGGAGCTTGGGGGAGAACGCCCAATGCGATTCCCCCATCTGACCCTTGCTCGGCGACATTGCCTTGGGGTCAGATCAACTTTTTCGTCTTGCGGATTTTCCCGCGTTTTGTGGGATAGGGTGGACTTTGCAATTGCTCCGATACTCGGACATGCGCCACCGCCCGAACCAGTCGAAAAAGCACGAACACTATGATCTGGAAACTGTACATAAAGCATCGTTAGAGGGCCAGCCTACATACGTCTTTTAGGTCCCGTTCCATCACGAAAAACGTAATAATAAATTATAGATCCTTCCTGCCGTCTAAAGAACCCATCTGACGAGCAGGAGAATTCTATCAAAACAGCAAGAGTATACTTTTACTTGATTATTTGTGCCTGAGGTGGAACGACACCAATTCCAAAGGAAATTCCCCACGCCCCATGCACAATTCTTCGGCTCACCGTTCTTAGATACTACTGCGGTTTCCAAGTTCATCTACTATCACCTCCAGCTTGATTGGAGCCAGGACCAGAAAAACAAGAGGCGACTCAAAACCCTCATTCCCGACCTATTGTTTTTATCTTATACTATAGTCAACACCCGCCACGCCCGCAGTTCTAGTCTACATACCCTAGCGACCCGACTCTTGAAACATTATGAATTCTACAAGGTTCGTCGATGAGATGGATCGGTTTCAATTGCCTACGATTTTAAAACGAGAATACGAATACTGTCAAAGTTTATTCGGACAACGCATGGTGCTTCATGCTCGGCGAGTCAACTTCAAGCCGGTGATCACGCCCCTCACTACTAGTTTCTTTTTCCTTTGGCTCTGTGCCGTCAGTTTACCTGAGAAAGGCCCTTTGCCAACACTTTTCCGGCTTTCAGTACTCCCATTCCTTCTCGCTAGTGCATTTGACATCGCCGTCAACAAAACTTACAGCTTAGGAAGTCCTCTCCGAGACGTTATGTTCCCTTACTGGGGGTGTCTGATTGCCTTTCGGATAATAGACATGGCACTCGTGAGCTTGTGGGACGAAGAGCCGGCACCAAGATGGATCAAACCCCAGAAAGTGCCCGAACAAGAAAACCTTCATGTCGCCAAATCAGTTATCAGTTTGAAAATTACCGAGGAGCAGGACGTCGAAGAAGTATCTCGCGCGCTTTGTGATGAAGGCAAGGGCACCTGGAAGTCCAGCCGCGGGAGACGCTATCTCTGGCGACCTGTACCCCACTCGCCACTCTTTTCTTTCGATAGAGCTTTATACGGCTTGGATGTCATTCTGTTGAATAGACCAGGAACTCCTTGGTTATTTCCTTGGCGCCTACGCTCTCTGGACTGGTCTCTAGTCGCACTTAACGGACAGCGACGAGAACAGCTTAACTTTGGCAAACCCGAATGGCCATTCCTCTTGGCTCTGATCCAGCAAGTTTTTCATTTGATGGCGCATAATTATATCCGAAGTATGGACCTCGACGGGAAGAGAACTGAAACGCGAGATTTATGGGCAATAAAGCTACCAGATCAGATACTCGTGACGTTAGCTCTGGGTGCAATCGTCGCCTTGAGTAGTTCCTTGGAGGTAATGATAGATTCTGGAATTATGGATTTTCTTCATCCGTCTCTGTTGGAAAATGCCTTCAATCACTTGCGGATGCTGACTTTGATATCCACATACTCTAGGAAGCAATCACTTTTCCACTATTGTTGAACTCGAAATTCTTACCGGAGACGGCTCTGCTGGGTAACACTAGACGCGCCATACTCTCCAAAGGATTGGCCGAATTGTGGGGATATCGGTGGCATCATAATTGGCGAAGAAGCTTTGTCCGCACTGCGCGACTTTTTCCTGGGGGTTTAAATCCCACATGGAACGCCCTATGGACGTTTTTTCTTAGGTAATTTGTTCATCCTCTACTTTCCGGAAACCTTTGGCGAGCTCTGAACTTGACTATTTATTTTCTGGTATTCCTCATTTCATCTTTCTCTTTGCGAAATATGCAAAGCGGCATGATGCATTCCATAATGCTTGCGCGAGCATACCCGACACCAACTCTCAGTCGCCCCTGTACGATCTTACCAATCTTTTGGGAGCCCGGGATGATGCTGTTCTTCATGGCACAAGGATTAGGAACGTTGATTGAAAAGACGTATTTTCCGACAAAAAACGCCTCAATTTTGAAACGAATTTGGATGTGCATTGTGTTGATCGGCACAGGGCGATACCTCGTTAACTCGATGGTAGTGAAAGGTTGGTTGTCAGCCTACGAGTGGAATCAAATGAACTACGGTAATGTCATTTCCGACATCTTTGGCCGCAGCATTTCGGTATAAAATTATCGAGCCTTCCGCGTCGGAGCCGAAACGCGATGAAATAAAAACAAAAACTTACTCATGCCGCTTGCTTGATGTACAACTGGGGGTAATTTTCCGACGGCAATATCATAATTTTGTTCTCGATCACGATTTTTATAAACCCTTCTCATCATGGGCTCCCCATCCATTTAATCCCTCTTTCCTGGTATGTAGAACTAGGAACATATTATATCAACATATGGACACATTAGTCGAGTAAAAAGAGCGTCTGAGACTATAGTGATGAATTCACCGCTGCCGAAATTTTCATATGGTCGCCTGCGGCGGTATCAACGTTCCCCAAACAACCCAGATATGCCTCTTACTATTATGTTGTGTACAATCCAATTTCCAACAATTAGACTTCTACGACTGATGAATTACAAAGCACATAACATGGAGATAAAAACATTGAGTGAAAATAAAAATGTTTAAAATAGACTACACACGGAATAATTTTACCATTAATACTTTACATACTTGACATGACATTAATGAAATTCTCATCAAGTTCTCTCAAATTGGCCCACAGTGATTCAGCTGGAAGAGAGACATTGTAATCCATAGAGGAGAAACAATTGCATGGGTTGCAACTTGATCAGGAGGAAAGTGTGGCCCATGCTGGTCTGACTTAGGTCAAGAGGTGACTGAGGAGAAAAATTTTCAGTGAATTATTACAATAACTTGGAATGAGTTACATATTACAATGCAATGAAGGGTTTTGATTCAAATTGAATGAAAGTGTGCATTCACTCTATGTCTGCATGCACAGATGTCCAATTTGGGGAAATCAAGTGACTGCCTTGATAAGTTGATATTTACTTGCCTTGGCAAGGACCCTAACATTTTGATTGCCTTTTTGGGCTGGTTATGTCAATGTGTAAGTTATATGATTTTTTCCCCATCAAATTTTCATGTCTGTGAAATGTGTTACTTGTCCCAATTTTAAGCTGAAGTTTCTTGCTCCAAACTGCTACTAAGATCTTGACAAAAGAGGTGAATTCCTTGATCAGTCATTTATGACTTGAGATCACCAGAAGGGAAACATTATCAACCAATTGTATTTGATTAAGCTTGGCTAAAATTTATGAACAATTATCATTGGGTTTTGAACCCCCCCCCCCCATCATCAAAGATGAGAATGAAGGTGTGTGAGAAATTTGAAACCAGATTCCGCAAAAAGTTTGAGATATTTTTGAGAAGACAAGGTTATAGTTGATCATGCTCCTTTGAAGTTCTATTGAGATTCTCCATCAGTCAAGTTGGGGAGGCTTCACAATTGAAGGGAATTGAGCAAATTAAAACACACTAAATTCAACATTGATTCACTTGACACTGATTGTACATAATAACATTCTCACTTCCTAGTAAAGACAAGTATACGCCCAGTCCTTTATTGGGACTCAAACTCATTGTGCTCACCACAAATACAAAGATAACAACAAATCTCAAGACATAAGTACAAATGTGCGCTCTAGTACCAAGAAGTCAGAAGTTTCCTGGGCAAGGCGTTCAGTGGTTGAAAAGTTTGACCCGCGGTTTGGATTCGGATGACAACTTTGACTTTGATTTGGAAGACTTCAGAGCTTTGTTATAAAATATTTTCTTTAGCCTGTTGAGTTCGAAGTTGATGATTTGGTTTTCGTCTTCCTCTTGAATCTTATATACCATCAGGGATTCATTTTTTTCCTTCTCCGCTTCTTCCTCTTCTTCCTGCAACCTTCCTCCCTTCTTTTTGTGCGTTTCTTCAGTCAGGGTGTTGTCTCTGCTCATCGCTGCTCCCGCGTCACGGCTTTTGACCTCAGTTGGACGATCATCACTCTTGAAGGTTGAAACCTGGTACTGCGATTTCATCGATTGGAAGTTCAAATTATTCGTTTTCCAATTCCCAGTCTCAAGAACACCCTGCTGCTTGCCATAGAGTCTGATCGGACTCAGGATCTGTTGAAGGTCTTTTGGAACATCTTCGGTGCCTTCTGTAAGAGTTTCAGATTGTTGCTCGAACTTCTTCCCGAATCCATCAAGTGATGAGCTGGAAGTATGCGTCAAATTTTTTGCGTTCCCGCTTGGACTCGGTGTGCATATATCATACGTTGACGGCCCGGCAATTTTGGAAGAAGGTCGAGCGTTTGTCACCTCCTTCAATGAAAAATTTAAAATGGCCTTGCTGCTTCCGGTTGGTTGCTGAGTATCTATGATGATAAAATCTTGGAAATCTCGATTCAATTCTTCAAATAAGATTCGACCGGATATCGGTTTACCATTTGAAGCGTTTTGGCGACCAGCATTGACCAGATTCATTGAAAACTTCGACGTTGGCAGATCAACGTCCTGCCCAATGATGCTTTTCCAATTTGACTGATTGGGGGAAGAATCAAAACCTTCATCAGTAGGAGAGCTACTCTGATCTCTCTGGTTAAGATCTTTTTTAAGCTTTCCGTTGAAGTCGCTGAGATTGAAGGGTTCTTTAGCAATTCTTTTGTTCGTAAGCCTTAGAAGTCCGTCAGCCATCAGTCTCGCCATGGATTTCCTATTCTTCAGCTGCGGTTCATAAAACGGATCGTTTGTTGCGTTTTCCTTCGGCTTGGTGGAGTGGCTGAGTTTTGGCAAGCGATGAAGCGACCCGTCCTCCAAGCTAAGGGGTTGAAATTCCAGAGGACTGTGGGTGTCCGTTTTAAAAACAAGCTTTTGGGAAAGACTTTGCACCGACAAGGGCCCAAATGTAGGGACAAAGGGCTCAAGCTGATTGGACGGAGTGAAAACATTTCCAAAGGGGGTTTTAGGTGTTGGACTAGGCTCATCGTCTGAGTCAGATGCAGGACTTGGGTGTTCATCACGACGAGAAGAGAAATTGTTTGAGCTGTCGGCAGAAAGGGATGTGTAGCATTCTTGAGGAGAAAGTAGAGACCCAAGTTTTGGTAGACGTGCACTAATGGAAGATGAATCTGTCGCAGCCAAGCAGGCGTCGGTATCCACATTGGAATTCTTGGAGATCTGAAAGGCAAGGCCAGAAGAGCGTTGGCTATGAGCCACATTGAAAGGCGTACTGTGTGCGTAGAGGCCGAGAAAATCGCGTATAACCGCGTGCTGAAGCGGGCATGATGAGCTCGGGAGTTCTCCGGAAGGTGAAAACTGTTAAATTTTTTCTATGGACTCTCTTCAAACTTGAGGTTTCTGTACGACTTTTTCGAAAGAGAAGATCTGGACCGAGTCTTTCGAACCACTGCCCTTGGGACTACGTTCAAGAAAGCTGTCAAACATGTTTCTAAGACAGTTTACAATAATAAACCATCGAGATTCAGTCAAGTCAGCTGAGTGCAACAGTAATATGTTTTTTAATAAGATTACTGTACAAAAATTAACCAACCATCAACCGAGTCGACGATTCCAAATGATCTGGACCGTCGTGGAAAATACTATCGTGTTCTACATGACGATATGGGCTGGGTTGAAGCTGAAAAGGCGTATTCTTTCCGGTGCACTGATTTGTACTCGCGTTCGCTCTTAACGGTTTCCCCAGTACCAATGGAGATGAGGTTCGAGACCTCGCAGGTTCTTTTTCATTTCCACCCATCACAATCCTGGGTATCATCGGTGTTGAGGCTTTCGAAGAGCCAGGGACCGCCATCTGCTTCGGAGAGGGAGTGCGTTGCACATTGCTGGGAAGGCACTGGGTAACATCAAAATTAATGGAACAATTACCATAACTTTTTTTTTCATAAAGAACAAGATTCTGCAAGACTTACGCTAAGATTGCGGGTAGCAGGGGGCAGAGGAAAGACACCTATCAATTCCGAATTGCGTTTGCGCGTGGTGCGTGATTTGCTCGAAAACAGAGGTCCGAAAAACTGGTCATCCCCGAAACTTTCGAAAGATTCGTCCGCTGCGTCTTGCAGCGAGGTCTCATCGAGAGAAGTGCCGTGTGGAGCGGCGCTTGCCGTAGAGTCATCACTGACAATGACATGGGCAGCATTGCCGTAATCATTATCGAAATTGTTCTTGCCAATAGTCAAGTGTGGGTTTTCGTGGCGAGGTGACACTTTCAGATCTCTGGACTTGATCATCAAGTCCTCTTCGTTAAACTTCTTTTGATAATCTTCGTATATCATCCTTGGTGTGACTTTCAATCCTTGCTGCAACTTTTTAAAGCTGGGTGTAGTGAATGTTTGACAGGGCGTAATGGAGTTATCATCCTCAAATCTTTCACAGCTTTTCAATGTTGGAGTGGTTAGGTCCTCAATATCGAAAGATTCTTGGTCATTGTAATCCAGGTTACCGATGGGGTATGGAGCTGTCAATTGGTTGCAGTCCGTATCACTGTGATCACTGGTCTGAGGAGATTGAGGAGAAATATTGTTTGAGGCATCGTCTGAATGTTGGTCGGCGACGAGAGTACTTCTACCATTTTCTGAAGAAACTAAAGCTTGTTGGTTCAGGAGGCTTAAGTTGAAAGGTTCGCTGTCATTTGAATTGAGTGGGTTATCGTCCTTAGATCGCTGAGTTGTCCATCTTCTTCGATGACTCCTTTTTTTGGTACTAGACGGGTGGGCCACAGAAGATACGATGACCGGAAAAGGTCCGCGAACCATTAACTCATTGTGAGCCACGTTTGATCTTGTGGGTCGCGTAGGGATATTGCGAGCTAAAGACGTTGGGATAGCCTCCACTGTTTCACACATAGAAGGAAAAAATACGAGAAAAAAAATTGTGATCAGAAGCAAGCTAGGCAACTCACAGATGAGTGTTAAGATTCCACCTACGTTGCCCTGTTTCGCGATGTGGGGTCTGAAGAGGGCGAATCGGCTCCAGAAGTCGACGGGAGATATGGCCAACAGAGATTTCGGGATTGGATGGCGACGAAAACAGCGTTGATTTGAACCTTAGTGGGTCTGAAGTCTTTTGCATACTATCGGCGTTGAGTGGGTCCAAGGCTGGGAGAAGAATGGATGGATTATCCGCTGTGGTTGACTGTGGGGTAGCCAGATTTGGATTGCTAAGCTGATAATGGATTGCTTTCTTTGCTGTCAGGAAAGCAGTCTTGATGGGATGGGAAGCAGAACGAGAGTGAATTGGGCGGGTGGCTATTGTGGAAGACTCTGAGGCTGACCCTTGCTGAGAATGTGAAGAAGGTGGGACGATTTGGTGTTCCATCGTTTTGAGTGAATTCAGTGGAAATTCCTTTGCACGGGCGAATGGAGTGTTTTGGTGTTATATATCAAGAAGAATACGATGACGAAGAAGTGTTGTGCCGGAGCTAACCACCTTTGATAGATAAACCCCGGAAAGGAAAGAACAAAAGAATTGGCTATGAGATTGGTATGAGAGATAGGTATAAGAAAAGCACTCGTTGTTCTGGCTGATCTTTTCAATTGATGACGGTGTTGACAGTGGCAGAGACTGCACTGATGAGAAACTAGACTGATGTAAGAGTAGAGAAGAATATATCAAGAAATGAGTACTTCCAAGGGAGTTACCGAACCGGACTGATTATATGTATTAAGGGTACTAAAGCTATTTGGAGATTTTGGATTGGTCGGAGAAAGGTATAACAGGGAAAACAAGAAAGCGTTGAGCTAGCCGTAGTAGCAGAAGGAGTAGGGGAAGGTGATGGATGAGGATCAATCAATCTCGAAGGATTCCAGAAGGTTGGGCAAAAGGCATATGAAACTAGCTTCGACTTGAGTGGATGGATAATGGGGTATAGTAAATTGTTTCTGGAGAGACTGGTCTGCCAATAGAGGTAAGTCTTTGAGCTTGTTGGAAAGAAGCTAATTCTCTGCCTGGGTTGAACACGGGAGATTTCGGCAGAAGAGCAAGTCGCTTATAAAGGGAGGGCAGTGAACAAATTCCGGTTACTCACTTTGATTGCCTAATTCTCTCTTTGTTCCTTGGCTGGGGAGGAAGAACTAGAAGAGAACAGTAATGGTTCCTGTTGATTCTACTAGTAGTTCCTAATTATAGGCCAAGGTAGACTTATGCTTAGATTTCTCCATCACGCCGCCTATGAATTCAATCGTGATGGAGAATAGATTGCATAGTTCCTTTGGTCATGCTACCGTAGCTATCTGAACTGGTTTCAGGAACACCAAGTCAACACGAAGGGCCGTCCAGCGGCAGGTGTCTATACCCCAGTCAAAGAGTATTGATAAAGCGCAGTCTAGAAGCGGTTACTGATATGACTCCACAGAAAACACCATCAGCCAGAGTGAAAATGAGTTTGTTCGTTTGATGTCCATCGAGGTCATATGAAATATGAATGTTTGATGGTATCATGAAGGGAGGTGATACAATGGATCCAGGCTGATCTTCGACTGGACTCCAGTCCATGGATCAGCCTACATAATTCGGAGGAGTCTTCTACTAAGACCAAATGGCACTCAAACACACCTGATTCAATTGCAAATCGACTTCAACCTGGCCAGCAAATTATGCGGTGTGGGGGTCGGGCCGTTAGTGCCCTTGTGCATGAAGGCCAGAGAGCCACAAGTCCTTGTTCAGCTTGAAACTGTCACTTGCTCGACCCGTAAGACTTTTATCAATTATGCCATTGACTCTGGTTTGTTAGAGTAGAAGGATATTTACATCATCTGGCATCTTGTTGCGTGATTTTGACTGTGCCGTTTCTGGAGGGCTTTTCATGGATCCACGAAGAGTTTCCAATTGACCATCCAGGTCGGCTGGTTGAAATGAGCGACGACTACGAGATAATGGTTGAGGAGAAAGTGCTCCCCTCCATAGACAGAGTCAGAGGAGCATTTGCAGCCTTTGCTTGTTAGGGCGGCAACTTGCCATCACCAAAACTCCGAATCGCGTACGCAAGTCAGCAGAATCCACCTGGAATTATTTTCACTCGGTGCAGGGTCCGTCATGCATCGTGACCACAAAACTCCAAATGGCAATGTGCCGGAAAAGAGGGCATGATTTAGCTACGTGCTGACAAGGTTGGAATGACATTGGCCATGGAAGCTTTGGGTTATCACATAAACTGTGTGAGTATTGAGGTTTAAAATTGGAAGTAATCCGTTTGACAACGATTACTAATTTGTTCCAACCTTTTTCAGTTGATCACTTGACAACATGAATACCATCGCTTAGAGCAAGGGCACAGTTGACTTTGCAAGAAGTTATTTCCTATCCAATTGCGAGTTCGAAAAACCAGATGTTAGGTATTGTGAAACAACCAAATTAATATCCAAGATTCCGCCTTTATAAAAATTAATTACAATATTACTTGCTGAGTGAAAGAACAAATATCGCCATTGCGAAACGTTCCGAAAGGTCGATGATACTATGATTAGAAGAAAAAAACGACGGAAAATGGGTGGAGGGGAAAAATTTATTTTGTTTACAACTATTCAATCAACTTCTAAGGTGTCTACAATCACTACAGGTATTCTATATTTTATTATTCAGGTGCTTTCGTCTGGTAAACTTCAACACCTGTGGGCACGGCCGACGAGGCTTCTGTCTTCCACCCGAGTTTTCTTTCCATGGCCTCATCCTGGTTGAGCAAAGCAAAAGAAAAAACGCGTGTTAGTTTATTGTCAAGGGCAACAATTGTTATGTTTCCATGATGAATGCATACACTTCTGTCCAGGAGAGCATCCAGTTGATCGTCACCCAAGATCTGATCGCCTTGCTCAATGAGTGTGATTCTTTCACCATCGGTCTTCAAAAGAGCTTCGGCCAATTCCTTCATAGTCTTCTGTTTCCTGCGGTTGCTCTGTTTGCCGAGCAAGATATTTTGGATGTCGTCGTCCGAATTAGCATCGTCGTCCTCAGCCTTCTGGGTCAGATCGAAACCGTTGCCGATCACCAGCGTCTCGAGTTTGCGCTTCTGGCCAGCTTTCTCCAACATCTTCGATTCGATCGTGTTTCCGCTCACAAATCTGAAGACCAGTACCGGCTTCGTTTGGCCGATACGATGGACGCGGTCTTGTGCTTGGAGGTCTTGCTGCGGGTTCCAGTCTGAATCAAATAGAATGACCGTGTCCGCCGCTACCAAATTGATACCGACCCCACCGGCACGAGTGGAAAGCAAGAACAGACGACAGGCTAGAAAATGAGATTGAATAAAACCACGATGGTGGCTTTGTCAATGATTTGTCTTCCTCTTAACAAGCAGAGATATTGTCGCAATGACTGACCATCAGGGCCCTCCCCTTCGTTAAACTCTTTCATCTGTTCTCGACGTGATTCCTGGCGAGTGACCCCATCGATGCGAGACACCCTCCAGCCTTTCAATTCAGTCGCCCAATCCTGAATTATATCTAACATGCTGGTGACTAATAAAATGTGAGGAACAGCTTAGTCGGCGATGTGAATAATGATAGTAGAGACATAAGAAGAAGGCTATCCCTACATTGAGAGAATACGAGCACTTTGTGACCACGATCGAATAATCCTTTCAAGAGTCTATCCAGTAGAAGCATTTTGCCTGAAGCAGAAACTAGGCCCTCCCCGACGAGTTGTTCGCCGGTCTTAGGATCGATTGGCCAATCAAACAGCCAAGGGTGGTTGCACACTTTCCGCAACTGCATCACCATGTTGAGGAGCTTCATTTGGTTGACACTTTTTTGGGCCAGCAGGCCGACCTGTTCTTCCTGCGTGATATTCTCGGCCCCGTCCGCTTTCGACTTGGGCCGACTCTCATCCCAGGTGTAGTCAATCTCGTCACACTCTCCAGCCTCGACTTCCTTGAAGAACTGACTATCTGACTTCTCCGTGTATCCGACTGACTTCCGAGTGGCTGCTGCCCGGCGCGCAAGCTTCCGAACTTTTGGGCCCTTGGCCAAGTTGGCAATGGGAGTATCCTCCTCTGACGGGCAGTCATCCGCAAGGGTCTCGACTGTTCTACTTCTTTTGACTTTTTGGACTTCGGTATCATTTTCTAGTTCGGGCGAAGACGTTCGAGATCTCTTCTTCCGAAGTTCCGGGTCTGGGAGGTTCTCTGCCTTGTTCAACAACCCAGCCTGGGTCTTTTGGTGTACAAGGTAAGTCCTAAGATCCCGATTGATGACCGCATCATACAGTTCCTTCTGTTGAGCCGTAAGAGGTGCAGTTAACAAATACCTATGAAACGGAAGATAAGGTTCGTTTTGTCAACTTCCATATCATGATCTAGTTGAGCAAGGACAATTTACTCTTTCTTCTTTGGCAGGTTTGTTTCTACTTCGCTCTTCACCCTTCGAAGTAAAAAGGGTTTCAGAATGGCGTGCAGGCTGGTCACGATGTGTTGGGCTTGGGCTGTTGACAATGCAGCAGCAGAGTCTGAAGCGGCAGTGACTGATGATAAATCAAACCACTGTTCGAAAGACGAATAATCGTCGAAAACTTCGGGTAAAATGCTTATGAATCAAGAAGTTCATTGATCAGAGAATGTCTCGGCGGTACAGCTCTAGAAAATCGAGGTCAACTCACAAGTTCAACAAAGACCACAATTCTTTGAGATTGTTGTGTAGTGGAGTTCCCTACAGAGCGATCAACGAGATTGATTGTTAGAGGATGTAACACGGACAGTAGACATAGACAAAAACAAAACAAAATTACTGTGAGAAGCAAACGGTTGGCACTTTGATACGACTTGAGCTCTTGGACCAGCTTGCATTCCAAATTTTTGAGTCGATGTGATTCATCGACAACGATGTAGGACCAGGCATATTGTCTGAGAAATTGACAGTCATTCATCACGATTTCATACGACGTAACGACGATGGGAAACGTGTCTTTGGTATTATGATTAGTCCACTTTGTCGTGGCCGCACGTCCACCACGCTTATCCTTGGAGCTTGGGCGCCTAGAAGAGCCAGCAGCTTTTCCCAACCAGGCTTTGGGATCATCCCGAGGAGGCGCCATGCGGCTGGAGCGTAATTCTTCCCGCTCGGCTTTGGTGCCATGATAGAGGACGACAGGGACGGTAGGACAGAATCGCTCGAACTCATTCACCCAGTTTGCGACGGTGCTAAGTGGACAGACAATCAGGAAAGGGCCCCACACGCCCCGCTCGCGCAGGTAACATAGGAATGCAATCGTCTGCAAGGTTTTGCCGAGGCCCATCTCATCAGCAAGGATGCCATTCAACCCGTTTTCGTAGAGCGTCGCCAGCCAATGCATCCCAGCTAGCTGATATGATCGTAACGTAGCACCAGTAATTAGCGCAGGTTGGCCGGATTGAGGGTCATGTTTTTCAGTTGGGATGGTCGCCTCTGAATTGTCAGGTTCGACATTTTCCAGAAGTTTCACGATCTCGGCTTCAGTATCGTCTTCATTCTCATCGGCGATCACTTGTTTTTTGCGACGCGATTGTGTTCCAGAAGACTTGGCCTTCGTCGGGTGGTTTGGTTTGGGTGCTGGACAGTCAGCTTTTGTCCTGCGTGAAGAGCGGCGCTCGGCAGTCTTTTGATCGGGAGAGGAGCCTTGCTTGGTTTGAGTCGGGTCGGGCTTTTTTGATTCCAGGTCTTGCTTTTTCGATTCGGACTCTTGTTTTTTCAAATGATCAGCTTGTTTCTTCAAGGCTGCAGCACGGGAGGCGCGTTCGCGCTCGATCTGGAGGTGGCCGAAGATGGTGGTCGCGTGAGTTTCGGGTTCAAGTTACATATTTATTTACGTTCAAGAAAGCAGAAACTACCAAGTCATCCAGCTTACGTTGTCAGCAATGATCTTACTGTAGACGCCACTCGCCTTGAGAAGATAATTGAGTCGCGCTAGCTTCTCGCGAGACTCGGGTTTCTCGTTTCCTTCCAAGGTAATTTCTTGAAACGGCGGGGCGGCAGGGTCTTTTGTCTGAGTATCTGAACAGTCATTAGATTCAGCCATCCATCTAAAATGCATCAGTGGACGCGAAGAATGTGCAGAGCTTACCAGTTTGCATTGTAGGAGTTCCCTCGACTGATGTGGTTTGGGTTGGAAGTCCGGAATCAAGGGTAGAGGATTCGATGGATGGGGTGGCCATGGTGCATGGACAGAGATCGCCAGGGAGTGTGACGGAGTCGGGGTTTATCTGAAGGTGGTCGGAGTAGTCGAAGTGGATAGTTGTGAGTCCGCTTTTAGGAAGTGGGCATCCGGAACAAGCAAACTTGAAAATTGAATTATTATACTCTCAGACGCGCACCGTGACTGTGGGAGAGTCTGAGCTGGAGTCGCGCCCAATGAGCAGCTTGAGCTTCATGACTTTGTTCAAGAAAACACCACTTGGGTCTACTCTCCTCACCCCCCTCCCTTGTCTGCATACATACCTGTCACTCCTGCCTTCACCAGTCAGCGAGTTGTTAAGAAATGTATGTAAATATATGCCCAATCGCCCATTTCTTTTCCTTTGCCCAAATTTCTTCCAACTATCCCTCCTTGCATCCGAAAATGCCTTTGCAGAGGCAAGGGCAGAGCCGCCGCAGGACGCCTTCTCATGACATCGAAGGCATGTTGTCTCAGTTGGAACTCAGCAACTGTTGGCATTTTTATCACCGGTTTCTGCAACAAAGCCAGCATGTTTGAAACAAATATGTATGACAGTACATTCTACACGGCAGTAGTATGTAGAGTTTTCCTAAGCAGAGAGGTGATCTGACAAAACAAAAATTTGCTCCATTTCAGGAGGTTGTCTACCGATCAGGGCAAAACCCTTTTCATGGCGTCTTTTTGATGGAGAAAAACAGGAAATTCATTCAACGTGTGGGCAAATATGAAGGTCTTGGGCTCATGGTTTCTGTTATGGATGTTTCAAGAGACCTTGATTTATGTATCACCCTCAAGATCTTGCTAAGCTTCAAAGATACAAAAAATAGAAGATTACCAGGAAATCATGGAACTACAGAGATCCAAGAAAGAAAATCTAGCAAATGATTTATTTTCGATCAAAGGCTCATTTACCCTTCTAATTTATTGACCCACCCATCTCATCGCCTTACAAGTCAGAGAAGCCTGTAAATTTAGGGCCTAACCACTTTCAAGATTGGATTTTTTTTCATTAATTAGGGATTTCAATAGAACCTATGGAGTAGAAGAATACGAAAAAAGTTGACAATTCTACAGCGATTGAAGTCAACTTGATATTATGCCTGTGAATCTATAGCCGCGAATATACGAATGAAGTGAATCCCAATTGTATCTACATACTTAGCACACTTGACGTTTTTGATGGATGGGCCGTTTTGCTTTACTTTGCAAAGTGCTGGAAAATTTCACCGAACGGAAATTCAAACAAGGAGTGTAGGGATGGATGTATGACCGGAAGAAGATCGAAGCCAAGAACAAAAATCATGCAAGAATAGATAGACCGGAGAATCAGTGTCACAAGATCATGCTGATAATAATATTATATGCAATGAATAAAAAGAAAACCCCGGAAAAAAATGACTGACCAAAGTCCAAGTAGATAAAAGACGTCTACGGTTGACTTGACTGGGATCCAAGCCAGGGGTCCCATACGTCAATGGGGCGATGAAGCTAAAGCCGAGATACAAAATCACAATCGAGATGCCGACGAGGAGTATGGTTTCCTTTGGTGATTCGGTGACGACCATCCTCGGCCTGCGTCTGGTTGTTGGGCCAAGAATTGAGACGGGATGGTTGATCGACTGCAAGACGCAGGTTTTTTTTTTTTTTTTTTTTTTTTTTTTTTTTTTTTTCATTGGTCTCAGTTCATTCATACTGAGTGCTTAAAATCATTCAAGTAGTGATGGTTGTTAAAATCCTGACCTCTGTCACCACAAAGTTAGTAACCACGCCAGCCACCAAGGCTGAGAATAGATGAGCCGGTAGGTAGTGATGTAAAAAGGTCTGCCGATTCATTAAGAAGAACGGAAAGTAGTGATTTGCCCAAGCTATAATGAAGAATCCTCCCGATCGATAGAGACGATTCCTGACAGCTGAAATACGAATATGACAGTGAGTCAGGATCTCAGTTTCGACAGCAAACGAAGAAGGCCGAATCAATCAAAGAAGAGTCAAGTATTGCGCACGAGTTTCAATAGGGGAATAACCTCTTCGTCTCGCAAACTGATCGGCCCCAAAGACCCCAGCAATGACCGAGAGAGACATTACACAAAACCACCAGCCAGCTGGATTGCCAATCATGTATACTTGACGTCTGAGATCAGGAGTACTTGTCCAAAAGCTGACACCAGTCAACAGAAATGGCCAGTTGATGGGAGGTGAAGCATATGGATGCGAATCGGTTAGGTCCGAATTGTGTTGGAACATAGCCACCTGCAGTTCAAAGTATTTTTTGAAAAATGATCGACTATGAACTGATTTGGGTTTCGGAGGTGGAGGTCTGGAGGCATGGTTCGTAGTATCTGTGTGAAATCCACAACGGCTTTTGATTATCAAACGAGTCCAAGGAGAATCAAGCGATGACCCGGCATATAAAAAGAGTGACAATTGACCAAGCCAACTGTGTGAAAAACTTACTGTCTCGAACGATATCAGAAGCAACCCAGAAGAGAGTCTTGTCATGATACATCTTATGACCATTCACCTCTTGCTGACCGAATCCCCAACCTGGTAAAGCAGGAAGGTTTCTCGTCCACATTGCGGCTCTGGTGACGTGATGAACGAGTTGAAAGTGGCTAGCCTTAGTCTTCCACTGCTGTCCTGCATGAGCGTCGTCGATCGCCACCTCCCACAACGTCCCATTATAAGCTTCATCAGTTTGAGCGACATCTGGCCAGGTTGTAAATTCTTGATGGGTCGGCATCGAGGGAGAGGCCACGTCATGTGTATATAGGTAACTGTCGGTAAGTCTATGTTTGAGCCTGATCACATCATTGTGTCTCACGATTTGACCTCGACCGGAATCTGGAATTGGTCTGGTTGCCTCAACTAGCCAGTGGTTGTTGGTGTCATTATGAGGATAGCAAGTCACCTGTTGGCCTTGCGAGCTAACTCGACCGTCTTCGTATTTGAGTGGATATCGATGCAAGTGAGAATGTAAGAAGCACTTTGTTGCTCGGTGTTGTATAAGCAATGTGTCATTATACCGAATTTCTATATCAAGTCGAGCAAATTGTGATGACGTGAGAACATGCCCACGCAGAGTGTAGAAACCTTCAGTGATCGATCCAATCAGCTTAGGAACTCTCTGATTTCTGCTTACCTTCTGCCGATAAGGTCAATGGACTATCGATCAGGGTTTGCTGGAAGGCTGCGCTCATGAACTCGTCTCCAGTTCCGGAATGGGTCAAAACCGAAAAATGTACCCAAAACCAAAATAGATAAACACAGAATGGAACAAATATCAAACATGTAACTCGTGCCATCACATGTCGCCCAATGTGATCCTAAGAAGAAAAAAAATGAAAACAGAAAGGACATCCGAAGCAAATTAGCGTATTGCATCCTTAATCAATTGTCACATTGTCCAACATGGCCGAGCGGCGTCAGAAGAATGAATATGAATTGAGGCTTGTACCAATGGATGACCCCGGCGGATATCCAACATATCCCACAGGTCTAAAGCTACTGCAGATCCAATAGTAAAGTACGTGAACAATCCAACGAATTTACAACTGATCGTCAAGCTCAAAGCCAATCCAGTTAGAGTGAGCCAGGTCCACCAAGGTCTACTGAATCCGTTGTAGCGTAATTTGTAAAATTTGATGTACGCAAACATGGAGCACGAAGCGAAGAGGATCAAGGGGGCATCCAACAGAATCAATCGCGTGTGTACAATATGACCGTTGTCTAGAAAGAAGAAACGAGACGTTTCAATTGGTTATCATGTTTTTTTTTTTTGGTTCTGCTTTCAAAGAGTGAAATGAAGAGAGGCTGAAAACTAACCAAAGACAATCAAACACGCCGAGATCGTGCTAGCGAAGGCTGGATAGCCACTTTCTTTCATGATGGCATAGACTAGCATCGGCGTCAGTGAGCCGAGAATAGCCGAAAATGATCGCAGCCCAACGTAAGGCACACTGCTCCCAATGTAGCTATCAGCGATGTTTTCAAAAGCGAAATCGCCCTTATAACCTATTAGCCAAGCGTGTGCTGCCAACATGAGTTTTGCTAGAGGTGGATGGACGTCAAAGAAGTATTCCCGCTTGAGATAAAATGAGAGAAATTTGCCGAAATGCACTTCATCAAACCTGGTGAACAAAAGTAGTCAAAGAAAAGAGATCAACTCTGCAGCCGAAAATCAATTTGATTTACTAATTTCTTCGTGAAATTTTCCTTGTCTCCTAAATTAGTTTTTTTTATGATCGAAATTTAGTAGCTTACGCGATTCCGGGTGGGTCAGCGATATTTTTAAACCGCAGCAAAGCCGCCAATAAGCCGATGATGAGTAATAGCAGGAAATCCTTTCTCCGATACGCGCAAAGATCGTTAGACCTATTCAGATCATGAGCCGAGTCATCCGTCCGAGGCTGTGAGAAACATGCAATCAAGTATTATCAGTTTTTTGCATTTTTCCAAGGGAGAAAAGTAGTGAGGGAGGAAGGAAGGAAGATATGAAAAGTAATGACTAGCCTTATTATCGCCGAAGTGGTAATCTGAGCTTCTCTTGTCGTCAGATTCATCATCGTCCTGGTAGACGCGATCATCATAATTCTCAGTCAAGGCTGATCGAGAATAGGTGTTCGTTCTGTCTGAATGCCGGAGGCCAATACTGAGACCCACTTTGTCGTCGCCATGGTCTTGCTTTCTCGATGACCTGGTAATGTTACTAGAACTATCTCGAGTTTGATATGGAGTTCTTCGAGTGGGTAGCCGTTCCTGAGACGACCTCATCGTTCGCGTTTGGCGGGAGTGGCCTCGTTTGAAACTCGTACTTAGATAAAGTCGTTGTGCTTGATGTTCTTTTCTATGTACAAAGCGTCATCATCCTTGCTATGAGATATCTTGAATTGGAAGTTGGTTGCTATGAAGGGGTGGCTGGATGGTGTGGACGTGCCTGTAAGAAATATGTATGTGTAATACCCCCCGGTCGGCTCGGGGGCTCGGCTGCCTCCGCAAATGACGTCACACTCCGCCTCAGTTTCAAGGTCGGGTGTAATTTGGCAGACAGCCCCGACCCCGCCCTTCTACTCGACTTGACTTTCAAAGGAAGTCATCCAACAACCAATTAAAAGCCAAGCCATGCCCAGGGACGAGAAGGATCTGACTGTGAGTACTACTTCTGAATATTGTCTTGCATCATCCATAGTGTTCTCTGCTCATCTCAAACTTGAATGGGTGTCTTCTTCAGGGTATTCTCAACGATGTGTTGGCGCATGATTACCAGGCTAGGCTCAAGGCCTTGCGTGAACTCAAAAGCCTGCTGGGGAGGCCCTTCAACCTCGTAAGTATCGTACCTCTCAAGCTTGACATTCAGACCATGAGCATAGCAGGTGGCTGATCGTTATGCATGTACGCTGAATTTCTTCTGGTCTCAGGACGATTTTCCCGATACTGCCCGCGTGAGCCTGGCCAAATCAATCTTGGCGTTTCCAGTCACTGCAAAGCTTGCATCCCAAGTTCTCCTACAGATCGTCAGCAATTCGTCTCCGAGAATCTTGAGTCGACAATCCCAGGCCATCATTCAGCCAATAATTTTGGCGTTTTCCTCTGCTACTCAACATCTAAACTCAATAATTCCCAGCAAGGATCAATTGGTCAAAATAATTTACATGATCCGAATTTTAACAACCATGATCGCCAAAGCAGGATCTTGCGCCCTCATCAATCTATCTGATCAAATTGCTTGTATTCAACGTTGCTACCAACCAATCACACCCCCGCAGCCATTCCATCCCCCAGAGCGAATTGTTTTGGGCTCACAGGCTCATCAAAAGGCCGCCTCTCCAGCTCCTAGAATATATGCCCAATCTTCAGACTCGGAAACCAATTCAGAAGGAGAGAGCACTCGTATCGCAAGCACCAATGCACAGGCTGTTCAGTGCCGCCTCGACGCCCTAACTTGTCTTCGAACAATGGCCCAATCAGATCCAAAAGCTTTACATCCTTTCTGGCCCGATTTGCTCCCCGCTCATGAATATAGAACTCAACAGCCTTATACCCTCCTCAATGTAATTGAACGTGACTGCCAGCTCATGGTTCGCCTGAGGGCATGCAGTGTTATGAAAATAATGTTACAGGGCGCAGGGGCCTATATGGCTATCGCCGAGGAGAAGTTGAGCTGTTGATGATTTTCATCCAGTCGCTGGTTTCTAGGCGCAGTATCGGCAGGTGCAGGATAGCTGACCTTGAACCAATCTCAATCTAGTAACCGGAGGGTTTCCTACATTTCACTATCCGCCAAACTTGCGTCGATCACCATAGAACTTCATCGCCGATTGGGCAATCTTCTGAAGGCGCCAGTAGTTGCGCCTGAGCTGACTAGAGAAGTCTTGGAAGTGAGTGCACAGTCTTCAAATTTTCTGCTGGCTCGCCGTGAAAATCTGATATCTCTATCTCTTGACCAGGTCTGCGAGGCTTTGACTGTTGTTTCTGCCTATCACCGTATCTCTACTCCCATCCTAGACCCTCTCTTAAAGCCAATGATCGGTCTACTCACATCAATTGGTGAGTCAATAATGTTCCAGTTTATGGAAGCCAACAGTCTAATAAGTTTCAGTCGCAAAAAAAAAAAAAACTTGCACTAGATTCCGAGATCTCCATTCAGTCAAGGAAGACATTGACTTCCATACTTAAACACTTCTCATCAATTTCCAAGTCAACGTCACTAGACATCAAACCTCTCGTCGAAGAAATCGCAATGATTGGATGCGACTGTCTGCTTTCAGAGCCAAGCAAAATCTCCGCTTTGCTATGGAACGATCTACTCAAGACTGCCTTGCCTTTCCTGGATTGGAATGAAGCACTGGTCAAAAAAGTGTGAGCATTTTGGGCCCTCGGGTATTTAATGTTGCCAACCTGAACAACCCTGACGATTCATTTCTGTTTTAGCCTGAATCTCCAGAGTCTCTTTGAGGTGATCACAGACGATGAAGAGGAACTGAGAAGCAAACTGAATCTTATCGGCTCGCTGACCGTGCTCTTCCCTGGAGTGCAGTTCGACGCCATCTACCTCAGTTGGGTAAGGGCTCGGCTTCGCGAGGTTGGCCTTGATTCACTGGATATGGTCGTCAATAGTAAATCGGAAAGAGTCTTGAGCTATCTTTCCGGTAACATTATCTGGGACTTGCAAGCTGTCTGTGATGATGTTCGCGCAATACGACTATTAGGAATCATTATTTCTAAAAGGTTTATCATTCAACCATTGGTGCGAACTTTCGGTGTCTCTCAGTCTTTTCCCTAAAATTTTCACTCTTCGCATTATTGCACTCAATCAACAATGGCCGAAATGATTTTTTTAGGAATTAGTTACCAAGGTCATATTCTACTTGTTGGATTATATCGACAACAATGTCCCGATGGATGATCCAGACGAGAAGGGCGTGTCAACTCGCACTTGGACGTTGGCCAACTGCTTGGATGCAATTGATGATCTTGCAAATCGGTAAGTGATCCTTCCGGCCGTGATCCCCCACATGGAGGAATAACCCTTTCATTCATTTTCCAACATACATTCTGTAACGTCAAGTCAAGCATTGGATGCACCATTTGACCTAGGCTTCTGGACGCAGATTCTTGATGTAACACATCGTCTGCTCTTTCGAGGGGGAAACCGTTCGAATCCGGTAAGGATAATCATTTCCTTGATGCAGAATTATGATCATTTAGCTAACCACTTAGCAGCTTAAAACAAACTGCGTTAGGATGATTGGGGTAGCGCTTTGTAAATTGCCAATCAGGGAACCCCTATCTGCCGAGCTAGGAGACGTGGTAGACAAAGCTTTGGACACAGCTTTTGACTGTCTGGGTGACACACTTGCCAAGGTACGTCAATGTTGGGTATCCTCAAATCTGCCTCTCTCTCTCTTTTCTTTTCTTGTTAAGATAACGATGGCGGTTTGTCTAGGTTCAATGGAACGCTGCCAGTGCCCTGAGACAAATCCTACTGGTGCTCATCGATGATGATCTGGCAGACCCAGATGGTCAGGTTTCAGAGTTGAAGAACCGTGTGTGCGAGAGGTTGAGTGGTACTTTGGAAAGCAGTAGTTCATTCAAAGTTCGGATTCAAGTCTGTTTGGGATTGCAAGTGGCTCGAGCTGGATTATCTGGTGGGTCGAATTCAGATCAAGATACCTCCCTGGATTGATTTCAACTGCTTAGCGGAAGTTTCTTTCTTCTCATTTGGATATGGATAGCTCAGATCTTAAGATCGATCACCACAACTAAAGAGAAACTGGATGATGAATTCGAAAGGAGACAAATCCCTAATAAGGAGATTGAGCATGCCGAACGGTTACGACTTGAAGTGAGTAATCTATCTGTTCTCTTTAATTGATTGGTCTTTATAATTCGGGGCTAAAAAATGATCATGGGGACTTCATTTCCATAAGCTTGACAAGTTGCTCGTGGACGATAGTCTGGAGACACCGGGATGAAGTTTTGACCTGCGACTCGATCGATCTTTCTAGAATAGCAATTAGAATGAACAAAACAGATCAGGAATTCGATTCCAATTCTTCAAAGGTTCTGGTGGTCTACATAAATGCGATCCTAATGAAAGCTCATTAGACCTTCACATGCGAGTTGATCGAATGAGATTTTCTGGGATTAAGTTAGATAGAAGATGGATGCTCGTATCAGTTGGAGGATTGAAGGGTCAATGCCATCCAAACTAATTGCCATAATACACACGCAGGGCACTTCACAAAAATCAGTGCATCCCAGGGATGCCATTGCACCTGAGATGTCCCTGGGACAGGATGCCGTCCCCAGGACGTCACACTTCACAAAAATCAGCGCGGCCCAGGGATGTGTAGCCGTGCTACAGTGTTTCTGTCAAAAGATGACAGGACAAGCCCCTGGCGTACGCCAGGCACTTGTCAGGAGTTGTACAGTTACCGGCTAGCGCCGGAGTTAGGAGCCGAACTCCGTTCGATTCCTATTCCGTTGTTTTCCCCGCCGAATGAACTATTATTCATTCTGGCGTCATATTTCATATTTTTGCTACTTCTTGTTCTTTTCTGTTCTAGAGTCTTTCTGCTCGGACAAGCATAAATACTTGTCCTAGGTTGTAGGGGCTCTCCCCAGTCATTCAGACATCTTCTTTCTAGTTTCTGAAATCCATCTTTGATTTCACTTACATCCTTTCGTCGCGCATCCTCATAAAAGTCAGGCTCCTCATAGTCTGTAGCCGCCCTGTTACAGTGGTAGCGAGTTTAGTTCCTATTCGACTTCAATAAACCCTCAGCGAAAAATCGTACAAACCCTTTTTACCTACTTGCTTCCTTAACACAACCTTCATCGCAACCTCATACCGGAATTTTCGTTCTGTACTTTCGACTTGCGACTTTCTGCGAAAGGGTGTCACTCGCATATTCGTTAGTCCTTTGTTCCTTTTCTGGGTTGACGATAGACGCTGTGTTAGCAGTAGTCGTCGATTTTTCTGCTGGGGTTCTTTCTCTGTGTGTTCTGCTGAAGACCATAGAGAAGCCTCTGGGCTGGAGTCTGGCTCGAGCGCAGTGCTCGGAGTAGAGGGAGTTGGAAGATACCATTTGCTTACTTTTGGTTCTTTCTTTTTTTTGCGCCGTCGTGCTTTAGATTATGAGCAACGACAAAGAAGAAAAGAAGTCCCTTTATCCTTCGTTGCCCCCTGTGGGCTGGACGGCCGGGAATCCTACCGGGAATCCCACTCCTACCGGTGCCAGTGCAACCGATCCGTTGGCGCCGCCGCCTCCCGCGAATGGGAAAAAGTACACGAAGGAGGATATCGTGGGGATGACCCCTGAACAACGTCAGTGGCTGCATGGTCATCAGGATCTTATTGACTGGAAGACAGTCGATCTGATTGGTGATGGAGATGATTCTGTAGGTTCATCTCTGCTCGAAGCCACGGGTATTGTCAGCGACCTGACGAAAAGTCTTCATCAGATGCTCATCGACCCGAAGGACCCTAAAACCGGAGGGACGGCCACGGGTGAAACTGCGGCAGGAGCGAGTTCGTCGGGTTCGAGTGAAGAGGATTTCAAGTCTTCCTATTTGCGGACCGATTCCGTAGCGTTGGATCTCCATAAGGAGACCGACATCAGTAAAATCCTTAAGGGGTGGCCCGAAAAGGATTGCCCTAAGTTTACGGGTGCCGTCGGTGAGGACGCCAATGATTGGTTAGTCACGATGGGAGTTCTCTTAGGAGATAGGCAGGCTCACCCGGCGTTGTGGCACGTTGCTGCGGGCCAGCGCTTGAGCGGGAAAACGTTCCGCGATCATAAAGATGCGGCGTTGGCTGGTACTCGACCGACGGACTGGAAGTCGTTCCGCTCGTGGCTCGTCAAGTTGTCACCATTAGGGGTTACCCCTCAGTCGATCGCAGACGAGCTCGAGCGCTTGAAGCAGGGCCCGAACGAGACGTTCCAGGGGTTCTACGAGCGTTTCCGGGATTGGCAAACGAAGGCCAAATCCATCAACTTCGGTCACGACGAACGCACCTGTTTCGTCAAACGCCTCACGCCCGGGTTGAGTAATAAAGTCCAGGGGTTGATGTCGCAGGAGCAGATCCGCAACACGCCGATGACTATGGATCAAGTGCTTGCGACCGCCATGCAGCACGATTATTTGTTCCGTCAAAGCAAAGCGGCCGCGTCAACCTCCGGTGGTTCTGGATCCGGTAAACGCCGATTGGAATCAAGTTCGGGAGGGACCGAAAAGAAGAAGACGGGTCCGCGTACCTGTCACAATTGCAAAAAGGAAGGGCACATCGCGTTGAAGTGTCCCGAACCAAAAACGGACCAGCAAAAGGCGTGGGAAGCTAAAAACGCCGAGAAAAAAAAAGAATAGTCGGTGTGGAACCGTCTCTCCCACCGACATTAGTTGTATCTCCTGTTTCTCTTAGCAATTTAAATTCTATTGATCGGGACTTACAAGAGCCTCATTGTGAGCAGAGCCACCGTGAGTTTAGTACAGCTGTTGAGTTTGTTGATCACCCAGGCATGGGGACAACCGTGTCGGAAGTTGCGCCTGAAGTCGCCACCGACATCGTAAGTGATTGTTTGTGTGTGGAAGGTTGCCACGCAGCAGAGGTTGTGGGCGACGAGCCTAGCAGAGTGAGAGCTGAGTTCCACCACAGGATTGAGGGCCGTTTGGCCAGGGTCCTCATTGACACTGGCGCGGGGTCGTCGTATGTGTCTCGTGATTTTTGTTCTGATCGGGCGTTGCTGAGCTATCGTTCTTCTTCTTCTTTTAAGGTTACCGGAGCTTTTGGGGAGCAGATATCGGATGATCGCATGGTTAACGTTCACTTCGTTCTTGAGGGGGTCGAGTTTGTCGTGACTTGTAGGTTGGCGCCGTTAGCGAGTTATGATGTCATTCTCGGGCGCGATTGGATCTCCTCTAGTGTTGTTTCGACGGACTGGGATGGTAACGTGTGGTACCTGAAGTCAGGGCATGGTGAAGTCGTCCCCTTTCGTCTGTTGTCATCATCGTCGTGTAGTATTCTGACTCACGAGCTGTCTGCGATGACCGATGATGAGGAAGTGTTGCTTCCGAGGAACATCCGCCGCCACGAGTTCTATGAAGGCGCGAGGGATTTGTTCATCTGCCTGATGGAGTCGGAAGGGATCAAAGGACCTAGGGACGAAATACCCGTGGGCCTACCTACGGTGTTCGGCCCGGATGCCTCCCTTCGCCAATCGTTGCAGTCGCTTGTGACTCGCTTCGGAGATTTATTTGGACCCATAGCTGGGGTCTCGGAGAAACCTAGGATGATTGAACACCTAGTCAACACGGGAGATGCGACCCCGGTCCATCAACCTGTGAGACAGCTGTCGCCCGCTCTGTTGGGGACGCTAAAAGAAAGACTTGCGGGGTTGCAGGAGGCAGGGTTTATCCGGCCGTCGACATCGGCATGGTCCTCCCCTATAGTCATGGTGAAACACCCGTCGTCAGGCAAGGTTCGGCTATGTGTAGATTATCGTAAAGTGAATGCACTTACGAAGAAGGATCGGCACCCGTTGCCGATCATTCAGGAATGTTTTGATGCGTTGAGAGGTGCTCGTTTCTTTTCGAAAATTGACCTCCAGCAAGGCTTTCACCAGATGAAGATAGCTGAGTCGGACATTCCTAAGACGGCTTTTGGCACTAAGTATGGCCATTTTGAGTGGTTAGTAATGCCCTTTGGGTTAGTTAACGCTCCTAGTACGTTTCAGAGGATGATGACTCACATCCTTAGGGACTTCATCGATGTATTCGTCCAGGTTTACCTGGATGATATCCTGATCTACTCGGGTAGTGAGGCCGAACATGTCAAGCATGTTGAGATGGTCTTGGAAGTCCTTTGTCGGGAGGAGCTGAAATGTAGTGGAGCCAAATGCTCTTTCGGGATGAGAGAGATCCAGTATGTCGGCCATGTGATTGGGCATAATTCGATCCGACCGATGGAAGAGAAACTGAGCTGCGTTAAGGATTGGCCGCGCCCCAAGACGGTGTTCGATGTTCGATCGTTCCGAGGTCTTTGTGGGTTTTACCGGCGATACGTAAAGAACTTCGCGCAGATCGCCAGTCCGCTTCACGATCTGACGGCTGGTGGAGTAACGAAGAGGCAGGCTGTCCAGTGGCTTCCAGTCCAGGAGGCCGCGTTCGTTAGGTTGAAAGAGGCTCTTGTCAGCGCTCCGTTGCTATTGATGCCGGACGTGACCAAGAGATTTGTAATGGAAACAGACGCTTCGGATTTTGCAGTGGGCGCCGTGCTTCAGCAGGATGGTGAGGACCTTCTGCTGCACCCGGTGGCGTTTGAGTCGTGTAAGTTGAATAAGGCTCAGCAGAACTACCCGGCTCAAGAGCGGGAGTTGTTAGCTATTATCCATGCGTGGAGGAAGTGGCATGTTTACCTAGATGGTGCGGTCGAGACAACAGTGGTCTACACTGATCACGCGTCGTTAGCCTACCTCTCCACTCAGTTACTGCCTTCGAAGCGCCTGTGTCGGTGGATTGAGGAATTCGCCGAAATGGATATCGAGATTAGATATAAGAAAGGCTCCGAGAACGTGGTTCCGGACGCCCTGTCGCGCAGAAGCGATTTGGTGGTGATGGAAGAATTGACGGGTCAGATCCACGAAACTGATTGGCCGCTCATTATCCCTTACCTGATAGAGAAGCGAGACTTACCTGACGGCATTCCTGAGAATATGGTGATCCGGGCGAGGGAAAATCAGAAGCTGTTCGAGTACGCCCCGGAGGAGGAAACCTTGATCTATCTTGGTCGCCGGGGTCTGCGTGAACGGTCGCCGTTTGTTGCGTTTGCTCATAGATTCGATCTGCTCCGAACGGTTCACGACGAGTTGGGCCATAGGGGCCGGGACTGCACGTTGCAGGTCCTCAGGGGAAGAGGTTGGTGGCCTAAGCGATACGATGATGTTCAGAGTTACATCCGTACATGCGCATCTTGTCAGCTGCATGAGAGGCCGCATGATAAGCAAGAAACCGGGCTGCAGAGGCCATTACCAGCGGTGGGACCGTTTGAGCGATGGTCCTCGGATTTGATTCAGATGCCGGAGAGCTATAAAGGGAAGTACAAATGGATCCTGACCGCCATTGATCATTGTACTTCCTGGCCCATAGCGGTTCCGCTGAAGGAAGCCAGGGCCGAGGTACTGGCTGAAGCCATTTTTGCGCACGTGGTGTGTCCTTTCGGGGCACCCAAAGAATTCCTGACCGATAGAGGGTCAAACTACCTTTCTAAGGGTTTTCGGCGATTCCTTAAGGCTACAGGCGCGACCCAGACGTCAACGTCGGGATATCACCCCCAGACGAATGGGAAGTGCGAGCGTTTTAACGGAATCCTAGAAGCAGCGATCTTCCGTTTGAACACCACCGGCGATCCGACTAGGTGGGAAGATTTTTTAGACGCGGCACTGTTCTCCACGAGGATTCATGTCAGTGACAGCAGCGGGTTCTCGCCGTTTGAGTTACTCTACGGCGTGAAACCGCGGTTGCCCAAGGACAGGAGACGTAT